TCTGTGCACACGATGTGACAGGGTTGCTGGTGCACCTGGGGAGAAGGAAGTGGGGAAAGAACGATGTAGGGGGCAAACAAGGCAAACACAAGGGAAGGTGAGTGGTGTCGACGGCTAGGAATAAACGAAGGAGTGTTGAGTGTTGAGGGAAGATGTGGTGCTGGAGGGGGGTGGGGTGATGGTCAGTGTAGGTAAACGATGTGGCATGGCTGCTGCTGCACCTAGAGAAGAGAGGCAGAGGCAAGGCAAGCAACGATGCACCAAATTCACCATGGACCGATTCCCACCGCCTTTCACCGCTCTGCACCATCGGTCCCTTCCCCCCACCCCCATCAGGCACGCACCTTTGCCACCCACTCAGCAAACTCGCGTGCATTTGGCACAGTGGCCGAGAGGAAGACGAAGCGGGACGATTTAGGAGCCATGACAATACTCTCCTCCCACACCACCCCTCGCTCCTTGTCCCTCAGGTAATGCACCTCGTCGAATATTATCCTCAGAAGTGTTTCAGCCAATACAGAACGGTGCAGAGCGGTGAAGGTGGATCAATTCCTTGTCCCTCAGGTAATGCACCTCGTCGAAGATTATCCAACCCACCCACTTCGTACCTCACACCATTTTCCACCAGCTTTCACCGCTCAGCACCTAATCCCTTCCTCCCAATAAGATTCGTACCTTTGCCACCCACTCAGCAAACTCGCGTGCATTTGGCACAGTGGCCGAGAGGAAGACGAAGCGGGACGATTTAGGAGCCATGACGATACTCTCCTCCCACACCACCCCTCGCTCCTTGTCCCTCAGGTAATGCACCTCGTCGAATATGATCCACCCCACCTCCCGCACGAAATCGGATCCCCGATACAGCATGCTGCGGAGAATTTCGGTTGTCATTACCTGCAGGAGGGAGGGGGTTGGGGCAATACAGAGTGAAGCAGAACGGTGGAGGTGGGTGGATGGAGCAGAATGGGGTGCTCCTTGTCCTCTCAGGCAATGCACCTCGTCTCGCCTTGATTGGTGATGTGATGTGATGTGATGTGATGTGATGTGATGTGATGTGATGTGATGTGATGTGATGTGATGTGATGTGATGTGTACACACAACACGACACCCTGTCATCACACTCCACCAGGCATGATGATATGACACGCAATGCAGCATTGCACCACCCACCACGTAGGTAGCGTTGGGGGCAATGGTGACATCGCCTGTCATGCCATGAGCCCCACGTCCCCAAACTCCTGAGTCAGCACACTGTTGCGCTGTGTTTCTATTTTTGAGGCGCCTCAAAAATCCCCAAACTCCTGAGTCAGCACACTGTTGCGCTGTGTTTCTCATCGGACTCAAACCCTCGACAGGAGCAGCGACCATTCCACTCTCACCTCTAGCACCCTGCTTACCAGGCAGGTCGCGTTGGGAGCAATCGTGACATCGCCAGTCATGAGCCCCACGTCCCCAAACTCCTGACTCATCTCGCGGAACTTCTGGTTGCTCAGCGCCTTGATGGGCGATGTGTATGTACACGACTCAACCAACAACACCCTATCACTGCACTGCACCGCACCATACCAGGCAGGTGGCGTTGGGGGCGATGGTGACGTCACCAGTCATGAGCCCCACGTCTCCAAACTCCTGACTCATCTCGCGGAACTTCTGGTTGCTCAGCGCCTTGATGGGCGATGTGTACACGACGCGCTGGTTGTCCCTCATCGCCATGGCTATCGCGTATTCCGCTACCACTGTCTTGCCTGCTGATGTGTGTGCTGAGACCTGCGGCGGTGAGTGGGGGAGGGTGAGTTGGGGGAGGGTGAGTTGGGGGAGGGAATGAGAGTGGGAGAGGCTTGATGGGCGACGTGTACACGACGCGCTGGTTGTCCCGCATCGCCATGGCTATGGCGTACTCTGCTACCACTGTCTTGCCTGCTGATGTGTGTGCTGATACCTGAGTGTGTGAGGAAGGGAGGAGAGAAAGGGAAGGACGTGGAAGGGTCTCTCTCTCTGTCTCTCTGAGAACGGGAAGGGGTTGTTCAGAAGAGGGAAGGATAAAGAGGAAGGGGGCGTTGTATTGCGCCAAGCATTACTTTGTTCCGCTCTAAACCCTGAATGCTCCCTCGGCTTCCTTGCTTCTCCAATGCGGATAACGGGTTCAGGGTTTTGTGCTCAGGATTCCACTCGGGGATTGGGGTTTCCCAACATCAGTTTCGGGTATATTTCCAGTCCGGTTTTTTAGCTAGGGTTTCGATCAGGGTTTAAGCATTAACATTCCAGCCGGAGTTTCTGGGTTTAGGGTCGCTGTCGCGATTTTCTCACCAGCACGGATTCGTTCGCTTCCAAGCACCGCACGGCCTCTTCCTGAAACGGGTCAAGCTTAAACGGGTACTCCTTGGCGGGCTTCTCCGGCAGCGGTTTCCGCGCAGCTTCCTTGCTGGTGGGAAGCTTCCAGCCCTTGGGGTACGCAACCTCGTGCAGGCATCGCACGCCGCCGCTGCCGCTGCCGCCCGTGTTGCCGTCCTCAAACTCCTCGTTGCGAAGGACCAGTCCCGTCATTTCCTCCTCATAGGCACCACCCGTGCCGGCCTCGCCCCCTCCTGCCGCGCCGGCCGCGCCGGCAGCTGCCGAGCCAGCGGCCGGCTCAGCGTCGTCTGCGGCGTCGCCGTCGCTGCCGCCGGAGCGATCGGCGTGGTCCTTGTCGGTCGAGGCGCGCTGCTTCCACGTGTCGTCATCGGCGCGTAGAGAGCTCTTCGCCGCTCCGTCTGCGGCTGTAGCCGAGGTTTTCGGCTTTTTGGAAGATTTGACCGACGGCGAGTCTGTTTTCGCCTTTTTCTTGGAGGGTTTGGGGGACTTGGCGCGCTTCTCTTCCGAACGCTTCATTCTGAACGCCTACGAGCACGGATGGGTGGCGTGAATGCTAACTATTTTAAGCTGCACAACCACGGAATCACGTGAGAACAAGGAGACTAGCCGGAAAACGCGGAAGCAGCACTAATGTGAAGGCAGAGTTGTGATTGCCTAGTGCACTAGCAGACCAGCAAGTGAACAGCGAAGGGGACAAGTGCAGTTGGGCTCGCCCTTGGTGTTCGGTGCGTTTTAGTGCGGTGAGTGAATCTTAATTCATATATTTGTAGTATAAGTAGAGTCCATTCTAGTTTGAATGTGCCATACCACTGTCAACATACCATCACCTCTGATAACATCCGCACCAGACAGACTGCATAAAGAACACGGAATATGTATGCTGAAACAGAACGTACCGTAAATGTAGAATAAATTTGTGCATATACCATACATGGAAACACAAATGTAACCAACAAGATGTGTGACCCCGTACTATCTGCGTCTACGCATGACAACGCCCATGTGTGCTTTTAGCGAAAGCATGACAGATTCCAAAAGAGCCTCGTCGGAGGAAAGGTGCTTGTCGTATATTCGTAGACACTCCTGCTGCCGCCGCTGTATGGCCAGCTGGATGGGATGAAAGAAGGGGGCAATCATGGAGCGGAGATTTATGCATGCATGCACATGGAACAGGATAGAAGATCCATACGGGATGAGAGACAGATACTAAAACACAAGTACTGGGATACAGTACAGGGGTAGGGAGACGAATTTTGAGGCAAATTAAAGATACTAAAACACAACTGGGATACAGTATTGGGCCGCCTCATCTATGACCAATGGAAATGCATACCCATCCACAACCTGTAAGGATCAGCAGACAATCCACATGGTTCATCCATCAATACATACCTCACCTCATCCATTCCATACCCCATCCATAACACACCTCAACCCTGGCTCTTAGGGTGGGCAAGATTCAGTGCATCTGGTCAGTGGGGAAGTGCAGCAGACAGGCAGTGGTGCTACATGCCTGATCCATGACCCATGACCCATTCCCCACCCACATCCCATCAGCACATACCTCATCCATGGCCCTGAGGGTCGGCAATATTCGGTGCATCTGGTCCGTGGGGAAGCGCAGCAGGCAGTGATGCCACGAGATGATGTCGTCGAATGGCAACCGCCAGTTGTCCGCCACCACCACTGGGATGGCTCCCACTGTTAGCGCCTGGTGTGTGGGTGAACATGCATTGGGTGTGTGAGGTATGCAGTGCAACAGAGAATGGTAACCGCCAATTGTCCGTCACCACCACTGGGATGGCTCCCACTGTTAGCGCCTGGTGTGTGGGTGAACATGCATTGGGTGTGTGAGGTATGCAGTGCAACAGAGAATGGTGACCGCTAATTGTCCGTCACCACCACTGGGATGGCTCCCACCGTTAGCGCCTGGTGTGTGGGTGAACATGCATTGGGTGTGTGAGGTATGCAGTGCAACAGAGAATGGTGACCGCTAATTGTCCGCCACCACCACTGGGATGGCTCCCACTGTTAGCGCCTGGTGTGTGGGTGAACATGCATTGGGTGTGTGAGGTATGCAGTGCAACAGAGAATGGTGACCGCTAATTGTCCGTCACCACCACTGGGATGGCTCCCACTGTTAGCGCCTGGTGTGTGGGTGAACATGCATTGGGTGTGTGAGGTATGCAGTGCAAAAGAGAATGGTAACCGCCAATTGTCCGTCACCACCACTGGGATGGCTCCCACTGTTAGCGCCTGGTGTGTGGGTGAACATGCATTGGGTGTGTGAGGTATGCAGTGCAACAGAGAATGGTGACCGCTAATTGTCCGTCACCACCACTGGGATGGCTCCCACTGTTAGCGCCTGGTGTGTGGGTGAACATGCATTGGGTGTGTGAGGTATGCAGTGCAACAGAGAATGGTGACCGCTAATTGTCCGTCACCACCACTGGGATGGCTCCCACTGTTAGCGCCTGGTGTGTGGGTGAACATGCATTGGGTGTGTGAGGTATGCAGTGCAACAGAGAATGGTGACCGCTAATTGTCCGTCACCACCACTGGGATGGCTCCCACTGTTAGCGCCTGGTGTGTGGGTGAACATGCATTGGGTGTGTGAGGTATGCAGTGCAACAGAGAATGGTGACCGCTAATTGTCCGTCACCACCACTGGGATGGCTCCCACTGTTAGCGCCTGGCATGGGCATGTGCATGTGCAGTGAGTGGGGCACAATGGGTGTGTGAGGGATGCAGTAGAAAGGAGAATGGCAACCGCCAGTTGTCCGCCACCACCACAGGAATGTTAGCGCCTGCACCATGTGGCATGAGCCATGGGGTATGTGATGTGGAATGTCATGTGGAATGTGATGTGGAATGTGATGTGGAATGTGATGTGGAATGTGATGTGGAATGTGATGTGGAATGTGATGTGGAATGAGATATGGAAGTTATGCCATGCGATGATGTCATCGAATCGAATGGTAACCGCCAGTTGTCCGCCACCACCACTGGAATAGCTCCCACTGTCAACGCCTGGCGTTTGCATTGGAACATGGATGCGGTAAGGAAGTTTGATAGCTGTCAGTCAGACGCAGAGTGAGAGTAAACGTGGTGCCATGACGTCAGCTGCAAACATCAGCACATATTAGCGCATATCAATACACATATCACATCGCAACCGCAATGCCAGCGATGGTTACACGCCTCCAGGACCTGTACGCAGACGCTTGTCTGCTTGCTGGCACGAGGGTGAAGGTGGTGGTGGTGAAGGTGGTGGTGTTCATGGCGTCAGCAGCACACGCACACGCACACGCACACGCACACGCACATGCGCGCGAGCGCGCGCACACACACACACACACACACACACACACACACACACACACACACCACTTCAGCACATATCACATCGCTACCGCATCACCAGCAACAGGTACGCACCTCCAGGAACCTATAGGTGGACCCTTGTCGGCCGGCCGGAGCAAGGGTGAAGGTGGTGTTCATGACGTCAGCAAAGTCGTACTGAGTGTACAGCTTGGCATCCTCGTCGCACTCCGGCTTTAAGGAAGGTTCCTCCGCGAGAATGCGCGCATTGGTAGATCCCCTGGTGGAGGGGAGAAAGGGGGGTGGATACCAAAAAGTTGAGAGGGATGGTACATTTTTGTTTGTTTGTTTGTTTGTTTGTTTTTCTTTTTCTCGAAACTCTTTTGCAGAGGTAAGAGGGGCGAGTTGCAGACAGTTGAGGCAGTCGTTCTTACCTAAAAGCACCAGTAAGCAGTTGGAAGCACCAGGAACAAGCAAGCTTGCCAGGTGGACCAAATTAGTACAGGAATCTCCAATACTGCCAGCATAAGCACATCTCTCTGCAACTACACTCACAGAACAGCCTGTGACATTGGGGTAAAAGCACATGTTACCCTCAAGTTTGAGGGGTTTACCTTTGCCTGGACTGGAACCATAATGTTGGGTAAACTCGGAACTTACCCGCATCTTGTCAGCACAACCACATCCTTGCCGTTGTGCAACGCCTTAAACTCTGGGGCACTCCGAAAATTACCCTTCAAATTCCCCAGGTAACGCGTGCCTCGGAACGTCAGGAAATATTTCCGGGCAGATCCCGCGGGCAGGTTCCGGAGCTCAACGGGCGGGTTTTTCCACATTTGGGGCAGCGGAATGGAGGTGTCGAAATCTGTTCTCATAAGAGTGGCCTGAGCATTGGTGACCATAACCATTGCCGAGGCGACTCCAAAAGGGGATGGGCCGCTTCAAGAGTCTGAGAAACTATATGAGGGGAAAAGAGGAACAGGAGGAAAGGGAAAAGAGAAAAGAGAGAAAGGAGATGAGTGCAGAAAACTGAAATGTGTAGTGGATAACAAACATAACCATTGCCAAGGAGACTCCAAAAGCGGATGGACCGCTCCAAGAGTCTGAGAAACTATACGAGGGGAGGAGAGGAACGGGGGAAAATGGAGGAGAGAAGGGAGAGATGGGGACGATGGGAGAGAAGGGAGAGGGGTGCGACAATATGACTGGCGGAGTGAAAGAAGCACTTGTATGCAGTAAATGACCTTCATGGATTTAGGTTTTGTAAGTACCCACCTAGTGGCCGGAACGTAATAGGCAAAAACGAGAGCGTAACTTGAAAGCAGCGTCATCATACCTTATAAGTACACACCCTATAGCATATTAATCCCAAACCTAATAAGCGCGCACAGTATAAGTGCACACATTTTTAACGTTTGAAGCGCATTATAACCACATTCGATATAGCCACACACATGATTAGCGCCGTTCTTCCCCCAATGCTCCAAGGGTTGCCCTCTCGCCATATGCACAAAGAGGAAACACACCCTGGCGGGATCATCGGTATGCCACCAAACCTCCTAACCCAACCACACTCCTTATAGCCACACACACACACACACACACACACACACACACACACACCTGATAAGCACGTGGTTAGCGCCGTTCTCCCCCCAATTCTCCAAATCCGCAAACTCGTTCGGCTGCCCTCTCGCCATATGCACAAAGAAGAAACACGCCTTGGCTGGATCGTCCGTGTGCCATCGAGACTCATTAAACTTCTTAAAGTAGTGCTGGCCGGGCCAGTAGGAGTAGACCAGGGGCTCGTGAGAGGATTGGTCAGCGGGGCAGCGCGAGTAGTTGAAGCATGCGTCCATGGAGCAGAGGGGGAAGACTCCCATTGAGTGGAAGTAGCGCCCACTGGCATGCCAGAGGCTGTGCTGCAAGGGGCAGTGGGGTTGCGAGGATAGGGGAGCAGGGAGTAGTTGAAGCATGCGCGCATGGAGCAGAGGGGGAAGACGCCCATTGAATGAAAGTAGTGACCACTGGCATGCCAGAGGCTGTGCTGCAAGGGGCAGTGGGGTTGCGAGGATAGGGAAACAGGGAGTAGTTGAAGCATGCGTCCATGGAGCAGAGGGGGAAGACTCCCATAAAGTGGAGGCAGGGAGAGAAGGGAGAGAGAAAGAGGGGCAGCAAGAGCAGTTGAAGCATTTGTCCATCGAGTGGGAAGCAAGCAGAGTATCACGGGCAAGCAGAGTATCACGGGCAAGCAGAGTAAGGGCAGCAGTGCTAGTAACAAACACGGGTCGTTGTCGCTCATGGTGGAAGGGCAGCAGTGCTAGTGAAACGATGAACGAAAGTTCACCAACGCTTACTGAGCAGGTGAAAGTTGAATCACGGAGAGAGAGAAGCTCACCAACAATATTCTCGAATATGGTTACCAATATCCCTACCAATGGTTACCTTGACTATGGTTTCAGATGGGGGACACTTTCCCGGAGTTTCTGCTGGCTGATTCTCATCCATTTCCTCCTGGTCCCCCGGCCCTGCTGCTGCTCCTCCTGCCCCTCCTTCCCCTGATCCATCTCCTGCCTCTCTTCTTGCCCCTTCACTGGCGCCGTTGACCTGCTGTGGCCCCTGTTGACTCGGTTGACTTGCGCTGATGTTCCCAATTACCCCCTCCTGCTGCTCCTGCTGCAGCTGCCGCTGGTGCTGCTGGGAAGGGGGAGGGAGGGAGGGAAGGGGGAGAGCGTGGGTGGGGGGCGTAGGGATGGGTGGGACTGCGTTGACCTGCTGTGGCCCCTGTTGACTCGGTTGACTTGCGCTGAAATTTCCAGTTACCCCCTCCTGCTGCTCCTGCTGCAGCTGCCGCTGGTGCTGCTGGGAAGGGGGAGGGAGGGAGGGAGGGGGGAGGAGGGATGGAAGGGATGAGCGAGACTGCGTTGACCTGCTGTGGCCCCTGTTGACTCGGTTGAGTGGCACTGAAGTTTCCCGTTACCCCTTCCTGCTGATCCTGCTGCAACTGCCGCTGGTGCTGCTGGAAGGGGAGAGGGGGAATGAGGAGGGAATGGTGGGGGAGAGAGTGAGGGAGGAAGGAGGGAAGGAATGGTGGAGGAAAAATCGGGAGACGAGAGGAGGAGGGTACAGGCGTTGGGAGAGAGTGGGGGTGGCAAGCTAAGAAGGGAGACAAAGGAGGCAAGGTTGAGGGGGAAGCGCGGAGCACATAGGGGAGGAGGAAGCGGGAAGAAAGAGGAAGCAGGAGGAACGAGGAGGAGGGAGGAACTGGGAGAGGAGGAACTAGGAAGAAGAGGAATTGGGAGAGAGAAGGGAGGATTTGGGAGAGCAAGAAGGAGGGGCATTGGGTAGGCGGAAGGGGGAGCAATGAGAGGGGAAGAAGGAGGGTTGCGGGAGTGAGACGTATCACCAGCGAATCACAAGGAGCGATCAGTTGACCTTGGTTTCGAGTATGGAAACCAGGCGAAGGTGAAGAGAAGGCAGCAGCAGGACGCCATGAGCAGCAAGACAAACCGACAGGCACCAACATACCTCGGATTTGGTCTCCTAGATGGATGCAAACACGTGGACAAGGAAGGGGAGGGCATTGGAGTCGTATTTGTGAATTCTGAAAAGTGATACTAGTGTACGCCTACCTTGGTTTCGTTGATAGATCGCGACGAGGCCGGGCAGAAGGCGTAGAATGAAGCGGCAGAGGACTCCACGAGCAGCAGCGGCAGACCGACAAATACCAGCATACCTTGGGATTGGTTTTGTGGATGGACGCGAACACGTGGACGAAGAGGGGGAGTAGGGATTGGAGCATTGCTTTCGCGTTCTCAAAAGGGTATACTATTACTTTGGTTTCGTCGATGGATCTTGACGACGCCAGGCAGAAGGCGAGGAAGGAGGCGGCAGCGGACGCCACGAGCAGCAGCGACACAGTGAATAGCACCAGCGTACCCTGGTTATATCTATGGATCCCCACGGGTTTGTTGACCTCTACCTTGGTTTCGTCAATAGAGCGTGAGGAGGCCGGGCAGAAGGCGAAGAACGAGGCGGCGGCGGAAGCCACGAGCAGCAGCGACACGGTGAACAGCACCACAATGCGGTTCGCGCCGAACGCGCCGCCGCTGCCGCCGCCTCGCGCGCTGATTAGCACCGCGCGGCTCATGACTGGCTACAGACGCGTGTGTGCTACGATTCCTTGGGCTGCAAACACGCGTGCTACAAGTGCGTGTGCGACAACCACGTGTCCTAGAGACGCGCGTCTGCTGCAAATTCGTGTGCCACAAATGATAAAGCAGATAGAAACTACCGAAGCAGTTGCCTTCAATTCACGTGCTAAACTTGAGCCGTCTCAAAACGCGTCTTGCCTAAAGCCGTGCATTTCACTGAATCAAATTCCACCCGTCCAGATCAGCCCACCCCGGTCCACGTCAGCATAAATCCGTCGAAAATGCGTGGAGTCCAGTCCTCGCCGGCTGCTCCCCGCAACTGACGGCCATTGTGAGGCTGTAATAGATTCGCGGGTTTTATCAATCGGCGGCAGCTATCTATCGAAAACAGATTATCGCAATCCACGAAAACTATTCATTCATAGAAAGAGTATTTAGACGAGCGGAATTTGCGTTTATCAGCGCTGCCGTCCCAACGTTTTGCCTGCGTCTCTACTATCATACTATCTGGCCTGGAACAACAAGCACTGCGATTTGGCCATTGAAATTTGCCAAGGTATGGTTGAGTCACCCCTCCCAAGCGAACAACCTGGCATTCGTGGGGGCGGATTTGCTTCTGTAGAAGGAATGGCGTGTTGCATTATGATATTCGTACACTATTACGCCTTTTTGCACAACTCAGGTACATAGTTTTGAGCGTTTCTATATAAGATTTTCCTGTTTTTTTTCAGACGAAAAACCTCTTGGGTTTAGATGCTGAAGGCCCTGCCACACCATGGACAGAAATTAAGGCGCATACAACACAAAACCAAAGGGCATCAATTTAGACAGCAATTGACCGCCCTAAAGACGCATACATAGGCGTAAGGATGGGCACACCAACACAACCCATCCTCCCGCGCCCCCCTTCTCCATCACACATGCAAACATTCATGATCCCGCGATTCTAGGAAAGGACACATAAAAACGAAAACGAAATCCAAATGGAGACACGGTAAGGATGCAACAAAACTTTGAAAAGGGTGATGAGAGAATACAAAAAAGAAAAGAAAAAAAAAGGAAGGTCAAACAGGGGAGGGACAGGAGGAGGGGGTGGAAGAGGAGGAGGAGGAGGAGGATGCGGAGGAGGAGAAGGAGGAGGAGGAGGAGGAGGAGGAGGAGGAGGAGGAGGAGGAGGAGGAGGGGGGGGGGGGGGGGGGGAGGAGGAGGAGGAGGAGGAGGAGGAGGAGAGCGAGCGAGGGGGGATTAACCATGCCAAGTCAATCAGTTACCTAGCCATGCCATGCTATGCCATAACACGCCATGCCATAACACGCCATGCCATAACACGCCATGCCATAAAACGCCATGACATAAAACGCTGTGACATAAAACGCCATAAGGGGCAATGCCATAAGGGGCAATGCCATAAGACGCCGTGCGTGTAGCCTACCTGCTGAAGGCTCACTGCCCGCTATTCCACCTTCCCCCTCCCTCCCACTCGATCCCTCCTCTGTCTGCTGCGCCTGCTGCTGCCCTTTGTTCGCTGCTTCTGAAACCATTCTGTCTCCCTTTTCTCCCTCCTCTATCCGCTCTTCCCCATCCTCTCCCCCTCCCGCTCGTTCCCCCTCGCCTTGTTCCCCCGCTTCCCCTTCCCCCTCTTCCTTCCCCGCCAACGCCCTGATCCTCTCCGCCAGCCCCCATCCCGCCTTCCCCGCCTCTCTCCGCATTTCCGCGCGCAGCCGCCTTAACTCTCCGCGTATCTCCGCCTCCGCCCTGCGCGTAGCTTCCGCCGAGCGCCGCTCTGCTTCCAGGAGATCCGCCTGCACATGCGACACCACAAGGGCTTCCGCCAGCGCCCGTTGCGCTTCCCCCAGCGCGCGTCTTTGCGCGGAGAGGTTGAGCGCGAGCACGCAGCACGACGCGGCGAGCACCATTCCCCCCAGCGACTCCCGCCGGGCCCACACGCGCTGGCGGAACGACATCCGCGCGTGCGGTGGTGGAGGGAAGATGGCGGAAGGGTGTGTGAAGATTCAGGGGAGCGGGATTCCGGGGCAAGGCGGGGCCCGCAGGGCGCAGGCACAGGGTGCAAGGCGGCGTCCGAAAGTTCCGAAACGCGAGAGAAGGATAAGAGTGGATTGGTTTGAAAGGGCAATACACTCAGGCGCGCGGAACTAAAGCGCTTCGGTGGCGACCCGCGGACCCATACACCCCGCTTAGGCGGAGCGGCACGGGCGCGAAAGGTCTACGTGGTCTGATCAGAAGAGAGGTGGTGCGGGATTTGAGAGAGGGCTGAGTGGAGGGGTTGTGGCCCGAGATGTGAAAGGCGTGTACGCATTGTCCTCGGTTCAAGCATTCCTCGCTGTAATTAGCTTGCAACCACTCTTACACTAGCAACTCTCTATGGCATTCATAAAGAGAGGATTTGTACTGCTGCACAGCTTTATTTGAGTGTTTTAGGAAAAACAAGATTGTACGCATGCGTACGCACCAACAGAATGGGGTCACACAAATTATTCGTCACATAAAATCATCCTCGACGTCCTGTACGCTTTTCCCTTCCATCTTTGCGGCAATATCTTTATTCGACGTCATTTTCTTTTCCACCATAATGCCCTTGTAACTCCGCAATTCCGCCTGCCGCATCTTCAGAGCCTTCTCCTCCTGCTCTCGTCGAGCCTGATAAAAGAACCCACAAGAAACGCAAAAGAAAATTAACATAAAAAGTTGCGAGCACCATTCTCTTCAACAGTGACAATTCAGGTAAAAAATCTAGGCCAAATGTGAGTAGATGTAAGCTGATGGTACAAAAAGGTCGCATAAAAAGGTACACAAAGCACCAAGCATCCACTCTCTCACCTGTTCCCTAAGAACCGCCTTCCTTGCCGCTCGGTCCTCTGCATCTCTAGCTTCCTTCTCAGCTGCACGAACACACAACAAAAAACCACCAGTGGAGCAAAATTATAAGAGTGGCGAAGCAGGGGAAACAGAAGGCATTGATTCTACTCAGGCACGAGAAGGCACGAGGCATATGTTTACTCCATAGTCCATAATATGGTAACTGGTAAGAAATGGCTGTGCAAAAGCCGATCATGTACTTCCCAGTTAACTACAAAGGTCACATAAGTAGAAATAGCTGCAAATGCAAGTCCCCGGTGCTGTACCTTGCAAGTTCAGTGTTCTCTCCGCCTTGCAATGGTCTTGTTTCAACCATTTCAACTCACCTTGCAAGTCGGGCATCGTCTCGACCTTGGTTGTTTTCAGCTAGTTCACCACCCCACAGAAACCAATTAAACTCCATGTCTCTCTACACCCAAGTCAGCCCTTATCAACCCATTCAACCTCTTTCGAGTAGCCGTGCAGGTCGGCAGGCTTTTCCACATTGGTCTTGTTCGGCCGGTTCACCACCCCATGGGAAGGGGATTATTTCAATCGCATGTCTCTCTTTACACCGATTCAAAACCATTTCAACCACATGCCTATCTACACCCATTTCAGCCATATGTCTCCCTACACCCATCTCAACCCACTTGGACCCACCTTGCAGGTCAGGCGTCTTCTCCACCTTGGTCTTGTTCAGCCGGTTCACCACCTCATTGAGTCGCTTCTCCACCCGCACGCTGCGCACCGCCTTAGGGTTGTGGAACCCAATCTGCAAGAGGGCAATGCTTGTATGGGGGATGAGGTGCAGTGCAGCCATTGGTTCCGTGCCACCACCACCTCGTTGTGTCGCTTCTCCACCCACACGCTGCGCACCGCCTTGGGGTTGTGGAAACAGATCTTATTGGGAGTCATGTTCATATGGGGGATGAGGTGTAGCGATTGGTGTGATTAGTTTCACAGATCACCACCACGATCTCACTTCTCCACTCGCACGCTCCGCACTACTCTGGGGTTGTCGAAGCCAATCTGCTATGTAGTGTAAAATCGTCGGAATGTTAAGGTTTCAGGGTTTAAGGTTTGGGAGCATAAGGCATACTTACCTGCCGCATACTTTACCTGCCGCATACTTTACCTGCCGCATACTTTACCTGCCGCATACTTTACCTGCCGCATACTTTACCTGCCGCATACTTCACCTGCCGCATACTTTACCTGCCGCATACTTTACCTGCCGCATACTTTACCTGCCGCATACTTTACCTGCCGCATACTTTACCTGCCGCATACTTTACCTGCCGCATACTTTACCTGCCGCATACTTTACCTGCCGCATACTTTACCTGCCGCATACTTAACCTGCCGCATACTTTACCTGCCGCATACTTTACCTGCCGCATACTTTACCTGCCGCATACTTTACCTGCCGCATACCTGCCGCATACTTTACCTCCCGCACACTTTACCTGCCGCACACTTTACCTGCCGTACACTTTACCTGCCGCACAACTCACCTGCCCCTCGTCTCACCTGCCCCACGTCTCACCTGCCGCACGTCTCAATTGCCCCACGTCTCACTTGCTGCACGTCTCACCTCCCTTACGTCCCACCCGCCCCAGGTCTCACCTGCCCCACGTCCATGGAAGCTGCCTTTCGCAGGTTGGCCCATGGCGTGTACACCACGTCGATGTTGTTCAGCTTGTTGCCTGCAGGTGCGGTGAGAAGGGGGGGAAGCGGTGGGCGTTGGAAGAGAGAATACAGAAAGCTTAGATAGCTTGCATGCGCTGTAGTGGTTGGCATAGCTGTAGAGGTTGGCCCATGGCGTGTACACCACGTCGATGTTGTTCAGCTTGTTGCCTGCAGGTGAGGTTGGGGGGGGAAGGGGAGGAGGAGGGGGAGAAGGGGGGCGGGGGGTGGGAGAAGGGGGGGAGAAGGAAGGGGGGGATGAAAGGGGGGAGAAGAGCGGGGGGAGGGGGAAGGGGGGGGGAGAGAATGGAGGGTGGGATTGCCGGCTCTCAACCAGCCTATCCATGCTGGAATTCCCTTCACCAGCTGGACTGCCCACCCATCCCTCCCAACACCTCCCAACCACTACCGAGTCCATAAACTCCCTCCCTTCGAAAATCCGCTCCTCCACCCCTCCCAACCACCAGGAACCACTCTCAACCCACTCCTGATGGAACTGGCTGGCCTTCACAAGCTGCGCACAGTCCTCCTCAACCCATTCCTGATGGAACCAAACCAGCTGCGCATCTCAAGAACCACATGAGCCACCAGGCTGGTCGTCTGGCCTTCACCATGCGGCATTACCCTCTCCATCCCTCCAAACTCCATCCCTTTAGGCTTTCACCGCTTCCAACCCAGCCCCATCACCGGGAACTGCTCTCAACTGACCCATGCAGAATGGAGTTGACCTGGTTGACCTGATTGACCTTCAACAGTTGCCCTGCCTGTCTCTGAATGACAAGAAATTTTCAACTCACGCACCCCTTCCCAACACTACTACAAACGGCTTCCTCCCAGGCTCCCAGCCCCTCCCTCGAGAATCCGCCCCTCAGACCCCGCCCGCCCCCTCCCCCCTATTCCACCACTCTCAACCGCTCTGAAACTCCACATGATGGAGTTGGCCTTGATCAGCTGTGCGCAGTCCTCCCGCACGTGTGGGTGGGGTGCCATCGGGGTGGAGTTTCAAGTGGTATTAGAAAGCACCACTTGAAAACCCCAGTGGCACCACACCACCACCCAACCACATTCACTGTTCCGTCAGTTACTCGAAAACTCCACCGCTCCCAGCCCCTCCCAGTCACCACCAACCACTCCAACCGCTCTGAACCCACCCATGATGGAGTTGGCCTTCACCAGCTGCGCGCAGTCCTCCAGCATCTCGGGCGTGACGTCATCAATGCCCTGCCCCTTGCGCAACCGCAGGTACACGTGTGCGGACGAGAGCTTGTCCACGTGGAACCTTCACAGATGCAGAGAAGAGCGGGTGGGGGGGAGATGAAGGGGAAAGGGGGGTAAAAGGGGTTGGGGGGAGGGGTGCGGGGTGGGGATGGGGGGAGGGGGGGAGGGGAGCGGGAAAGGAGAAGGAGGGGACGTGGGAGGTTCAGACTTGGTTAGCGTGACACGACGTCAATCAGTTCAAACGTGAGCTTGTCCACATGGAATGGAACCCCCAGAAGATTTGCACAGAAAAGACACGCATACGCACCTCCCATTCCCTCCATCCAACCCCCTCCCCGCACACACGCACACGCACCTTCCTCTTTCCCTCCAACCCCCAATCATCGCAAACCCCCTGCTTTTCCCGACGTCTCAAAACCAGAAGGTGCAGGTGACGCTGCTAGCCTCTGATTTTGAGGCACGTCGGCCGCTAGCGCACATTAAAAAAAATGGTAGGACTTTCCGTTACGAACAGCTCCGATACGCACCACACGTCGTCCGACAAGGAGCATTTGGCGAGCTGCTCGGCTTCCGAACTTACTCACATCCATGCGTTTCAAGATTGAGCGGCTGCTCGGCATCCATGCGAACCCATGATCGGCTTTGATGCCGCTCAACCTTGAAACACAAATGCTTCGTTACATACATCTTCGCTACGGATCATATCTTCCTCACAGGAAGCCACAATTGACGAGAAAGCCTATCGAGACCCCCACAACTCCCGTTGGACTAGAATCCCCGTTATAGACAGATTTGACGCACCATATGTCCTCCGGAAAGCCGTATTTGATGAGCTGCTCGTTTTCGAACTTATCGAGTCCCATATAGATGGTGAGGTCGCCCGCATCGGGTCGCACTTTGAAGTAAAACACCATCGCGACGAACGCAAACCGCTGACGTGGCAATCACGGGGTCAAGGCCTTTCCAAGTCCGCACAACGAAGATGCTTCTAACGAAGCTCCTATGCACAGGTGAGGAGTTCGACCGAGGGAGGTGATCGAAGGAAGTACGAAAATGATTCGTTATAACAGATACGTGTTGGTCTCGTGATATGATACAACGCTGAAGCAGAACCCAGCAGAGCGTCGACCACTAAACTACATACTAAGTATGTCAGCCGAGAGGCACGATGTCGCTCCGCGTGTCGGGCAGCGAATTCAGAAAGTGAGAACGCGGCGCGGCCGGAGCCAGCCTGTTTCGTAGAGCCCTAGGCTAGAGATTCTCAGTAATTGGTTGACTAGGGTTTAGGTTGAGGACACTACTCGTTACAATGTGCTGCGGTAAGTCAAATGAGGACAGATTTGCAAAAAAAAAAAAGTTCATAATTGCTTCTGCAGGATTCAGGCGTGACCGCACAAAGCTGTATATGAACCTTTTTGCGTTCGTGTACCGTAATACTGACCTAGAGATCGCATTGCAATCTCTGAACGCCGCGACCAATCTTGAAGAGTAGTTACCAGGGAGCAAGTAACATTGCAAACCCTAGTTCATCTGCACAGATATGATTATATAAACCACGCCCTAACGGCTTCTTGCCACGCACTCTATCGAGAGTGATAGAAGCAATTTGCACAAGTGATCAGTTTTCAGCACAGCATTCGATAATTTGAAGCACAATCCCTTCTAGCATTTAGTTCTAAGAGTCGTGTCTCGAATTTTAGAGCCAGGCTTGAGAGCAGAACGTCAGCTGGTTGGCGCAAGCCCCCGTTATTTTTTCATTACACCAGGGAAACGCGTCCATGCGTCCAAGGACTGCAATCAAAGTCGTAGAAGCCAGGGATTGTATTATCGGTTGGTGGTGTTCGTCATCGTCACTCGTTCAAGCAGGCGACTTGGTAGAAATTGCACCAATTAAAAGCCGTTTTTCTCTGGTGTGATCCGAGCGCTCTTTACTTCGATCTGGTCCGTCCGTTTTTCGATAAATATCATGGGAACTCCCGAGGGAGATGATGGGAATGACGTGGCATATCAGCCAGCAGATGTTGCTGATGACGTGGGAGAAGTAAAAGAAACGGAAGGCGGTGATTTGCCGGCGAAGGAAGCTGATAAGAGTAAGAAGGACAGAGAAAGGAGGAAAAGCAGGGATAAGGTTCGGGAAAAGGATCGGGATAAGGATCGGGATAAGGATCGGGATAAGGGTCGGGATAAGGATCTAGGCGATAAGGAAAAGGAGCGGTCAGAAAGGCACAAGGACAGGAAATCCAAGGAGAAAGGCAAGGAGAAGGAGAAGGAGAAGGAGAAGGAGAAGGAGAAGGAGGAGAGGAAACGAGAGAAGAAGGATGAAGAGAAAGGGACTGCATTGGCGGAGGTTGGTAAGGAGGAGGGAGGGGAAGGAGAGGCAGGAGAGGAGGGAGAGTTGAAGGAGGAGGGAGAAGCAGGGGAGGCGAAAGGCAGGGGAATGGAGGACACAGATAAGACTAGGGGTAAGGAGAAGGAGAAAGAAAGGGAGAAGGAGAAAGAGAAATCGAAGGACAAGGAGAGGGACAGGAAGAGAGATAGGGAGAAAGAGGAGAAGCGGGAGAAGGACAAAGGCCGGGATAAGGAGAAGGAGAGGGGAAGGGACAAGGATAAACATAAGGAGAAGGAGAAGGATAAAGAGAAGGCGAAGGATAAGGAGAAGGAGAAGGGGGACAGAGACAGGAGCAGGGACCGCGAGAAAGAGAGACATAAGGAGAAGGACCGAGGCGCAGCAAAGGATAACGACGTGCGTACTTTTGAGTCGACTCAAGAGAAAGAGAGACACAAGGAGAAGGACCGAGGCGCAGCGAAAGATAAAGACGTGCGGAAAAAATCGCCCGAAGCGGACCGTCCCTCCCGCCGAAGACGTTCCCGCAGCCGCTCCCGCTCCCCGCGCCTCCTCCGCTCCCGCTCGCGCTCCGCCTCTCCCGCGCGCGCCGGCGGAAGGCGCGCGGGGGAGTTCGCGGGCGCGCGCGGGCACGGGAAAGGGGGGCTCGCGCGCAGGGGGAGCGAGCGACGCCCGCGCCACCACCGATCGCGATCGCGATCGCGCAGCCGATCGAGATCTCGATCGGATTCGCCGAGACTCTCGTTGTCTAGATCGCGATCGCGTTCGAGGTCGCCGAATCAGGAAGAGAGAGTACGGCGAGCGCGAGAGGAGAGGGAGCGGGACGCCATGGAAAGGTCCCCCTCTCCGGGGGAGAAGGCGCGGAGGCGGCGGGAGGAGCGGGAGCGGGATCGCCTTGAGCGGAGCGGATCCGAGGGGGAGGAGGATGGGCGGAGAGGGGGGGCGGTGGGGGGCGGCGGGGAGGGGGAAGAGGTGGGAACGCGGGGGGGATGGGGAAGGGGGGGAGGGGGGTTGGAAGGCGACGCGTCTCGTGATGCTGGGGGCGGGTATTACGGTGGTAGTGGGGTGTATGGCGGGTGTGGTGGGGCGTATGGTGGTGGTGGTGGTGGTGCAGAGGGTGCGGCAGGAGGGGACGTGGATATGTCAGCTGCGGATGCTTCAGTGGGTGGTTACGGTGATGCCGCCGTTGCTGCTGCTGCTGCTGGTGGTGCTCCTTCTGTGCTGCCCCCTATGCCGCCTCTGCCGCCGCCTCCCCCGCCCCCCATTGACCCCGAGGCGGAGATGAGGATGATGGAGATGATGGGCATTCCTATGGACTTCAACACCACCAAGGTGAGGGGAGGGGTGGAGTGTGAGGAAGGAGGGGTGGGTGGTGTGTGAGGTGATGTTGGAATTGGAGGATTACCCTTTCCCCTTCCCCGCCCCCCATTGACCCCGAGGCGGAGATGAGGATGATGGAGATGATGGGCATCCCCGTGGACTTCAACACCACCAAGGTGAGCGGGTGAAGGGTGAGGAAGGATGAGGGGTGTTGTTGGGTATAGAGGATAGAGGTGAAAGGCAGCTGATGGTCATTCCCATGGATTTGGGGATGGGGAGAAGGTGGGGCTGTGAGGGATTACTGCGTGAGGCATACAAGTGAGCGTAGAAGGGTGAAAAGGAGGGGATGAGGTGGATTTCAACTCCACCAAGGTGAGCAAGTGAAGGTTGGGGGCATGGAGGGTTAGGTGAGCGGATGTTGGGATGGGTGTGGGAGAATAGGTAAGGATTCGTGTTCAACAAATGCAAACGATGGGCAAACGGATGGAGTTTGATGGCACCTTGGTAAGATTAAGGATAGGTTTTCCGTAGTGAGCACGTGGCAGGTGAGGGGTTCTGTTGGGGGTAACTTTTGAAATTTCTCGAAAGTAACAATTATGTTATAAGCCAGCAGTTCTTTGACTTCCACACCACCACAATGAGTGGGCGGAGGGTGGGGGCGTGATTAGCTGGGTGACAGTTTTCTCCAAGTGACTATCGTCGTTTTTCTAGCAAGACCCCTCCTACTGCTACCCTTCGTCATGGGTGGTGGGTGTTGAGCTGGTTGAGAAGGTGTAGATTGTTAAGGGGGCGTGAGTTGAGGGGAATTAAGGGGCTGCGAGGAGGTTAAAGGGGCATATGAGTTAAGCGGCAGGTGGCTTCTGGTGCCTCGAAGCATGAGGACGAGTTAGGGGTTTTCCGATCAAAGGCTATCGGGTATGTGAACAGGAGGGGGTATAGGTTGTGAGAGGGGAATCTGTGGAATTTTATATTTTCCAGGTAAACCATCCTGTGTTTGGCAATCCACCGGTGGTTTACAAACTCTGTTTTTTTAGAATTCTAAAAAAACAGTATCACGCTCGTCTGCACTCTCCATTCCTGATTTTTTTGCTCTCTTTTTTCCCTTGTCCATGAGCCCCATGCGGTATATGCCACACTGTTGAGGCGCCTCAAAAGTCTCCATTCCTGATTTTTACACTCTGTTCTTGTCCATGTGGGTCAATTCGATTCTGCTGGAATCACTTTTGAGAATTCTCACAAGTGGTTAATACACTTGTCTTTGTCCATATGCTATATTTGGTGCCTGCTACGCACTGGCAGGGCAAGGAGGTGAAGGGAGCCAATCAGCTGAGCGCTGTGAAGCTGTCCACTAAGAGGCAGCCACGTCAGTACATGAACAGAAGAGGTGCGCTGGATTTGAAAGGGCTATGTGGGTGGTGGTTGATACATGATCGATACGTCTCAACTCAACAGGCTCCGCTTCTAATGGTTCTGCTTGTTTTTCACTCTATCCATTTGTGGCTGCTGCTGCTGCTACGGTAGTTTTAATCGCTTTCTCCATCAATAACAAAAATCCCTTCAATTTTGCTTTTTTGCAGGTGGTTTTAACCGTCCATTGCCAGCTGAAGTTAATCGTTGACGAGACTTTCTGGCCAATTGTATGACAAAAGAAGTCACATAAGTTTGTGGAAGCCAGGAATGATTCGCAAGGGCCTACTGGAAATTTTCTTGAGAGTTCTGAAGGTACTTCCTCTTGAGGCTGCTGCTTAGAATCAGAAAACGCCAGCATACAGTTATCAACCTTCAATTACTGGTTTTTGGGGTGCTGCACTTGAGGGGGACCACACATATCCCCAAAACGCGAGTCTTGTTGATTGTCCACGTCATATTCGCACTGTGAAACCTCGCGCCTCCACGTGTTGTGCCATCCGTTCCTCATCCATTCGCAGGCTTCCTGCCACGCGCACTGGGTGATGAGTCGACACTCCGCTATTTACAAAGCAACGTGGCGGTTCCCGCTTTCTCGCGCGCAGTTCCTTCTAGTCTGCGCAGTTGGCGCTCTTCCCCGAAGATTGTTGTGTTCAAATCACCGCACTATGATGCGTCGTACCGCCTCGTAAGGTGACGCACCGAAGCTGATCTTTGACATTTATGTTCGAAAGCCCATCAAAGAACCCCTTCACCTACCCTGGCCACTAAGTTCCAGGAACTTTTGTATTCCATAACTAATTAGTAGGCGCTGTTGCTGCCTGGTGGTGTTCCGAAGCCTAGGCGCGGACCAGTTGTGTTTGTATTAGTTTCTGACGGACTTCGTCCAGCCATGGCTGCCGCTGCACAGCTCAGCTCAGCTGCTCTCAGGATCCCAGAGAGGTCCGTCTATGGCGGCTCCTTCGCCACATTCTCGGGATTGTCGGCTGAGAAGACGTTCACTGCTCGCATGACCGTCAGCGTGCAAGGTAGAACGGATCGCTGACTATTAGGGTAGCACGGTTAACCTCATTAGTTCACTTATTACATAACGAAGTGTTGGGGATCATGCAGCTCGGCCTTTAAGCCACAGTCCGTGGTTTTTTTTATCTAAAGGGAGCGCATTTGTGGGAGCATTATAGAGTAGTTTCACCTCTTTAAATCGACAGTCAACGGAGTTCAAAGTGTGTGAGCGTCATTTTTTATCTGTTCAGGTCAAACCAGCCACTCGGCTCTGCTAGTGGAAGCCAGGGAGGCAACCCGGAGAGAGAAGGTCAAGAACCGTCACATGCGGATCCGCAAAAAGGTACAAGCTCGTGGGTGGCGAAATGCGCGTGATATCAGGTGTTTTATGGATAACTGCAGACGTGGATTGGTTGACAAGGGATTTCAGAACTGGGGGAGTAATTAACGTGATCGTAGAATGGGGATAAACGATTCAAAAGCTTGCGTCTTCGCTCTCACAACCGCGGCGGAACTTCGATCGCAGTCCTGTCTAGCCTTTCTGTTGCAATAACACTGATTTCCGTTGCAGAAACTACCCTCATTTTTTGTTTCGCGTTTTCGGACGTATGCGGTCTCTAGACTCCTCGGCCGACGTGAAGCGTTGCGTGCTGGCGTTAGAGTCCCTAGTTGGGTACCCTACGCACAAGTCTTAGAGCCACCTGGAAATTCCCGTGATCCAAAACAGATTCTTAGGCGGCTCAAGGGCGCCTTAGGTTGAGCAGCTGCAATACAGGGCGGACTGTAGATGCGAGTGACTGTAGCAAAGACTGCGTTCAGTGGGTTGGCGCATATCCGGACATCTGAACTCGATTCAGAGCATTTCCAAATTGTGGTGTAAGAGAGAGCAGGAAGAGGAATCAATTTAACAGGTTCTGTGGCCAGGTTCTGTGCCCTCCTCTTTATTGTCCAGCCTGTAGCACCCAGTCTTGACCACTCAACCTGCAGCAACCAGCCTGTAGCACCAGGCACAGCAGCTTCGCAAACTTCCCACCTTTCCTACCTCCCGCATTGCTTCCCGCCTGCCCTCCCGCCAGCTGAATGGCACCACTGAGAGGCCACGCCTCGCTGTGTTCCGCTCCAACAACCACATCTACGCCCAGGTCTGTGCTGAGTTACGGAGCGGCGCAGGTCGGTACCGAGCGGTTCAGGTCGGCAGTGGGTCTCAGAGGGTACAGGTTGATGCTGAGTAGGGGCTGAGATGCGTGCTGAGTCTCAGAGCGGTCCAGATCGGTACTGAGTCACACAGGTCGGTACCGAGTCACACAGGTCGGTACCGAGTCAGAGGCTGAGTCAGCTGCGCAGTCAGCTGCGCACTCTCGCCTCTCGTGTGTGTTCATATATTCGGTGGGTTGGCCCATCTTCCGTGCATTCAATCCATCCTCTGTGCGCCACATTTCCCACAAGCAGACGCTTGCGTATTCGACGCCACGCAGCACACTCTCGGCGCCCGTGTGTTGGCGTCCCCGTGCATTCACCGTAGCTGTGTTTCTTCCCTTCCGTTCATGGTCTCCGCTGTCTAATCCATCCTGTGTAACGCATCCTGTGTGCCCCGCCTTCCCCACAAGCAGGTGGTGGACGACACCAAGCAGCACACTCTCGCCGCCGCGTCCACCCTCACACCCGCCCTCCGCGAGGAGCTGAAGCTCACGTCCGGCCCCACTGTGGTACGTTCATAACTTAGTCGCAGAGCACCTAACTGCATTCAACCTACTGACTCACGGAGTCCCAGTTTCACTCACGCCAGCCCCACCGCGGTCAAATTTCCCTCTCACGCCCGCCCTCTGCGAGGAGCTGAAGCTCACTTCCGCCCACTGTGGTACGTGCATAACTTAGTCCGACTCAACTCCATTTCACCCTACTGACTCACGGAGTCTCAGTTTCACTCACTCCAGCCGCGGTGTGTTCAGTGTGCAACCACCCACACACCCGTCCTCCACACGAGGAGCATTGTGGTCAGCACAATGCTCATCGCAGGCAGGAGCACTGTGTGGTACGTGCGTAACTTTGCTTCAGTTGTGCGTCACTCACTGAACTGTATTGTATTCCAGCCAACAAGAAATGAGAGGAATGAGAGTGTTCCACCAATGCACAAGTGGCGTGCAGATGTGTGGATGGTGCATGAGAGGGCGGGCTTGAGTTTGTGGTTCATGTAATCCTAGCAATCTGTGATGCCGTGCCTTGGATGGCCTGATACACTGGGGGGGTATTCTTGTTCGGTGTGGTAAGTTTGGTTGGGAATGCCAGGGAGTGCTGTGCTGATGAAGGTGAATGTGAGTTCTGGTCTGGATTGTCTAACAGTTCAACCCTAATCCCTCCTTTTCCCCCTTTTCCACGTTTTAACACTCTATGGTCCAATTCCTTCTATCCAACGCAGGCGGCATCGCGGCGTGTGGGACAGGAGATTGCCAAGATCTGCTTGGAGAGGGGTATCAGCAAGGTGGCCTTTGACCGTGGGGGTTTCGTGTACCACGGCCGCATTCAGGCTCTTGCGGACGGTGCTCGTGAGGGCGGCCTTGAGTTTTAAAACCTTGCTGTGAATGAGCTTTCGATGTAATGTGAACGGCTTGCAGTTTTATGCATACAGGGAGCCAATGTCCACTTGAAAGTAACACATGCAGATTCCCCAGATTGAAAGTGGAAATGAAGAAACTAAGAAGTGTTGGCGCTATTGCACGTGGGGGGCTTTGTATGGTCTTTGTGGTCCTTGTGAAGTCTCTACATTGCAATATACGCACAGCAGTTGGGCTTTGAGCATTTCGGTATGTGTCATGTCACGTGGATGTTGTACCGGTATGTGTCTGCTCCGAAAGCGGTGAAGCTTTAAGCGCGTAACGTTTTGAACTTGGGCGCGAACAGCCGAACCGCCTGCGTCAGAGATGCCTGACAGAGGTGATGGATATTGAATTTCTGAAGGAATTTAAAGCCCGCGTCCCAAATTGCGGGCCGCGAGGGTCAAGTTTTTAAAACTTGACGAAGTTGAGTGTCCAAGCTTTTGAAAGTCACGCACTTGCAATTTGGGACTTTCGAAGACAGATTCACTCACCAGGGGGGAAACCGAGGGCTGGCTGGGTCTCGCGAAAAAAACGAACCTAGACGAAATCGGAAACTCTCGCCAAAGCCCACACCAGAAAAACTCCCTCTGGTCAACTTTTAAAAGCATGAACAATTTGGGCCGCCGGCTTTAAGTCCAAACCACTTGCCCGGGCAGGGCAGATTGGTGGGAGTTATCGCGAGCCAATTACTTCATTGTTCACCAGCTAACTATATGTGTTCCTCGTTTAAGATCGGTTCGATGTTCTTTCTATTCACTGTTTTTCACTATGTTCTCCTTGCTGTAGTTTGGATGGGACAATAGCCCTTACGTTCACCAGCGGGAACTTCAGCCTAGAGAAACTCCATTCTTCAGGCAGCCAGGGCCAGGCACGCTCTGTTTGCAAGATCAAGATCAAGTTCTAGAGTCCTGTCTGAATGACTGTCTCGCTGGACTGAATGGATTACGGCTCTGCCAATCCCACCTCCTCGTGCTGTATTTTAGTCACCTGCTTCAGTTGGGAGTCTACCAGAAAGAGTTTCAGGCATGGGATTTCTTTTAGACCTTCAGTGAATGTTATTGTCAGGCCTTCGCGTTCATCCGTGGTATAATGCAAGGAGGGTTTCAGCTTTACCTAGCTGACTAATTTGACGTTCAGGATAAGGTAGGAGAAGTCGCTGAGTACGGAACATCCTGTTGAGTAGGACGCGGATATACCATAGTCAAGGTGCTGTACTTACCTTAGCGCTATATGAGAAACTTCTAGCTTCTCGCCAGCTATTTCCTTCTCTCGAGGAGCCTAAGGCTTTTTCTAGGCCCTTCAACTTCTTCTAGCAACCGACATCTCCACTAGAACGTTTCTCGCCTTTATTGCCTTTATAACCTCGCCGTTGACTTATCCTTAACATATTACGTCTCCAACGCTTAGCCAATGGCTGAAGCGATTTCAGTCGCGATTCGTTTTAGGCCTCTAAGCGACGTCGAACGATCCGATGGCACCCCGTGGTCCGTCCAAGGGAACAATATTCAGTTGGCCGATAACAGAGGGAACGTCGCTGCGGAATACTCTTTTGGTGGGTCGCTCGTCAGTTCAACGTCTTTCAAAACGTGCATAATCAGGGAGCTTTCTTGTTCTCTACCTACTGTCCATGACTTGCACGGCCAACTTTCTTCAGTACTTTTGTGAAGAAGTTATTCATTTTTTTAAGCACCTAAATTAAGTTCCTGATAAGATTTGTCTGAGCTGTTGCAGATCACGTGTTCGATGGAAGCGCGACGTCGGAGGACGTATTTCAGAGCCGCGCGTGCGATATCGCTAAAGCTGTTGTCGATGGCTTTAACGGTTAGTGAAGAAACAACCTACAAATATTCTGGTTTTGCGGCCTTCAGACTGATCAAACTGTGTCTGACGAAGTCTCACGACCTCTGATTCGCACGGTTTCTCCTATCAGTGATAGCGTTTTGACTTCTTTTTTTTTACAGGGACTATTTTTGCCTACGGTCAGACGAGCAGCGGCAAGACCTTCACCATGAGAGGCGTGCCTGCGTGCGAAGGCGTCATCCCGCTCTCCGTTCGCCAGGTCTTCGACACCATCTCACAGGTACCAGCTTTTTTACCTCTACCACTAGAGACAAGCTTTCCCAGTTTAAATCACGCTCGTTTTGACGCATGTAGTGTTCCGGTCGCTCTCTGTCCGTCAGGTTTGACGTTAGCTCACTTTGACCTGTATCACTGTTTTGAATATTTCAAGCATGCCTCTTCTTCTGGCAGACAATGAACCGGGAGTTTCTCCTTCGAGTGTCCTACCTCGAGATTTACAACGAGGAGATCAACGACCTGCTGGCTCCCGACAACCGGCGGCTTCAGATTCACGAGAGCTCGGAGGTGCGACGAGGCTTTTGATTGCCAGGAATCTCCAGATTGCGATCAACGCTACGACGTTTCGCATGCTATGAAGAGCGCGGAGATGACTTGGCGGCTTGAACATGCTCTGCTTTGTCTGTGACGCTTTCCGGTTATTGGGGAACGTTCTCCGCTCATATAGTATCCTGCTACGGCTCGTTCCGCTGGTGCATGCAGAGAGGCGTCTTCGTCGCTGGGCTCCACGAGGAGATCGTCATGTGCCCGGACCAAGTGCTTGAGCTGCTCAGCGTCGGAGAGAGTAAGATTGTGCTTTAAAACCCACCTCCATTGCTGTTTTCCGTGATTCGAGTTGAGTTGACTCAAGAGTCTCCACGAGGAGATAGACATGTGTCCGGACTAGGTGATTCGCCTGCTCCGTGTCGGAAAAAGTCAGGAATATCTCGGAACCCACCTGCATTGATGTTTCTGTGTGTCGAGCTCATGGATTGATTGCTGTTACGTCTGGCTGATTCTGGCTCCCATGTGCCTGTGCGTGTGCCTGTGCGTGTGCCTGTGCATGCCCCACGTGCAGCGAATCGGTCAATCGGAGAGACGAAGATGAACGAGAAGAGTAGTCGCTCCCACGCCATCTTCCGCATGGTACATTGCACACTCACCCCACCATGGCCATCAAGCACTGAATCCTGGCTGTCTTCCGTGATTTGGAGAATTCTTTCCCCGAGCTATAAAAACAGCTGTTTTTTTGTACGACCAAACGCTATTGGCCAAATTTTCACTGACTTCGGGAAACTGAAAAGTGAATATTGAGTTCGCCCATCCTTCGTGCCTGTGTTCTCTTGTGCGTGCTGCTCGCATGCAGGTGCTTGAAAGCAGGGAGATCCCGGAGGACGGGGCTACAGAGGCTGCAAGTCCTGTTCTCGTCTCCAGTCTGGTGAGTGCCGCCCCGTTGGTCACCAACGGAGCTAACGCTTGTGGGGCTTCAATATAAAACGTGTGGGGAGGGGAGGGGAAGGGGTGGGGGGTTGAGGGCGAAAATCCGATTCTTATGCATGTGCCCCTCTTCTTCCCCTCCCCTCCTTGCCCTTTCCCCGCCTCCTCAGAACCTGGTTGACCTTGCCGGGTCAGAGAGGGTGGCGAAGACGGGCGCTGAGGGGTCACGGCTGAAGGAAGGCGCGCACATTAACAAGAGCCTGATGACGCTGGGGACAGTCATTAACAAGCTCAGTGAAGGCGCTGATAGGAACGGGTGAGTTTCGAGAGGTGCAGGGATGTAATGAAGGGGGATATTGCATGAGATGAGATGAGAGAGTATGGAAGCAGTGGACCACAGTTTGCGGAGGGAGGAACGGAGGGACGCACATAAACAAGAGCCTGATGGTGCTAGGGATGGAGATCAACAAGCTCAGTGCAGACGCGGATAAGAGCAGGCGAGTTGCGAGAGTTACAGGGAAGTTAGGCGGCATGTTGAAGCAGTGGACCACAGCATGTGGAAGGAGGGAGGGGACGCCTGACAAGAGCCTTACTGGCGCGCTGGGTTGCTCCTTGTTGTGTTGTCCGTTGCAGGGCGCAAATCCCATACAGAGACAGCAAGCTCACGCGCATCCTGCAGCCAGCGCTGGGTTGAGTTGACTCAAACATCGCCTGTGCTGCTCTCTGTTGCGTCCTTGTGTGCTGCTGTCTGTTGCGCCCTTGTGCGTTGCAGGGCGCACATCCCGTACAGAGACAGCAAGCTCACGCGCATCCTGCAGCCAGCGCTGGGTGGAAACACCAAGACGGCCATCATCTGCTGCGCCACTCCTGCTCTGGTAAGACCAAATGCTTTCCTGCCAAATGACAGTAAGCCGAATGGTCTCTCCCCTGGTCTGGAACCCCTACCATCGGCTTGTCTACATGCCTTTCGTTCCTGAATGCTGGGTGGCAACACCAAGACGGCCATCATCTGCTGCGCCACTCCTGCTCTGGTAAGACCAAATGCCTTCCTGCCAAATGACAGTAAGCCGAATGGTCTCTCCCCTGGTCTGGAACCCCTACTATCGGCTTGTCTACATGCCTTTCGTTCCTGAATGCCGAGTTGCAACACCAAGACGGCCATCATCTGCTGCACCACTCCTACTCTGGTAAGACCAAATGCCTTCCTGCCAATCGATAATAATTCGAACGCGCGCTCCTCCGCAGCCCTTACCATCTGCTTGCCTATCCGCCTTCTGCCCCTGAGCGTTGCCAAGCTTGGTCTCTTGAGCTGTTTCATCGTTCCTCTTTGTTCCTCTTTGTCCGTTACAGCGGCATGAGGATGAGACGCACGGAACTCTACGGTTCGCCCTCAGAGCGAAGTGCATCACCAATTGCGCTAAAGTCAATGAGGTAATGCTTCTCTCAACTCAACGTTACCCTGTAGCTCGTCTTTTGAGACGTTGCAAAAGGCCCTTCCAATGCTGCAATCGATGAGGTAATGCTTCTCTCAGATCAACATTATCTAGTTGCCTTCTGATGCTGGAAATGTTTTGCTGATCCTAGCAGCTGGCAATGCCCAGGCTTTCCTGCAAGCGACCCTGGTGTCATGGCTTTGCACTGCACTGCCTGCCTTATCGCCCATTAGGCTGCTCATTGCTACCCTTGTTTGCCTTATCGCCCATTTGGCTTCCCATCACTTGCCCTGTTTGCCTTATCGCCCATTTGGATACCCGTCACTTGCCTTGTGGCCTCACCTTGTTGCCCATTTGCTGCCTGTCACTCGCTTTGCTGCCTTGTTGCTCTGGTTGCCTGATCGCCTGGTTGCACTGCAGATCGTCACCAACAGCGTGCTGCTCAAGAGGCAGGCGAAGGAGATTGAGGACCTTCGTGTTGCCCATGTGCTGTTCGTTGCTCACCTTGTTGCCCATGTGCTGCCCATTGCTCTCCCTGCCGCTTGTCTGCCATTGTTCCACTGCAGATCGTCACCAACAACGTGCTGCTCAAGCGGCAGGCGAAGGAGATCGAGGACCTGCGGCGCAAGCTGGAGGCATCCCACTCGCCTGAGATGGAGCAGGAAATTATGAAGCTGCGGAATGCAATGCTCAAGGTCAGTCGGTCAGTCAGTCAGTCAGTCAGTCAGTCAGTCAGTCAGTCACCATGCTTGAATGCCAGGCGCTTTAGTCCCACCCACTGGAGCCAGAGATGGAGCAGGAGATCATGAAGCTGCACAACGCCATGCTCAAGGTCAGTCGAGTTGGTCAGTCGGTTTCTTTGCATGAATGTCAGGCGCTCTAGCCCTCCAGGCGGATTTCCTTTCAGGGTAACACGCCTGTGGGCATGTGTGAAACAAGCTGGAGGCGTAGGGCAGTACAAAGCTGCGCAACGCCATGCTCAAGGTCAGTCGGTTAGTCCAACCGTCCAGTGGTACTCTGTCTGTCAGCAGGCCAGTCTACCCGTCCAGTGGTACTCTGTCTGTCAGTAGGCCAGTCCACTCACTGTGTGGTGCTCGTTTCTTTGTGGTTCAATGTCCTTTGGACCTCCTGATATGGATCGCCAGAGATGGAGCAGGGACCTGCAACTATCAGCAGGACTAGAAACGAGGGGCGCCTCACGACTGTATACTCTGTCTCTCTATGTTGCCCATTCTACCTCTCTATCTTCCCCAGATGGAATCGGAGAAGGAGGTGATAGCGCTGCAGCTGCAGGAGGAGAGGGCGGCGCACTCACAGAAGGAGCAGCGCATCAAGGAGCAGGAGAGGAAGATTGAGAACCTCAGCACGCTCGTTATTAAGGCCGCTGCTGGGGAGAGGCAGAATGACCGGCGGCCAAAGAAGGTGCGCGTTCGTTTCTTGGTGGGGGGCAAAACAAGATGCGGAGCCCTTGCTGGCCGAATATGTGTGTGGTTGGGTGGGCGGAAAGGGAAGGAGAACGGGATGTGCCGATCAGATTTGCAGTGAGTGTCCTAGTACCCATCGTCTGTATTTACATGTGCTCACATGCGCAAACATGTGCTCACATGCGCAAACATGTGCTCACATGCGCAAACATGTGCTCACATGCGCAAACATGTGCTTACATGCCGGTAGGTTGGGTCTAATGCTAACCAATGTGTTACTGTGGGTGGGCGTGATGCAGGGCAACCGCAGAGAATCGTGGTGCCCCAATGCTCGAGTGGAGAGCAGCCCAGCAGGAAACAAGGTGAGCAGCACGGTGTTAAGGGCATTAAGAGAGGGCTGTAAGGGGGAGGGGGAAATTGCCAAGGCCTTGATTGATAAGGAGACACCACGACCTCTCAATTTGTGTTGCGTCCTGCACAGCGCCGCTAGTTGCAATGGCATGGCTGTTTTCATTTGCCATTTGTTTCACTTCTCCCTGGGTATGCATTGCTGCTCCCTTCTGGTGTGTTTTATGTCTATCCAGAGCTAGGTTTGGCCCCTCATTATTGCCTTGTATCACTGTTCACCTCTCGCGTGTCACTCTGTAGGACAATCCGCCTGGGGGAATCAAGCGCCTGGCATTCATGCGCCGTGCCATGGCCTTCAAAGAGGACGATGAGGAAGAGGAGGACGAGAAGGACGAGAAAGATGACAAGGATGTGAAGCCAGAGAAGGTTCAGGAGGTGAATGGGGCTGCGAGGAAGAGGCGGATCAGCAGTGTGCAGAAGCTGGCAGCACTGTGGGAGACGAGTGGGCCCAAGGAGGTTAAGGAAGAGGAGGATTCTGACAAGTTTCAGGACGGCCAGCTGTTTCAAAGTGAAGGGCGGTTTGGGTCTGGGGTCGCCCAGGATGAGAGTGCCCGTGATGGGTCGAAGAAGAGGCGGGCTGCACCGTCCTTTGGAGATAAAGAGAAAGAGGAGTCGTCGCCTGTGGCAAAGAAAGTGAGTTGATCACAATGAACCATGCTCGTTTCTCTGCAACCCATGGGCTTCATGACGGATTCGTGTTTCCCTTCTCGTGTTTCTCTCACTCCTTGCTTCCCCCCTCTTTCTTTTCTCCTCTTCCCTCCACTTCTCTTCGTTCCTGGTGCAGCCTTTGCGTGGTGTGACCATTAGCAGCACCCTGTCAGCACAATGGAGCGAAGGGCATGCAAAGCAGGTATGCGCGCCCATGCACCGCCACCTCTTTCCCCTCGCCGCCCACTTCCCCAGCTAGCATAGAAGTACGCTCTTAAAAAGCATCTTATTTGTAAGCACTTCAGAAATAGACCCTTCCCTGCCCTACTCTCCTTTTCCGCCCTCCTCCCCCCAGCTAGCAGAGAAGGACGCGCTTATTGCGCAGCTGCAAGCACAGGTAGCCGCCATGCAGGCCACGGTGGGCGGAGGAGGAGGAGGCACAGGAATAAGCACAGAAGGAGGAGGAGGAGCAGCGGTGATGGTCGCAGGCAGTGGTGCCGAGACGAGGAGGGAGGTGGGAGAGGGAGGGGAGAAGGATCCGGAGGCGTTGGCTGCAGGGTCGGGCCAGGAGAGGCGGTCAAAGAGCATGGGCACCCCCGCTATGCTGGCACACGGGCTTCAGGCTAAGGTGGCAGCTCTGGAGATGGAGAAGGCGTGCATGCAGAGGGAGCTGGACTATGTGACACAGCAGGCCAAGGCACAGGCGAAGGAGCAAGCGGAGGAGCAAGCAAGCAGCATGCAGAAGCAACAGCAGGTAGGCACTTTCAGGCTTCTCATTTTGCATCCGCCTTTTTCCCAAAAGGCTGCAGTTTCCTTCTAACCTTGTATTGTCCCCTCTAACCTTTCAACGTTTATCCCGTCACTGCTGTCAGCGTTTTTCTTTCCCTATACCTTTTCCTGCGTGCCTGGCGTCATGAGAGCAGCTTCAGGAGGAGCTTGAGGATTGCAAACGGCAGCTAGAGGAGGCACAAGCAGCTGCCAATGCAGACACCCCCCCCTGCAACAACTGCAGCGCACTGAAGGAAGCACTGGAATCAGCCAACTCTCAGCTATACGAAACAGAGCATCTGCTACAGGAAGCCACTGCCGAAGCAGCTCAAGCAAGATCCGGCCCCACAGGAGCAGCGGGACAGCTGCTGGCGAAGCAGAGGGAGCTGGACGCAGCTGTATGGGAGGCGTCTCAGTTGAAGAGACGGGTGGAGGAGCTAGAAGCGAATGTGATTGCAGTGGAAGGGGTGCTGCTGGAGGTGAGCGGGGAGAAGGACGGCTTGGAGGAGGAGGTGGGTCGGTTGAAAGCACTGCTGGCGGAAGGAAGAGCGGGGACAGGCAGGGATGATGCGACTGGGAAGGAATGTGATGTGAGCGGACTGGAGGAGATGGGGAGGTTGAGGGAGGTGGTGGAGGCGAGGGAGAGAGAGCTGACGTCCCTCCGTGAAGCTGTGAGGAGGCTTCAGGCGGATGTTGCACAGGCTCTTGGGGATCCTGCCCCTGTCCCCGCCCTCGACACAGTGAACAACGGTAGCAGTATGGAGTCAGGTGCAGGTGCTGGGAGGGCAGTGGTGGGGGAGATGAGAGACCTGTGCGCGGCTGTAGGGCGGGTGACCTCAGCCTTAGCTGCTGCCAGGAGTGAGACGGAGGATATGAGTCTTCAGCTGAAGCAGGCGGGGGAGAGGGAGGCAGAGAGCGAGAAGAAGGTAGCAGAGGCTACAGCTGCAGCAGCAGAGAGCGCCAGGAAGCTGGCTCAGGCTCAGTCGCAGATGAAGGGAGGAGAGGCGGAGGCGGCGGTGGTAACCAGGCTGCAAGCGGAGCTGGAAGAAGCAGGGAGGGAGCTAGAAAGGGCGGTGGCTGCCCGGGATACGGTGGAGCTGAATCTGTTGACTGCGAGACGAGAGGCAGATGCAAGGGCTGCTGAGAGTGCGAGGCAGGTGGGGGTGCTAGAGGAGAGGATTACAGTGTTGGAAGGGGAGGTTGAGCGGGAGAGGGAGGAGAGGAGGATGTGGGAGGAGAGGGCGGGGGAGAGAGAGGGAGAGGTGCGGAGGGCGGTGGGGGAGAAGAGGGAGGCGGAGGAGAGGCTGGAGGGAGTGAGAAGGGAGGTGGAGGAGATGAGTGCGAGGTTGGGGGAGAAGGAGAGGGAGCTGGGTGCTTTGCAGGAGGAGCTCAAGCTGGTTCTGAAAGAAAAGGTGCGTGCATCTGCCCCAGGAAAGACAGCTATCTTTCGGCTCAGCTAAACTGAATCTAGCGTAATTTGATTTTTGACCTATCCTGCATTCCTCCCCCTCGTTCTCTGCCTTCCCTCAGTTCTCCCATCCACTAAGTTCCCCTCAACTTTGTTAACACCACTGCTTTCCCTCCGCTGCTTCACTCTTCCTTCTTGCTCTACTATCCATGCTTCCAGGACGCAACGAGCCAGAGGGCGGACCAAGTGGCAGCGGAGCTGGAGGCAGCAAGGGCCTCAGCGACCGAGGCTCAGCTGCAGCTCGAGGTGCGGCCATGCCTTATATTTTCATGGCCGATTAGTTGCCGCCTTGATAACGTTTATCGCCTCACCGTCATGACTCTTCAGTCACCTTTTACTGATTATCCCCACCCTCAAATTGCACATTCCTTCCGCTTCCCCTTCCCGTTCCCCTTCCGCTTCCCTTTCTCCATGCTAATCCCCTCATGTCTGTGCCCTCCAGGCGTGTAGGCAGCAGCATGCGGAAGAGCTGGCTGAAGCACGCAAGGAGCTTCTCACTACCAAGAAGGAGATGAGCTCCCTCAAGGGCAAGCCAGGAGCAGCCGAGCGTGAGAGGGACCAGCTGAGGAAAGAAGCCGAGAAGCGGAAAACCAAGATGCTGGACCTAAAGGCTAAGCTGAAGGCGGTACAGGCAGAGAAGCTGGCTCTGCAGGTGGATAAGGCGAACCTGGAGCGCGAGGTGAAGAGCCTGCGGAACCAGAGCAACCAGCTGGCGCGGGATTTGAGCAAGAGGGAGCAGGTGGAGGATAAGCGGAGGGAGGTGCAGGCGAAGGCTGTGCAGGCTGACAGGCAGCTGGCGGCTATGGCGGGGGATATTGAGGAGAAAGAGAGGATGATTTCGAGCTTGGAGGTGAGTCAGAACAGGGTTCTGTGCAGGTTCTGGGGAATATTCCTTGTAGGGGCTGTTGTCGAAAAGGGAGTGAAGCAGGAGGGCGCAGGTGGATGGTAAGCGGAGGGAGGTGCAGGCGAAGGCTGTGCAGGCTGACAGGCAGCTAGCGGCTATGGCGGCAGAGATCGAGGAGAAAGACAGGGCAATCATGGAACTTCAGGTGAGTGGAAAGAATAGGGTTTGTGTGGGTGCTGGGGAGTGTGGCATTTTATTAAGAGGGTTCTGGGTCGCCAGGCACAGCAGGTAGAGTAGTGTTGGAAGTGGGACGGAAGGATAAGCAAGAGCATACGGAGTAATGGGTTGATGTTTCCGCAACTCACTCCACTTCCCTGTCCGTCTCGTCCCACTTGGCCTTCCTCCCACCCTTCCTGCGGTCTTCCCCCCTGTTTTCCCTCTCCCTCCCCTTTCCCTCCCCTCTTCCTTCCCTCTTCTTCCTTTCTACCTCCCCTCTGCCTCCCCTCTCCCCACTCCCAGGAAGCACTAGAGGTGGCAGAGGGCGAGAGGGACGAGCTGAGGCTTAGGGTGGCAGCAGCAGCGGAGGAGGGCGAGCAGCTGCAGGCAGAGGTGGACGCGGGGCAGGCGGATATGCCCTATCACACTACATGCCACACCACTTCCCATTGATTTCCTCCCTCTTGCCCTCCCGCTGACCCTTCCTCCTCTCCCTCCTCTCTCTGTCCCGTCTACGCCCCATCTACCTCCCCTCCCCCTACCAGGCAGCATTAGAAGGTGCAGAGAGCGAGAGGGACGAGCTGAGGCTGAGGGTGGCGGCAGCAGCGGAGGAGGGCGAGCAGCTGCAAGCGGAGGTGGACGCGGGGCAGGCGGACCTGCAAGAGGTGCTCGCAGACTTTGAGACGGCCACCACGCAGATCAAGGCCTTGCAGGAGATTCGCCAGGAGCTGGTACGTGCAGAGGGAATGACAACCACTGGCACTGATTCGTGTGTTAATGTACTGTGAAAGAGCCACTGTTTATGTGCTGATGTGGGGAGATTGCAATGTGAGTGAGGTGCTGGCAGACTGTAAAATGGCCAGGGTGATTGATGCTCACGACTCTGCCTGGGACCCTCAGACGGTTGCCAACTCCACTGGTTTTGTCTTCCCTTGATTGTGTGCAGACGGAGCAGTGTGAGGAGCTGGAGAGGGGTAAAGCGGAGGCAGAGGCAGCTGGGAAGGAGGCAGAGGGGAAGATTGTGGCGCTGCAGGCAAGGATTCAGCAGGCAGAGGAGGAGAAGCGACAGCTGGAGGCAGACATCGCTGCAGCGCGGAAGGAGCACTCTGAGGTGGGTGCATGTGCTTGAGCTGGCTTAAGGGGACGTCTGCATCTGCTACTGGTTTCTGGGTTTGGTCCTCACACTCTTGGTCCATGTTCCCTATTCGCCGATTCACCGCTCCTCGTTCCCTGCTCCCTGTTACCTGATCCTTTGTTCCCTGATTCCTATGCCCTGTTACCTGATCCTTTGTTCCCTGATTCCTATTCCCTGTTACCTGATCCTTTGTTCCCTGATCCCTATTCCCTGTTACCTGATCCTTTGTTCCCTGATTCCTATGCCCTGTTACCTGATCCTTTGTTCCCTGATTCCTATTCCCTGTTACCTGATCCTTTGTTCCCTGATCCCTATGCTCTGTTACCTGATCCTTTGTTCCCTGATCCCTATGCCCTGTTACCTGTTTCCTGCCTCTGTTCCCTGCCTCTATTCCCGGCAGCTATCTGCACAGCACAAGGAGGCAGTGCAGGATCTGGAGAAGGAGAAGGCGAGAGTGGCCAATTTGGAAGGCGATCTCAGAGCAGAGAGAGCCAAGAGCGAGCGTCTTGGAAAGCAGGTGAGAATTGAGGCGCCTCTGAGCTGGCAGCTATCCGCACAGCACAAGGAACCTCTGCAGGACCTGGAGAAGGAGAAGGCGAGAGTGGCCAATCTGGAGCACGACCTCAGAGCAGAGAGGGCCAAGAGCGAGTGGCTTGGGAAGCAGGTAAGAATCGAGGCGCGTTAGCAGATTCCTCTGGTAAGCTCCATTAAACTAGCAAGGAGATGAAGGCAGCATGGATGTTGATGTTGTTTCTTTCTTTTAGCATTGTATGAATGTCGGTTCTTTTTGCTCCGCTCCCCTCCTTCCTCTCTCTGAATCTACAGGCGGACGAGGTGGTGGCGATGGAGAGCAAGGTAGGTGAATGCGACGAATGAAAGGATAACAGCGCTGCAGAGGCAGATGCATAGCTTTATTTCCCCTCCCCTATCCCTCCATTCTTACCCCTTTCAATCTTCCCCCATCCACAGGCGGACGAGGTGGTGGCGATGGAGAGCAAGCTGAACGCAGCGAATGAGAGGATAGCGGGGCTGCAGAGGCAGGTGCAGGAGCGGGAGGAGCAGGTGGAGCATCTGAAGCAGGAGAGGAGGGAGGCGGAGGAGGAGGCGCGAGCAGAGGGGGAAGGAGCTGCCCTGGCTGTGAAGCGGGAGCTGGCCTCGCTGCAGAACAAGTACAGCGCTCAGAAGGTATGCTCAGCAAAAGGTCAGTTGGAGTGAAACTTGTGTGTTGTTGGTAAAAAGCTAGATTTGATGGCTCGCTGTTGGTGCATTGAAGTGTCTTCCCTGGCTGTGAAGAGGGAGCTGGCATCGCTGCAGAACAAGTACAGCGCTCAGAAGGTACGATGGACTGAAGTGGTCTGGACAATGTGCTCGAGTTTACTCAAGATGTGGGTCGTGTTGAGAGCGTTTTGGCGTGCATCATTCCATTCTTCATCTGAAGTTTTCAGGAGCCTTATAATATATTTTCAGTGTCTTGCTGAGAGTCTGGAATCGATTCAGACTCTCAGCCTTATAATATATTTTCAGTGTTTTCAGGTGCTTCATAAACCTGGAATCGATTCAGCAGCTTCGATAATTTCCATGTGCTTCTGTTCTCTTTTTTGTTTGTTTTTGTTCCGCTGATCCCACAGAGTGTGTGGCGCAAGGCCTTTGCAGAGAAGAAGGAACGGGTCGAGAATCTCACGGTGAGACTCTTTGCTTAGTCATTCTGAGAAACCATGTCTGCAAAGCCGTTTGAGACCATCTCTGCATCTGTTTTGTGAATTTGCCATGGGTGCATCCTTGCTCATTGTTACGTCCCTGCTTCCCTTCTTTCTACCTACTTTGCTTGTCTTTCTACCTGCATTTTCCATAACCAGGGGCGCCTTCAGCAGTCAGAGCAGCAGCGCATGGAGCTGCAGCGGCTGCTGCAGTCACTGCAAGCAGAAGTAGGGAGTGAAGGCGAGGAGGAGGAGGGGGCCGGGAACAGGAGAAGGGGGAGTGGTGGCGAATGGAGGGGGCACAAGGAGGTGGTGGCAGTGCTGATCAGCGCGCAGGACACAAACAGGAAGCTTGTCAAGGACCTGGAGGGTGCCAGGCAGAAGGTACGACTCGGCACTTGCTGCCAATTGTTCTTGGTGGTTTTGAGATCCTCAGAACACCCTAGAGTTCTCAGAAACTTTGCAACCCAAAGGAGGTGGTTTTTTTTTTTTAATCCCCATGTTTTGTTAGTTGTTTTTTCTGCTGTTTGGATGGCCTGGAGAGCATACCGAGCAGAGGGTACGAGCAGAGTGCTGAAAGAAGAGTGGATCTTGTTGCGCTCAGTTCCTTCTCGGTGTTTTTGTTTCTACTTCTCCAGTATTCCCTTTCCTCTAATCTTACGCCCTGCACCTTCTGTTATGCCTTCTTCTCACTTCCTCTTCTCCCAACTCTACATCCTGCATTCGTCAATGATTTGTTGGCAGAGGCAGAGAAACGGTGGGATGATATTTTTGCGTGTCTCAGCCTCGTTGCTTCCCCTCCCCCCCCAACCCTACACCCTGCATCCACCGTTGACCAGCTGGCAGAGGCGGAGTAGCAGCAGGATGAGCTACGCCATAACCTTGTTTCTTCACTTTTCCCCCCAACCTTACACCCCGCATTCACAATCAACCAGCTGGCAGAGATAGAGAAGCAGAGGGATGAGCTTCAGCAACATCTCAACCTTGTCTCCTCTCCTCCCCTTTCCCCTCCCCTCCCCCTCCCACCTCTGCATTCTCCCTCGAGCAGCTTGCAGAGGCGGTAAATCAGAGGGATGAGCTGCAGCAGGTGCTGGATTCGAAAGAGGAGGCGTGGGAGGAGAGAGGGGAGAAGGAGAAGCATCGGGATGAGCTACGCCATAACCTTGTTTCTTCTCTTTTCCACCCCGCATTCACATTCAACCAGCTGGCAGAGGCGGAGAAGCAGAGGGATGAGCTGCAGCAGGTGTTGGATTTGAAGGAGGAGGCGTGGGAGGAGAGGGAGGAGAAGGAGAAGCGTCTGCAGCAGCTGGAGCTGGATGTGAAACTGTATGAGGTGAACCAGAAGGACTACCTCATGCAGATAGAGTCACTGGAGAATCAGGTGAGCAGTCAGGTTGGGGGTTATGTAGGTATGGCCTTCTGTAGGTATGGCCTTTTATGAGGTGAGCGGCTGTATCATCTGGAGCTGGATGTGAAGCTGTATGAGGCGAATCAGAAGGACTACCTCATGCAGATAGAGGCACTGGAGAATCAAGTAAGCGGTCGGGGGTTATGAAGGTGTACATTCTTCTGTCGGTTTCCTCTATGCGATCCTTTTCCTCGTTTGCATTCTTTTGCAATGTGCTCAGTTGAGACGTTTTTTATAAGCTGCTGTGTTCTAACTAAGCAAGTTCTGTTTCTTGCTCATGCAGCTTCAAGCAAAGGAAAACCAACCAAGAGGTTCTTTGACTGTACATGGTGATAAAGTCTGTCAGATGAGCATAGCTGTGGGTAAGAATGGTGTCTCGCCATCTCCCAAAAGGGCTCGCCAACCATTAACAGAGCTTTAATAGGAACTTTGGCTAGTCGCTTATGAGGATTTTATATATTGCAGTGAGCATCTCAAATATGTTGGGCTGAGAAAGCCCTTAGGATATTTTCAATTACTAAGGCTCAGGGTGATCATGTATTGGCGAAAGCGTCTTAATGAGACTGGTTGAATCACCTTGTACTGGTATGTGAGAACAAGATGAATGGATCATAACGTAGAGATACGGGGCTTTTATATGATCACAAGGAACATGAAAGGTTTCTACTAACTGCAATTGTAACTGCTGACGCGATTCGATGCAGCGACGACTCGGGTAACTGCTCAATAGCGAGTCAGTTATTTGTCCTTGCTGTCGTGCTGTTTCGTCTAGTCAAAGGTCGCTGACCTTTTACCTTTGCTTCAACTTCTTGCTGTTGTCGCTTTTGTCAACCGCTCCGCTGTAGCTTGGTTGACTCGGTGTTGCTTCGTTGTGGATCTGCTTCATTCTTGTTATAGTGCTCGACATGTCAGAAGTGTGAACTACATGTTTCCAACAAAATAGTGGTTCTTGGTACCATATAGGTATGTATTCACACAATAATAAATACATTATAGAGGAATTCGCCTGTACATCTACGATGGGACTTGATTAAAATTCTTTTGAAATGGATGGAATCAGAAGGCATGTAAGGTGTAAGTTTAATTCCATAATATTCATCAGCAACATAATATTTGTTAATGCGGGAATCCGAATTTTCTTTTAGGGGTCCAGCCGCCAAACTCATTCAGCCTGACAAATATTTGTCAAGGCTGCGTTCTGCAGGCGCATCAGCCCGCATCAATGTGCATTGCTACATTTTACGACGGCTGCAGGATCCTTTCTTGATAACCTCCCGACAGGTTATCAAGGCTCGCGATAAGCGCACGGCTGCCGAGGCAAACCAAGCCCGAATGCCTGCAGAACGGCCTTTTGGCCATCGAAATTCGTAAAGTGAACGCATTCCAAGAAGCTTCTTCTCCTAGCATTCGGGCGCATCACTGAAGCACGCATCATGCGACTTCGAAAACTCGCATCATGCGCGCATCAGCTGATGCGCTGCAACCTCATTGGCCAATAAGTTTCCCACCTCCGAAATTCATCGAGACCTGACTTCCAAGAAACCTGTAACATTCAAAATGTTGAAATTCGTCAGAAAATTGAACTTCAATTTCCTGACCTCAATTCAAATTTGTATGATTTTCCAAACCTCAATTCCAAATGCCCGAACCTCAATTTCGCAATTTCCAAAACGTAGTTTCCGAACCTCAATTTCTCAATGTCGCATCAGGCCGAGCCTCAGACGCATCAGAGCTGATGTGCATGCAGAACGCAGCCCATGTGCCTTTGTGCTGGCGCAGCTCGGCTTGATATATATTGACTTCGGTTCTGTTCGTTTCGATGTTCCGATTATGGTGTGTCTCGTCATCTCCTCTTGAAGTTGTCTAGGACATTGAACTTCCCGCTTCCCGCCCCATCCGTTTCTTCCACCGTCGCATTCCGTCACTTGTTCCGTTATTCAACTGCCGCTCTGCCTTGTTTCACGCTCCCCTTGCATATGTCGTCTAGGGCACGATGTTCAGAAGCGGCTGAGTCTCAGCAAAAGTGAATTTCTAGATTCTTGACGGCATAAGATTACTGTGTCGTGCTTGCTATGGAGTGACACGATAGTAGCGTCGCAATGGCTAGTGGTCCCGGTTGTCGTACTCGGTCTGAAAACGTCGTGAATCCCGCGACTGCTCGCCAATAGAAGCATTCCACGTGGCATCACAGGTTCGAAGACACGTGGTATGCTCAGCGTGCATGAGCCCCATGGCCAAGCCGCTTACCTCTACCTTCAATCGTCCGCCTGTCACGTCAGCGCCACGTGGCTCAGCTGGACTGGCTGCAACGCACGGTTCAGTATCGCCGTCGTCAATTCGTTTCCATCCGCGTGGTTCCCCAACACCTCTACTCTACACCTCAACAGCTCTTCGTGTAGTTCGCACTTCCAACTGCACTTTAAGATGCGATAAATGCTGCACGCCAAGTTCCAACCAGGCGGCTTTGCTTAATAAAAGCCTCACTCCTCGACCGCATTCCCTACGCGCGGCATTCGGCGCATGCGGAGTTCACGCGCGGACACCGCGGGTGGCCCCACGGGGGGGGGTTTCCGCACATGAACCCAGGCGGAACGGAGTGGAAGCAGCGCCGCGCACAAGGGGTGCCGTGGGTCGGTCGCTTAGCACGACGACGGCGGCAGGACGCACCACTCCTCCAGGACCCTCCTCCCCGCCCGACCCTCCTCCTGAACGTCCTCGTTTCTCGCTCTGGCCCAGGCCTCCAGACATTGGTAAGGTACCGAGCCTCTAGGCTCGGTTTTGGCTGCAATCTTGGTCCCCACTCCCTTCCCATTGCAGAACCCGAGGATGGAAGTTACACCAACAGTGGTAACCTAGGTGTTTGTGTTGACTAAAAATATATATTCCTACGCCCTTCCCGTTGCAGAACCCGAGGATGGAAGTTACACCAACAGTGGTAACCCCACTGACGATGGCAGCAGCAGCAGCGAGGAAGACGATAGCACCATCAGCAGCAGTAGTAGCAGTGACACCAGGCCAAAAGTTTTTGGAGCGACAGCAGCAGGAAAGGCAGCAGGAAAGGCAGCAGGCAAGGCAGCAGGGAAAAAGAGCAGTGGAGGTCGAAAGGGAGGGGGGAAACGGGTGGGTTCCCTTCAGGGAGCTCCCAGGGGGGTGGCGTCTAGAGCACAAGCCGCCGACCCACGCAGGAGGGATTTCGAGTCTGTGACTAGAACAGGCGAGGTGGCCAGGGGAAGTGGAGGAAGCGGGGGGATCGGGATGAGCAGAGAGGAGGAGGAGGTGTGGGAGAAGAATAGGGGAATGGATGGCGTTTCTGATATGGATAGGCTTGCAGCGCTCTGGTGGTTGGGTCTGCCCATGCCAGGGATCCCGGATGGGAAGGGAGGGACGAGGGTGCCTAGTGATGCTGAAATGTTCGTGCATGTGTTTGTGAAAGGCTTAGACGTGCGGCAGATAGGGATGAGTGAGGGCGGGAAAAGCGGCAGCAGTGAGAGTGGGAGGGATGGTGAGAGCGGGGGTGAGAGAAACGGGGAGAAGCTAGGCGAAATGCTTTTGAAACTTTTCAAGAGCTCTGAGAAAGGGAAAGATGGGGGGACTGGAGGGGTAGAGGAGGGGAAGGGGGTTATGATGATTGAGCGAGATGGTTCTTCTAAAGAAGTTGATTTGGCAGAGGTTGAGGCAGAGCTTGCAGCTTATCTTGACTCCGCTAGCAAGAAGGCTGCTGAAGGCCGTCGTGAGCAGGGTGACATAGGCACTGGGGAGAGCAGGAATGGCAGCAGCAGCAGCAGCAGCAGCAGCCGCAGTGGTGGCAGTAGCAGCAGCAGCAGCGGCAGCGGCAGCAGCAGTGGTGGCAGTAGCACTGGCCGCAGAGGAAGCAGTGGTGGTGACGGCGGCAGCAGTGGTGGGAAGGGACTCTTTGGGTTTGGGGGAGAGGTGGCACGTGGCCTCGCTGATGCTGTTCAATGGTTCCAGTCAGTCACCTCTCCCAACCCCTCCAAACCGCTCGAAGCCACCATTGACCCACCCATTCCATCCAAGTCTGCCAAGTCACCTGAACCTGCCAAAACACCTGAACCTGCCAAAACACCTGAACCAGCCAAAACACCTGAACCTGCCAAGTCACCTGAACCAGCTAAATCACCTGAAGCAGCCAAGCCACCTGAATCTGCCCTGTCATCTGAACCTGCAAAATCACCTGAACTTGCCGAATTGCCTGAACCTGATAAATCACCTGCCCAATTCCTTGCACCTGCCAAACCACCTGAATCGACCATTTCATCTCCCCTTCCTTCTAGCAGTACAGAATCTCGCGAAGCCACGCCTCCTCCTTCCATTTCACAGCCCGTTCCCTCGCATCCTCCTCCTCCCTCTCCTCCTTCTGCCTCCCCTCCTCCTTCTCCTTCCCGTTCTCCTCCTACTCCTCCTCCTCCTCCCTCTCCTCCTCCTTCTACTTCCTCCTCTCCTCCTCCTCCTCCTCCTCCTCCTCCTCCTCCTCCTCCTCCTCCTCCTCCTCCTCCTCCTCCTCCTCCTCCTCCTCCTCCTCTTCCTCCTCCTCCTCCTCCTCCTCCTCCCTCTCCTCCCTCTCCTCCTCTGTCTCCTTCTTCCTCTCCTCCTCCTCCTCCCTCTCCTCCCTCTCCTCCTCTGTCTCCTTCCTCCTCTCCTCTTCCTCCTGGTGTGGCAAAGGCAGAGCTAAAAGCCCCAAGCCCTGGCATCAAAGACGAGCCCTTGGATGTGCAAGGCGCTAGCAACGAGGCAGACTATAAGGGGTATAACGAGGCAGGGGGAGACGAGGGGGAGTTGGCGGCTGGGTGGGATTCGAGCGAGGAAGTGAGGGGTGAAGGGGACGGGGGAAGCGGGCAGAGAAGGAGGGCGGGGGTTGAGTCTGGTTCGGGGGAGCTGGAAAGGAGAAGGGGAGAGGAGGAGGAGAGGATTGGGGCAAACGTGTTGGGGGAAGCAGAAGAGAGTGAGGAAGAGGAGAATGCGGGGTGGGTTGCGATAGAAAGGGATAATGAGGGGCGGATTGGAGTGGAGGACGGAGAGGCGGATGCAGCCGGGGAACGTTCGGATGTGGATCAATGGATGAGGACGAGGGGAACGGATCCAGAAGAGAGAGCGCCTGAAGGGGCGAGAGAGAGAAGAGAGACTTCTGAGGCTCCTGAACGAATGAGCAAGGGAAGAGAGGCCTTTGAGACGCCTCAACAAGCAGCAGGGGGTAGAACAGATGTGGATGAAGGGATGAGGACGCGGGGAGAGGATCTTGAGGCGCCTTTACTGACGAGAGAGAGAAGAGAGACCTCTGAGACGCCTGAAAGTACAAGAGAGAAAACAGGCGCTTTTGAGGCGCCCACAAGAATGAAAGAGAGCGGAAAGCTGAGAGAAGCGGTGGAGAGGCAGAGCAAGGAGGAGGAGAAGAGGAGATCAAAGGAGCAGCAGAGGGTGGAGAGGAAGAGGGAGAGGAGGAGGGCGAGGAGGGTGATGCTTCTGGCGGCTCAGCTGAAAGAGGCCTTGGAGAGGCAAGGCAAGGTGATCCTTGAGACGCCTGAAAAAGCTTCTCAGTTGAAAGAAGCCTTGGAGGGGCAAGGGGAGGGGAGGCAGGGGGCGGTGAGGCAGGGCGGAGAAGAGGGTGTGTGGGAGGATGGGGTGGGAGAGAGGAGAGAGGGGGATGGTGATGGGGGTGAGGGAGTGTTGGGTGAGGGGCGCAGGGAGGGACAAGAGGGAGGGATGGGCGAAGGCAAGCGACAGATGGGAGAAGGGGGAGAGACGAGCGAAGGTGAAAGTGAGACTAGCGAGGAGTTGGAACCGGTGAAGATGGAATATGGAGGAGACAAAGTGGGGAAGGTGGATGGAGGGGGGAATGGTTTGGGAGCAGGAGGGAGTCTGGATGTGGAGGAGTTGAGAGTGGTGGATTTGGGCCAGGTAGCGCTGCTGCTGGGGGCCATTGAAGGGCTCAAGGAGGTTCGGGATCTGCCGAAGCTGATGAGCTGGCTCGGCGGTGTGTCGCAGGGGGAAGGCGGTGAGGTTGGTCGGGCTGAGGTGGATCAGGCCAGTGATGACGTGACACTGGGCAGTGCCGAGGTGTCGCAGGTGCTGTATGAGCTGGCGATTGCGGAGGAGAGTGAGAAAGCGCTGGCGCTGCTGAGATGGATGGAGGAGAGGAGGGAGAGGGAGTGGGAGGGGATGAGTACGGATCAACGGAGAAAGATTGTGGAGGAGGAGAGAGCGAGAGAAGCGAGAAGCCTCGAAAGAGGGATGCAACGGGGGGGAGAGGGAATCTAGAGCAGGACGGCGAGTGAGGGAGAGGATGGGGTGCCAGAAGAAATTCAAGGAGGAGTGGTAACTGGGGCGGTTTTGGGGGCACCTGAAAATACCCAAGAGGGGGTGCTGTTCGGGCCGACGTCGAATGCGTACGGTGCTGTTGTGACGATGCTGCTTCGCTTTGGGCGGGTAGAGGAGGCTGAAGCGATGGTCATGGGGACAGTGCGAGAGACGCAGGAGCAGCAGGAGGAGACGGGGGAGAAGGAGGCGAAGGGGCAGCAGGAGAAGGGGCAGAATGGGCAGCAGGGGCAGCAGTTAAAGCAGCAGCAGGAACAGTGGGAGAAAATCCATCCTCCCCCCATCCCCATTCCCCACCGTGTCTACTGCCAACTCATTGGCGCTCTGGTTGGCACTGGCATGGGCTTGCGAGCACTTGCTGTGTTTTCCAAAATGAGGAAAGAGCAGGGCCAGGGGCAGAGCACTGGGCAGAGCAAGGGGCAGAGCAAGGGGCAGGGCAAGGGGCAGAGCAAAGGGCAAGGCAAGGGGAATTGGAAGGGGGGCGGCACAGAGTGGGGGAAAGGTGGGGGAAAGGGGGGTTCCGAACGGGGTTTTAAGTGGGCGGACAAAGGGGCTAGGAAGGCGGGGGAAGGGCGGCCTTCTTTGGCGTTATGCCACCTGGTGATGAAGGGGTGCTTGAAGGAGGGCGGGCGGGCGGGCCTGGAGGGATGCAACGTGCTGGTGGAGGAGATGTTTGCGATGGGCGGTGAACTGAAACCCACTCCGGTGAGAATGGGAGGGGGAGGTGAGTGGTATAGCTGTTGTTTGGTCTGGTTCAAGTGCGGGTTATCTGAGATCCCTGAGAGAATCAGTGGGCTGACGAAGCTTCTAGAGCTCTGCATCCAGTCATTCTGGAACGAACGGGAACTTCCCAAGTCCATTACGGGTCTCAGGCGCCTGGAGAGCTTGCGCATCGTGGATTGTGAGAGCCTCACTCAGATGCCCAAGAATTTGGAGAGTTTTGTAAGTACCTGGAGGTGAAATTGTGTCCGGTGCTGCTGCCCACTCTATCACTGCTGCTGCCTTCGATCGAGCGTGTATTTGATGAGAAGGTGTATTTGAGCGAAGCTAATACACCTTCTCAACAAATACACGATCAAGCGAATGTGGCAGCAGTGACAGAGTGTGAAGCAGCACTGGACACAATCTCACCTCTAGGTACTTGAGCCTCTCAGGGCTCTTCAAATTCCTGGGCATCTGAGTAAAGCTCTCACAATCCACAATGCGCAAGCTTTCCAGGCGCCTGAGACCCGTAATGGACCCGGGAAGTTTCCGCTCGTTCCAGAATGACAGGATGCAGAGCTCTTGAAGCTTCGTCAGCTGGTTAGTGCTCTCAGGGATTTCAAAAACCTGGTTCCTCACCTAGCAGACGCGCATGCAGTCATCATGAAGGCGTGGCTGGGGCAGGGTGGGGGGATTTTTGAGTCGACTCAAAAATCGCCTCATCACACGCTGGGGCAGGGTGGGGGGCATCACAATAATTGTTTCTTTCCTTCCTTTCTTCTTCTCTGAACCCCCTACTGCCATGAACCGCACAGCTCACTTTCTCCTTCCTGATCCGTGCAATGCTGCAAGAGGGGGAGCTGAAGGGAGCACCTCGCGTGCTGCGCGAGAGGATGCCGCGCAGAAACTTGGTTCCGCGCCTGGAGGACGTGCATACAGTCATGAAAGCCCTGCTGGGGCAAGGCAAGGAGGCGGGAGTGGCCGAGGCGATGAGGATCATGAATGAGATTCTGGGAGTGAAGGGGGAGGGGTGGAGGAGGGAGAGTACCTTACAGATGGTCAAACCGAGCGAGGTTAGTGGGGGGAGGACGGGGAGGCAGAGGGGGGAGGCGGGCGTGGCAGAGGCGATGAGACTCATGGATGAGATTCTGGGGTTGACGAGGGAGGGGTGGAGGAGGGAGAGTACCTTACAGATGGTCACACCGAACGAGATGAGTGGGTGGGAGGGCATGCTTCATTCTTTCATGCCCTGTGAGCGTGCGGTGCCCAACCATCAGAATGCCCTCTTGAGTCTTGATCCGCCCTTTCCATCCATTCCCTCCATTCCATTGAAGCGTCTCTCCCACCCTTATCTAATCAACTCACCTTCCAAATGCTTGTCTTTGGCCTCAATCACAAGCAAAAGCTCAGTAAGGCCTTCCATCCTATGCTTCACACACCCACCCCTAACCTATCAGCTCACCTTCCGCATGCTCATCCTCGGCCTGTGTCGCGAGCGCAACCCCAGCAAGGCCGTGTTCTACCTCACTTGCATGATGGACGCGGGACTCATGCCCGATAGACAGCTCTTCCGCGCCTGCATGCTCACACTCTCTGCTCTCGGTATGCTCACACTCTTCTTGATGGCAAAATTGGTTTGTCCTCATCCTTTGTCCCTCTCTCGGCCATGTCCACGATATGTGTGTGTGTGTGTGTGTGTGTGCGTGCGTGCGTGCATGTGTGTGTGTGTATTTATATTTACACACATAATTAATATAAAATTGCGGTGCAAAATAATGTCGCTCTTTCGACCGTATCCATGATTTTTTTTGAAGTCTTTTCTTGAAATTCTTAAAATCGTGATGCAAAAAAGTGCCCATTTTTCGGCCGTATTCACGACAAGTTTGAGTGCCATCACGATCCGTTTGGTCACGACGACATTTTTTTCTTCTTTTTTCCGTTTCATAGGTAGGGCAGTTCACGATTTAGGTTGATGATATGTAAAAAACCATGACGTGGAAAACAATGACATCTGCTCGACATTTTTTTGGAGCTCACTATAGTTTAAATCAGCTTGTTTGCACTTGAGCTGTTTATGCTGATAGACGCAGGCGATGCGAGGAGGACTGTCTGTCCATCGCTCATAAACGTGGAGTTTTTTAGAGCAGACCCTTACTGTCTTACTTTCTTTCTCACCGTCTTGGATCCCCTGGTTATTTTCTAACCGCACGTGACTTGCGACACGTTCTAGCTGTTTGTGTTAATGCGCGGGACGAGGGGCATGCGGGCGCTGATAGACGGGTGCAGACCTGAGAATTGAGGTGAGTTTTGAGGCGCCTCAAACTCACCTCAATGCTCGCGGATTTTGAGGCGCCTCAAAACTCGAAGGGGCACGCGGGCTCTGATAGACGGGTGCAGACCTGGCGTATAGCACAGACCCCCCCTTTCCCCGTTCTCCATCGTTTGTTCCCTCATCAGGCATCACCCGCGATGCATTGGAGTTGTTTGAGATGATGCGCGGGACGAGGGGCACTCGGGTGCTGATAGACACAGACATGTGCGTGCCTCCCCGGCCCCCTCTTCCAAATCATCCCTCTCTCTTCCATGTATTCCCGCTCTCATCCCTCAACCAGGCATCACCCGGCACGCATTGGAGTTGTTTGAGTTGATGCGTGGGACGAGAGGCACTCGGGCGCTGATAAGCGCGGATCCGTGGGGCACTGACCCCATTTTCTGGTCGTACCCCTGGCCTCTTCCAACCAGGCATCACTCGCGATGCATTGGAGCTGTTTGAGTTGATGCGCGGGACGAGGGCCACCGGCGCCCTGATAGACGCGGACATGTGTGTGCCGCCCCGGCCCCCTCTTCCAAATAGTCCCTCTCTCTTCCATGTATTCCCGCTCTCATCCAACCAGGCATTACTCGCGCAATGCACTCGAGTTGTTTGAGTTGATGCGCGGGACGAGGGCCACCGGCGCCCTGATAGACGCGGACATGTGTGTGCCGCCCCGGCCCCCTCTTCCAAATAGTCCCTCTCTCTTCCATGTATTCCCGCTCTCATCCAACCAGGCATTACTCGCGCGATGCACTCGAGTTGTTTGAGTTGATGCGCGGGACGAGGGCCACCCGTGCGCTGATAGACGCGGACCTGTGTGTGCTGTGCCGATCCCTTTTTATCCCATGTATTTCCTCACTCTTTTATATAAGCTATAACCCATCTCTCGTTCCAACCAGGCATCACCCGCGACGCTCCAGAGCTGTTTGAGCTGATGCGCGGGACAAGGGGCAGACGGGTGCTAGTAGACGGGTGCAGACCTGGCGGCGAATAGCACTGACCCCTCTTTTCCCATTCTCTCGTTCCCACCAGGCATCACCCGCGATGCATTGGAGTTATTCGAGCTGATGCGAGGGACGAGGGCCACGCGGGCGCTGATAGACGCAGACATGTGCACGCTGCTGTTGGCGGCGCTGGGCAAGCGAGGGCTGGGGCTCGAGATGAAGCGCGTGGCATCACTCATGCGGAAGGTGGGTTTTTTGCGGTGGGAAGGTGGAGTTTTTGTGGAAGGAAAGGATGTGCCTTGGTGGTGGGGATTTGGTAGTGAGTGTCATGGGGAAGGTGGGAACTGTCTGCTCCTATGTCCCTCTACTCTGCGTCCCTCCCTCTCCTACCCTGCCTTACCCCACCCCACCCCACCCCACCGCACCCTACCCCACCCCACTGTCCTTAGTTGATCATTCCGCTGTCCTCACTTTGAGATGGTATCAGAGTTGCGGGCAACTGCTGGTCCTGAAGTAGGGTCAGCCAGGGCAACTGGAACCGGAGCAGGAAGCAGTGTGATAGTCGTGTGGTCGCGGAAGAAGCACTGCGACGCGCCAAAGTCCAGCGTGGAATATCTCAACGGAAATTGGGTCGACGGTCCCATTTGTCAGGGAAATGGGACCGTCGACCTATGTTGCAAAAGACGCGTCCTGCGTCTAGGACGCAGCGTCTTAGACGCAGGACGCTTCTTTGGGCCCTGTGAGATGCTGAAAAAGGCGCATGCCCGGGCAGGGAAAAAAACCGTCTGGGCAGCCAAAAAAGCATGCTAGAGGGCATGGGAAGGAGGGAGGGAGAATGACGTACCACACATTTGAGGCAAATTTTTCCTTATTCAACATATTTTCCCTCATAAACAGGTTCCCCAAGAGTCACACATGGTCTAGGGTTTTTGAAGGAGAATTGAAGGATCTAAACTCTCTAGGGTTTTTGAAGGAGAATTGAAGGAGCTAAACCCACTAGGGTTTTTGAAGGAGAATTGAAGTGAGCTTGAGATATGGAGGCAAATGAAGTGTTTGTGCTCCTACAAGTACTTGGTGGTGGACCACAATGGTTGGGGGGGTTTTCAAACTTGGTTGGGGGGCGGTTTTTCAAGGTCGAAATAGGTGTTGGGGGGGTCAAAATTTCACGAAATTGACATTCGCGACGAAAGCGCGAATGTCAGTTTCGCGCTGGGCAATTTTTTTTCCCGGTCCGCCCGAAAAAAAAAACGCGTGCGTCCTGCGTCCTTGCGTCTGGACGCTGCGTCCAGACGCAGAACGCACGACGCGCCCAGCGTCTTTTGCAACATAGCCGTCGACTGTCGACTTGTTAACCCCGGGCAGAAAAAACTAAAACCCCCTCGGATGGCATGCATCCGACGGAGGCACCAACCCCAAACATCATGCGACAAGGTGTTTATGGTTGATGCCTCCTTATGTCGCATGCCATTCCTTGGGGGTTTTAGTTTTTTTTCAGCCCTTGGCAGTTTTGTTGCTGGGCGGATTCGTTTGTCCGTTGAGGTATTCTAAGAGAGAGAGCGACGCGTCAGCCGTAGGTGCACCTGGGCTAGTGACTACACAAGCACCTAGAATGGAAGCACAAGCACCTACATTAGCAACAGGCAAGGATACTAAGCTACGAACACGCGAGAAAACAGATCCAACAGCACTACTGCGAGAGCCTCGCCTGGAGGGCAGAATAAAGCACATCGACGTGAGGTACTTTCTACTGCGAGAGCTGCAGCGACGCGGTCACGCTTGGACTTTGTGGCCTTAGCAGCCAACACTGCAGACATCTTCATCAAGGCCCTTCCGCCTGGTGACCACCACAGGTTCTGTCTGCGGCTAGGCCTCGTTGAGGCAGGCCCTCGGCTGCTGTAGTCTTGCCTCTTGTTTCTTTCTGTGCTTCTCTTTGATTTATATATATCTGTAAATTCTTGAACTGGGCTTGTGGACTCTTGATTGTGATGAGACTGTGTGGTGACTTCGTGGTCCACCATGAGCTTTTTTGTTGTTGCTTCCCTTGACTGATCTTGTGACCGTTGTGTTTGTTGCTCTTTCTTGTTGTCCCTCACTTAGCCTATGGGGGTGTGTCATACTATGTGTTTGTGTGTTAGGCTACAGTGAGGCACACAGTAGGGATGATAACACTTCAAGGGTTTGTATTAGAGCCTCCCACTTTCCTTAGTTGATAATTTCGCTGTCCCCATTTTGAGACCCACCCCAACCCACCGCATCCCACCCCACCCCACCCCAATCCACTGCACCCCAGATGGCAATCCCTCACAGCAGCGAATCGTATGCGCAGCTGATCATGGGGTATGCACGGGCGGGCATGTGGGGCGAGGTGGATGCTCTAGTGGACGATATGGAAGATCAGACCAGCAAAAGCACAGCTATCGCCGCCCCAACTGCTGTTGCTGCTGATTACGCCTCCATCTACGTTGGTGTTGAAGAGCTGGGGATTGGAGTTGAGCCAACAGTGCGCGACAGCCTGGCGGTGTGCAATGCGCTGATGATGGCGTATGGGAGGGCCGGCAGGATGGAGCAGATGGAGATGGTGGTGAATCGGCTGAGGGTGCTGTCGCCAGATGGCACGCTGCGATTGGTGAGTCTGTCTGTCGCCAGATGGCACGCTGCGATTGGTGAGTTGGGTGGTGGGAGAGGTGACACGTTGGGATTGGCAAGTTGGGTTGGATAGATGAATCCCTGCAAGCTGGAGCTTCGTGGTTCGTAACGATTCATTGCAAGTAAGTTATGTTTTTAACCATACGTGCGTCGCCTTAGAGGTGCGCACCCATTGCTGCGTTCTTCCTCTCCATACCCCCACAACTCCAAGCCTCAAATCTCATCCCCCATACCCGCCGCACCACACCACATTGCACTCCATCGCACCCCATCACACCACAACCCATCACCAGGAGTCCTATAACGCTCTCCTGGAGGTGCTCGCCCATCGCTGCGCCTTCTCCTCTACTCTCGTAGAGGTGTATGTAACCCCCAACCCTCACATCTCCTCTCCCAACTCATCCCACGTTCTCTCTCACCAGGAGTCCCACAACGCTCTCCTGAAGGTGCTCGCCCGTCGCTGCGCCTTCCTCCGATAGCCACAAATCTCATCCCCCAATTCATCCCACTTTCTCTCTTCAGGAGTCCTACAACACTCTCCTCGAGGTGTACGCGCGTCGCTGTGCCCGCAATCCGAGGAGACGAGGCAGGAGCAGGAACAGACGCAAAGCCTCTGCTGTTGCTGCCAATGCTTCTGCTGATGCTGATACTGATGCTGAGGAAGGTCTTTTCCTTTTACAAACAGAAGGTAGACTATCTCAAGCCCAGGGATTGAAGGAGGAAAAAGAAGCAGACAAGGAGGGCGATGCATACGTGGAAGGGGATTTGGAGGACGAGCAGGAGGGAGTCGAGTGGGGAGGAGAGGAGGCAGAGGAGGAGGAAGAGGAAGAAGCGGTGAGGGCACGGCAGGCAGCAGCGATGGCGGATGTGGCACGGGTGGTGATGGAGGTGGAGGGGGCGGGGCTCCGCCTCTCCATGCGTTCCTACGCTGCTGTCATGCAGGCCCTAGGCCTTGCTGGTCATTTCGACCAGGTGTGTTTCCACAGTGTGTGTGCATGTTGTACGTGCAAGATAGTGTGTTTGGCTGCACTCCACGGGTGGTGATGGAGGTGAAGGGAGTAGGGCTCCGCCTCTACATGCGCTCACACGCTGCTGTCATGCAGGCACTGGGTTTAGCAGGGCACTTTGACCAGGTATGGGTAGTGCTGTGTATGCAGTACGTGGTATGTATGTTACATGCGTGTGGTGCATGCAAGCAGCCCTCCGCCTCTCCATGCGCTCCTATGCTGCTGTCATGCAGACACTGGGGCTGGCAGGGCACTTCGACTAGGTTTGGATAGTGCTGTAGTGTATGCAGAAATGAATGCAGTGTGTATGCTACATGCGTGTGATGCATGCAAGCAGCCCTGCGCTCCGCCTCTCCATGCGCTCCTATGCTGCTGTCATGCAGGCACTGGGGCTGGCAGGGCACTTCGACCAGGTTTGGATAGTGCTGTAGTGTATGCAGAAATGAATGCAGTGTGTATGCTACATGCGTGTGATGCATGCAAGCAGCCCTGCGCTCCGCCTCTCCATGCGCTCCTATGCTGCTGTCATGCAGGCACTGGGTTTGGCAGGACTCTCATTCTCCCCCCCGGGTTACCGCGTGCACATGGTCTTGCTCAGGAAGAGGGCCGACTGGGGGAGGCGCTGCTGCTGCTTTCACTGTTGCACTCTGCGTCATTCTCCGCCTTATTCGCATCCCTTGTTCTCTCACTCCACCCCAGGTGAAAAGGCTAGTGGCAGCAGCACGCGCACAAGGGCTTTTATTCTCCCCGCCGCATGCTGACAGACGTATTCGGGAGGGGGAGAGACAAGGGGAGACACTCTACCACACTCTGTTATTTTCACTCCCATATTCCCATCCCTTCTCTCTCTCCACCCGGGCTAGTAGCAGCAGCACGGGCACAGGGCCTCTCATTCTCACCCCCGGTTTACCGCATGCTGATAGACGTATTGGAGAGGGGGGGACGACTAGGCAAACTGCTTCTTCTGCTCTCACCGCATGACTCCCTTTCCATTCGGCCCCACATTTCCATTCCTCACTTGCAGGTGAAAGGACTCGTAGCAGCATGACGCGCACAGGGCCTCTCATTCTCCCCACCGGTCTACCGCATGCTGATAGACATGCTGGGGAGGGGGGGGCGACTGGGGGAGGCGCTGCTGGTGTTCTTGCCTCCACGCTCCATGACATTCACTTCACTCCCATATTCCCATCCCTTGTTCTCTCACCCCATCCCAGGTGAAAGGCCTAGTGGCAGCAGCACGAGCACAGGGCCTTTCATTCTCCCCACCAGTCTACCGCATGCTGATAGACGTATTGGGGAGGGGGGGACGACTGGGGGAGGCGCTACTGGTGTTGGAGGAGCTGAAGAGAGTGCACCCGGGGCATGGCAATTTGTCTGCTTACAACACTCTCTTGTTGGTGCGTTGTGGTGGTGTACTCGTTATATGATGCATACTCGTTACAAGGTTCCTCAAAATGGGAGTAATGAGAGTGGGGGGAGGCTCTGCTGGTGTTGGAAAAACTGAAGAGGGTGCATCCGGGACATGGCAACCTCTCAGCCTATAACACTCTCTTGCTGGTGAGTTGTGCTAGTGTACTCGTTATAAGATGCCTCAAGGTGAGTGAGGAACTATTAAAGGCTGCTGGCTGGGGGAGGCACTGCTGGTGTGGAGGAACTGAAGAGGGTGCATCCGGGGCATGGAAACCTGTCAGCGTATAACACGCTGTTGCTGGTGAGAAAGTTACTTGTTATATGGTGAGAGCTAGGGGAGGAACTACTGGTGTTGGAGGAACTGAAGAGGGTGCATCCGGGGCATGGAAACCTGTCAGCCTATAACACGCTGCTGCTGGTGAGTGGTGTACTAGTTATAAGGTGTTACTTGTAATGTAAGGTGCTTCGAGATGGGAGTCATGACATGAATGCTTGCTGACTGAGGGAGGCGCTGCTGCTGTTGGAGCAGTGCGTGTCAGCTGCTGCTGCTGTTGGAGCAGTGCGTGTTAGCTGCTGCTGCTGTTGGAGCAGTGCGTGTTAGCTGCTGCTGCTGTTGGAGCAGTGCGTGTCAGCTGCTGCTGCTGTTGGAGCAGTGCGTGTTAGCTGCTGCTGCTGTTGGAGCAGTGCGTGTCAGCTGCTGCTGCTGTTGGAGCAGTGCGTGTTAGCTGCTGCTGCTGTTGGAGCAGTGCGTGTCAGCTGCTGCTGCTGTTGGAGCAGTGCGTGTTAGCTGCTGCTGCTGTTGGAGCAGTGCGTGTCAGCTGCTGCTGCTGTTGGAGCAGTGCGTGTTAGCTGCTGCTGCTGTTGGAGCAGTGCGTGTTAGCTGCTGCTGCTGTTGGAGCAGTGCGTGTCAGCTGCTGCTGCTGTTGGAGCAGTGCGTGTTAGCTGCTGCTGCTGTTGGAGCAGTGCGTGTCAGCTGCTGCTGCTGTTGGAGCAGTGCGTGTTAGCTGCTGCTGCTGTTGGAGCAGTGCGTGTTAGCTGCTGCTGCTGTTGGAGCAGTGCGTGTCAGCTGCTGCTGCTGTTGGAGCAGTGCGTGTGAGCTGCTGCTGCTGTTGGAGCAGTGCGTGTGAGCTGCTGCTGCTGTTGGAGCAGTGCGTGTCAGCTGCTGCTGCTGTTGGAGCAGTGCGTGTCAGCTGCTGCTGCTGTTGGAGCAGTGCGTGTCAGCTGCTGCTGCTGTTGGAGCAGTGCGTGTCAGCTGCTGCTGCTGTTGGAGCAGTGCGTGTTAGCTGCTGCTGCTGTTGGAGCAGTGCGTGTCAGCTGCTGCTGCTGTTGGAGCAGTGCGTGTCAGCTGCTGCTGCTGTTGGAGCAGTGCGTGTCAGCTGCTGCTGCTGTTGGAGCAGTGCGTGTTAGCTGCTGCTGCTGTTGGAGCAGTGCGTGTCAGCTGCTGCTGCTGTTGGAGCAGTGCGTGTCAGCTGCTGCTGCTGTTGGAGCAGTGCGTGTCAGCTGCTGCTGCTGTTGGAGCAGTGCGTGTCAGCTGCTGCTGCTGTTGGAGCAGTGCGTGTCAGCTGCTGCTGCTGTTGGAGCAGTGCGTGTCAGCTGCTGCTGCTGTTGGAGCAGTGCGTGTTAGCTGCTGCTGCTGTTGGAGCAGTGCGTGTCAGCTGCTGCTGCTGTTGGAGCAGTGCGTGTCAGCTGCTGCTGCTGTTGGAGCAGTGCGTGTCAGCTGCTGCTGCTGTTGGAGCAGTGCGTGTCAGCTGCTGCTGCTGTTGGAGCAGTGCGTGTCAGCTGCTGCTGCTGTTGGAGCAGTGCGTGTCAGCTGCTGCTGCTGTTGGAGCAGTGCGTGTCAGCTGCTGCTGCTGTTGGAGCAGTGCGTGTCAGCTGCTGCTGCTGTTGGAGCAGTGCGTGTCAGCTGCTGCTGCTGTTGGAGCAGTGCGTGTCAGCTGCTGCTGCTGTTGGAGCAGTGCGTGTCAGCTGCTGCTGCTGTTGGAGCAGTGCGTGTCAGCTGCTGCTGCTGTTGGAGCAGTGCGTGTCAGCTGCTGCTGCTGTTGGAGCAGTGCGTGTCAGCTGCTGCTGCTGTTGGAGCAGTGCGTGTCAGCTGCTGCTGCTGTTGGAGCAGTGCGTGTCAGCTGCTGCTGCTGTTGGAGCAGTGCGTGTCAGCTGCTGCTGCTGTTGGAGCAGTGCGTGTCAGCTGCTGCTGCTGTTGGAGCAGTGCGTGTCAGCTGCTGCTGCTGTTGGAGCAGTGCGTGTCAGCTGCTGCTGCTGTTGGAGCAGTGCGTGTCAGCTGCTGCTGCTGTTGGAGCAGTGCGTGTCAGCTGCTGCTGCTGTTGGAGCAGTGCGTGTCAGCTGCTGCTGCTGTTGGAGCAGTGCGTGTCAGCTGCTGCTGCTGTTGGAGCAGTGCGTGTCAGCTGCTGCTGCTGTTGGAGCAGTGCGTGTCAGCTGCTGCTGCTGTTGGAGCAGTGCGTGTCAGCTGCTGCTGCTGTTGGAGCAGTGCGTGTCAGCTGCTGCTGCTGTTGGAGCAGTGCGTGTCAGCTGCTGCTGCTGTTGGAGCAGTGCGTGTCAGCTGCTGCTGCTGTTGGAGCAGTGCGTGTTAGCTGCTGCTGCTGTTGGAGCAGTGCGTGTTAGCTGCTGCTGCTGTTGGAGCAGTGCGTGTCAGCTGCTGCTGCTGTTGGAGCAGTGCGTGTCAGCTGCTGCTGCTGTTGGAGCAGTGCGTGTCAGCTGCTGCTGCTGTTGGAGCAGTGCGTGTCAGCTGCTGCTGCTGTTGGAGCAGTGCGTGTCAGCTGCTGCTGCTGTTGGAGCAGTGCGTGTCAGCTGCTGCTGCTGTTGGAGCAGTGCGTGTTAGCTGCTGCTGCTGTTGGAGCAGTGCGTGTCAGCTGCTGCTGCTGTTGGAGCAGTGCGTGTCAGCTGCTGCTGCTGTTGGAGCAGTGCGTGTCAGCTGCTGCTGCTGTTGGAGCAGTGCGTGTCAGCTGCTGCTGCTGTTGGAGCAGTGCGTGTCAGCTGCTGCTGCTGTTGGAGCAGTGCGTGTCAGCTGCTGCTGCTGTTGGAGCAGTGCGTGTCAGCTGCTGCTGCTGTTGGAGCAGTGCGTGTCAGCTGCTGCTGCTGTTGGAGCAGTGCGTGTCAGCTGCTGCTGCTGTTGGAGCAGTGCGTGTCAGCTGCTGCTGCTGTTGGAGCAGTGCGTGTCAGCTGCTGCTGCTGTTGGAGCAGTGCGTGTCAGCTGCTGCTGCTGTTGGAGCAGTGCGTGTCAGCTGCTGCTGCTGTTGGAGCAGTGCGTGTCAGCTGCTGCTGCTGTTGGAGCAGTGCGTGTCAGCTGCTGCTGCTGTTGGAGCAGTGCGTGTCAGCTGCTGCTGCTGTTGGAGCAGTGCGTGTCAGCTGCTGCTGCTGTTGGAGCAGTGCGTGTCAGCTGCTGCTGCTGTTGGAGCAGTGCGTGTCAGCTGCTGCTGCTGTTGGAGCAGTGCGTGTCAGCTGCTGCTGCTGTTGGAGCAGTGCGTGTCAGCTGCTGCTGCTGTTGGAGCAGTGCGTGTCAGCTGCTGCTGCTGTTGGAGCAGTGCGTGTCAGCTGCTGCTGCTGTTGGAGCAGTGCGTGTCAGCTGCTGCTGCTGTTGGAGCAGTGCGTGTCAGCTGCTGCTGCTGTTGGAGCAGTGCGTGTCAGCTGCTGCTGCTGTTGGAGCAGTGCGTGTCAGCTGCTGCTGCTGTTGGAGCAGTGCGTGTCAGCTGCTGCTGCTGTTGGAGCAGTGCGTGTCAGCTGCTGCTGCTGTTGGAGCAGTGCGTGTCAGCTGCTGCTGCTGTTGGAGCAGTGCGTGTCAGCTGCTGCTGCTGTTGGAGCAGTGCGTGTCAGCTGCTGCTGCTGTTGGAGCAGTGCGTGTCAGCTGCTGCTGCTGTTGGAGCAGTGCGTGTCAGCTGCTGCTGCTGTTGGAGCAGTGCGTGTCAGCTGCTGCTGCTGTTGGAGCAGTGCGTGTCAGCTGCTGCTGCTGTTGGAGCAGTGCGTGTCAGCTGCTGCTGCTGTTGGAGCAGTGCGTGTCAGCTGCTGCTGCTGTTGGAGCAGTGCGTGTCAGCTGCTGCTGCTGTTGGAGCAGTGCGTGTCAGCTGCTGCTGCTGTTGGAGCAGTGCGTGTCAGCTGCTGCTGCTGTTGGAGCAGTGCGTGTCAGCTGCTGCTGCTGTTGGAGCAGTGCGTGTCAGCTGCTGCTGCTGTTGGAGCAGTGCGTGTCAGCTGCTGCTGCTGTTGGAGCAGTGCGTGTCAGCTGCTGCTGCTGTTGGAGCAGTGCGTGTCAGCTGCTGCTGCTGTTGGAGCAGTGCGTGTCAGCTGCTGCTGCTGTTGGAGCAGTGCGTGTCAGCTGCTGCTGCTGTTGGAGCAGTGCGTGTCAGCTGCTGCTGCTGTTGGAGCAGTGCGTGTCAGCTGCTGCTGCTGTTGGAGCAGTGCGTGTCAGCTGCTGCTGCTGTTGGAGCAGTGCGTGTCAGCTGCTGCTGCTGTTGGAGCAGTGCGTGTCAGCTGCTGCTGCTGTTGGAGCAGTGCGTGTCAGCTGCTGCTGCTGTTGGAGCAGTGCGTGTCAGCTGCTGCTGTTGGAGCAGTGCGTGTCAGCTGCTGCTGCTGTTGGAGCAGTGCGTGTCAGCTGCTGCTGCTGTTGGAGCAGTGCGTGTTAGCTGCTGCTGCTGTTGGAGCAGTGCGTGTTAGCTGCTGCTGCTGTTGGAGCAGTGCGTGTCAGCTGCTGCTGCTGTTGGAGCAGTGCGTGTTAGCTGCTGCTGCTGTTGGAGCAGTGCGTGTCAGCTGCTGCTGCTGTTGGAGCAGTGCGTGTGAGCTGCTGCTGCTGTTGGAGCAGTGCGTGTGAGCTGCTGCTGCTGTTGGAGCAGTGCGTGTCAGCTGCTGCTGCTGTTGGAGCAGTGCGTGTCAGCTGCTGCTGCTGTTGGAGCAGTGCGTGTCAGCTGCTGCTGCTGTTGGAGCAGTGCGTGTTAGCTGCTGCTGCTGTTGGAGCAGTGCGTGTCAGCTGCTGCTGCTGTTGGAGCAGTGCGTGTTAGCTGCTGCTGCTGTTGGAGCAGTGCGTGTCAGCTGCTGCTGCTGTTGGAGCAGTGCGTGTGAGCTGCTGCTGCTGTTGGAGCAGTGCGTGTGAGCTGCTGCTGCTGTTGGAGCAGTGCGTGTCAGCTGCTGCTGCTGTTGGAGCAGTGCGTGTGAGCTGCTGCTGCTGTTGGAGCAGTGCGTGTCAGCTGCTGCTGCTGTTGGAGCAGTGCGTGTCAGCTGCTGCTGCTGTTGGAGCAGTGCGTGTCAGCTGCTGCTGCTGTTGGAGCAGTGCGTGTTAGCTGCTGCTGCTGTTGGAGCAGTGCGTGTCAGCTGCTGCTGCTGTTGGAGCAGTGCGTGTGAGCTGCTGCTGCTGTTGGAGCAGTGCGTGTGAGCTGCTGCTGCTGTTGGAGCAGTGCGTGTCAGCTGCTGCTGCTGTTGGAGCAGTGCGTGTCAGCTGCTGCTGCTGTTGGAGCAGTGCGTGTCAGCTGCTGCTGCTGTTGGAGCAGTGCGTGTCAGCTGCTGCTGCTGTTGGAGCAGTGCGTGTCAGCTGCTGCTGCTGTTGGAGCAGTGCGTGTCAGCTGCTGCTGCTGTTGGAGCAGTGCGTGTCAGCTGCTGCTGCTGTTGGAGCAGTGCGTGTTAGCTGCTGCTGCTGTTGGAGCAGTGCGTGTCAGCTGCTGCTGCTGTTGGAGCAGTGCGTGTGAGCTGCTGCTGCTGTTGGAGCAGTGCGTGTGAGCTGCTGCTGCTGTTGGAGCAGTGCGTGTCAGCTGCTGCTGCTGTTGGAGCAGTGCGTGTCAGCTGCTGCTGCTGTTGGAGCAGTGCGTGTCAGCTGCTGCTGCTGTTGGAGCAGTGCGTGTCAGCTGCTGCTGCTGTTGGAGCAGTGCGTGTCAGCTGCTGCTGCTGTTGGAGCAGTGCGTGTTAGCTGCTGCTGCTGTTGGAGCAGTGCGTGTCAGCTGCTGCTGCTGTTGGAGCAGTGCGTGTCAGCTGCTGCTGCTGTTGGAGCAGTGCGTGTCAGCTGCTGCTGCTGTTGGAGCAGTGCGTGTTAGCTGCTGCTGCTGTTGGAGCAGTGCGTGTTAGCTGCTGCTGCTGTTGGAGCAGTGCGTGTCAGCTGCTGCTGCTGTTGGAGCAGTGCGTGTTAGCTGCTGCTGCTGTTGGAGCAGTGCGTGTCAGCTGCTGCTGCTGTTGGAGCAGTGCGTGTGAGCTGCTGCTGCTGTTGGAGCAGTGCGTGTGAGCTGCTGCTGCTGTTGGAGCAGTGCGTGTCAGCTGCTGCTGCTGTTGGAGCAGTGCGTGTCAGCTGCTGCTGCTGTTGGAGCAGTGCGTGTCAGCTGCTGCTGCTGTTGGAGCAGTGCGTGTTAGCTGCTGCTGCTGTTGGAGCAGTGCGTGTCAGCTGCTGCTGCTGTTGGAGCAGTGCGTGTGAGCTGCTGCTGCTGTTGGAGCAGTGCGTGTGAGCTGCTGCTGCTGTTGGAGCAGTGCGTGTCAGCTGCTGCTGCTGTTGGAGCAGTGCGTGTCAGCTGCTGCTGCTGTTGGAGCAGTGCGTGTCAGCTGCTGCTGCTGTTGGAGCAGTGCGTGTCAGCTGCTGCTGCTGTTGGAGCAGTGCGTGTCAGCTGCTGCTGCTGTTGGAGCAGTGCGTGTTAGCTGCTGCTGCTGTTGGAGCAGTGCGTGTCAGCTGCTGCTGCTGTTGGAGCAGTGCGTGTCAGCTGCTGCTGCTGTTGGAGCAGTGCGTGTCAGCTGCTGCTGCTGTTGGAGCAGTGCGTGTTAGCTGCTGCTGCTGTTGGAGCAGTGCGTGTTAGCTGCTGCTGCTGTTGGAGCAGTGCGTGTCAGCTGCTGCTGCTGTTGGAGCAGTGCGTGTTAGCTGCTGCTGCTGTTGGAGCAGTGCGTGTCAGCTGCTGCTGCTGTTGGAGCAGTGCGTGTGAGCTGCTGCTGCTGTTGGAGCAGTGCGTGTGAGCTGCTGCTGCTGTTGGAGCAGTGCGTGTCAGCTGCTGCTGCTGTTGGAGCAGTGCGTGTCAGCTGCTGCTGCTGTTGGAGCAGTGCGTGTCAGCTGCTGCTGCTGTTGGAGCAGTGCGTGTTAGCTGCTGCTGCTGTTGGAGCAGTGCGTGTCAGCTGCTGCTGCTGTTGGAGCAGTGCGTGTTAGCTGCTGCTGCTGTTGGAGCAGTGCGTGTCAGCTGCTGCTGCTGTTGGAGCAGTGCGTGTGAGCTGCTGCTGCTGTTGGAGCAGTGCGTGTGAGCTGCTGCTGCTGTTGGAGCAGTGCGTGTCAGCTGCTGCTGCTGTTGGAGCAGTGCGTGTGAGCTGCTGCTGCTGTTGGAGCAGTGCGTGTCAGCTGCTGCTGCTGTTGGAGCAGTGCGTGTCAGCTGCTGCTGCTGTTGGAGCAGTGCGTGTTAGCTGCTGCTGCTGTTGGAGCAGTGCGTGTTAGCTGCTGCTGCTGTTGGAGCAGTGCGTGTCAGCTGCTGCTGCTGTTGGAGCAGTGCGTGTTAGCTGCTGCTGCTGTTGGAGCAGTGCGTGTCAGCTGCTGCTGCTGTTGGAGCAGTGCGTGTGAGCTGCTGCTGCTGTTGGAGCAGTGCGTGTGAGCTGCTGCTGCTGTTGGAGCAGTGCGTGTCAGCTGCTGCTGCTGTTGGAGCAGTGCGTGTCAGCTGCTGCTGCTGTTGGAGCAGTGCGTGTCAGCTGCTGCTGCTGTTGGAGCAGTGCGTGTTAGCTGCTGCTGCTGTTGGAGCAGTGCGTGTCAGCTGCTGCTGCTGTTGGAGCAGTGCGTGTTAGCTGCTGCTGCTGTTGGAGCAGTGCGTGTCAGCTGCTGCTGCTGTTGGAGCAGTGCGTGTGAGCTGCTGCTGCTGTTGGAGCAGTGCGTGTGAGCTGCTGCTGCTGTTGGAGCAGTGCGTGTCAGCTGCTGCTGCTGTTGGAGCAGTGCGTGTGAGCTGCTGCTGCTGTTGGAGCAGTGCGTGTCAGCTGCTGCTGCTGTTGGAGCAGTGCGTGTCAGCTGCTGCTGCTGTTGGAGCAGTGCGTGTCAGCTGCTGCTGCTGTTGGAGCAGTGCGTGTCAGCTGCTGCTGCTGTTGGAGCAGTGCGTGTCAGCTGCTGCTGCTGTTGGAGCAGTGCGTGTCAGCTGCTGCTGCAGTTGGAGCAGTGCGTGTTAGCTGCTGCTGCTGTTGGAGCAGCTGAAGACTATGCTGGTGACCCACACTCCCTTCCCCACCCCTCTCCCCCATCCCCACGTCCCTTACCCATGCCCCTCCGCACCCTTCTCCACCCATCCCCACGCCTCTCAGGCGCTACAAGCCGCCCATCCAGCGCACATGTTTACCGTCCTTGCCCTCATGGTAAAGAATGCTGCTGGCCCGTCTCTCTTCTCCACCCATCATCACTCTTCCCCACTCCCTTCCCCATGCCCCTAACCCTTCCCCTCAGGCGCTACAAGCCGCCCATCCTTGCCCTCATGGCATCACAACGAGTGCTGATGACCCCGCTCCCTTCCCCGCCTTTTCTATGCCCCTCCTCATGCTTCCCGCATTCCTCTTAGGCGTTACAAGACGCCCATCCAGAGCACATGTTCGCAGTGCTTGCCCTCATGGCATCACCACGCGTGCTGCCCAATTGCAACAGCCTGGCTTGTAAAGAATGAATTCATGTTGTTTGAACCTCCCCTTCACTCCCCCCCCATGCTTTCTCCCCCCCCCCCCCCCCTCCCCTCCTCATTCCCTCAGGCGCTACAAGACGCCCATCCAGAGCACATGTTCGCAGTGCTGGCACTCATGGCGTCTCAGCGCGTGCTGCCCAATCGCAACAGCCTGGGTGCCATGCTGGCAGCGTGTGAGGCTGCCAACTCGCCACGTGGCGCTGCCAGGGTGTACCTCAGCGTGGTTGAGACGTGGCGCGACGGTGTTGGCCAGGAGGGAAGTGGAGGCGGTGGGGGGGAGGATGGGGAGGAGTGGGAGGGAGAGGAAGGGGAGGGAGGGGGCGAGGTTGATGCGATTCTTAAGGCTGTGGAAAGATTTGGTGAGCAAGGGGATATGCTTGTGAAAAGGGAGGAGGGGGAGGAGCAGGAGCAGGAGGAGGAGGGGGAGGTGCTGCGATATCAGCAGCAGGAAGGGCAAGAGCAACAGCAACAGAAAGAGCAGCAGCAAGAACAACAGCAGCAGAAAGAGCAAGTGAAAGAGCAAGCGCAAGAGCAAGAGCAAGAGCAAGAGAAAGAGAAAGGGCAAGACCAAGAGAGACGACAAAACCTCATCATCAAGATGACAGAGACGGGACAGCAGCAGAAAAAAGAGCCAAAGCAGGAAAATCAACAGCAGGAGCAACAGCAGCAACAGCAGGGGCTGGAGCAACCGCAGCTGCTGGAATTGAAGCAGAAACAACAGCAAGAAGGCCAGCAGGAGCAGGGGCAGCAGGAGCAAGAACAGCTGAAGCAAGAACAGCAAGAAGAGCAGCAGGAGCAGGGGCAGCAGGAGCAAGAGCAGCTGAAGCAACAACAGCAAGAAGACCAGCAGGAGCAGGGGCAGAAGCAGCAAGAGCAGCTGAAGCAACAACAGCAAGACGACCAGCAGGAGCAGGGGCAGCAGGGGCCGCGGAGCCTGGGCATGGAGAGGGCGGAGTGGGTGATGAGGCTGCAGCAAGGGCGACCACGAGGGGGGAAGCAGCAGCAGCAGCAGAAGGAGGGACAGCAGCAGAAGCTGAAGCAGCAGCAGCTGCAGCAGCAGCAGGGGCAACAGCAGGAGGAGAAGCAGCAGCAGTGGCAGAAGCAGGAGGGGAAGCAGCAGCAGGAGGAGGGACAGCAGAAGCAGAAGGAGGGACAGCAGAAGCAGAAGCAGAAGAAGGGACAGAAGCAGCAAAAGGACGAGGAGGAGGAGGAGAGGGAGGGTCAGCAGGGGCCGAGGAGCCCCAGTATGGAGATGGCGGAGAGGGTGGTGAGGCTGTGTCGTGAGGGGCTGCTGGCAGGGCAGGCCGTGAGGGTACTGGAGGGACTGCTGGCCAATGGGATTGTGCCATCTGTCAAGTGCTACAGTGATGTTATCCATTGTGAGTCACGATGTTACAAGGTTTCAAGCCTTCAGCTTTCAGGTGCTTTTGATGTAATCAGAAGCTCTCTCTCTTCCTTGAGGGAAAGATGTAAGCTTGTTTCCTTTCCTCCTTCATTTTTCTCGCCTGCCCATCCCATCAGGTCAATCCTCTCTCGGCCAATGGCAGCAAGCCCTCACCACCCTCTCCCAAGCCCTCTCCCTCAGCATCACCCCCTACTCCTCCTCCCTCCTCGCCCTCGCGCACTCTCTCGCTTCCGCTGGCAAAGAAACAGAATCCTACCAAGTCCTTCGCATCTACTTCACCCATGCATGCTCCGTTGACCTAGCTGTGTTCTGGGGCGTGGGGTTACACGTGCTGGCAGCAGCAGGGGAAGAGGAGAGATTGGAGAAAATAGAAGGGCTGTTGGGGCCGTTTGGGTTTCAGATGGATATGGGTGTGGGTTGGGGTATCAGCATGAGTATGCTCTATCCTGCACGGCCGGTGCTGCGGTATGAAGGCCTCGGCGAGGAGTTCAGTGCGGTGACCGGGACAGCGACAGAGACAGCGACGCTGCTGGGAGAACAGCAGCAGCAGCAGCAGCAGCAACCGTTCTCCTTTCGATGGTCCTCCGACATCCATTCTAGCGATAAGAGCGATGAGAGCGATCAGGATGCTGGTCAGGCCCTTCCCTACACCTACTCCAGCGACCTCCTTCTCCTCTCCTCCCTCCTCTCCATCCACATCGACCGGGGGAATTTCGACGAAGCCATGCACACCGCACAGTTCATAGTCAATGAGCGCCTAGACGAGTACCTCTTTAACGAGTACATGGAGGAGGATAATAGAAACAGGGATATTAGGGGAGGAGATTCCTACAGAGGGATTCAGGGAGGGAGTGTGCTGCGGAGGGCCGACCCGGCGTTTTTCCCTCTCGTGATTGGGTTTTTCCGGCTGGCGAGGATGATACCGGTGGTGGAGGGGCGGACGAAGCAGAATCTGTCAGTGCTGCTGCTGCTGCTCATGTCGCAGGCTGTGCGGTGCGGGGCGCCGCCGCTGGTGTCCGGGTTTCTGGTTTCTGCGTGGGCTAAGGCGAATCAGGAGGAAGGGGAGTCTCCTTTTGTGAGGGAGGAGGGGGGAGGGAGGGGAGGGAGAGGGGGAGGGCGAGGGGGAGGGGGAAGGGGACGGGGTGGGGGAGGGAGAGGAGGAGGGAAGGGGAGTGGAGTGAGGGGAGGGAAGGGGAGGAGAGCGGGGGGGGAAGGGCAGGGGCAGGTTAGTAAGGGGTTTGGAGGAAGAGGGTTTGAGAGTGATAAGAAGGGGTCTGAGAAGGAAAAGAAGGGTTTTGGAGGCGTGAGGAGGCCGAAACAGGTGGGGAGGGAGAAGGAGGGGGAAAGGGTGTATTTCGGGGCGGAGCAAGCAGGAGGGGTGGAGGGGTCGGGGAGTGAGGGAGAGGGAGAATGGGTGCTGCTGGCCTCTATGGAATGGGAGGGTAGCAATGGCAGTGGCAACGAGGGTAGCGATGGGAATGAGTATGATACCAGCAGCAGCAGTTCCGCTAGACGGCCACGTGCTGACGTGGGTCCCGGCAGTGCTGACGTGGGTCCCGGCAGTGCTGACGTGGGTCCCGGCAGTGCTGACGTGGATCCCAGCACTGCTGATGTGGCAAACAAGAAACCCTCCAGCAAGGAAGACGCTGACCTGGACGCGCTCGTGGACGACATAGACAGCAAAGCCGACCCGGCATTCATGCATGTCCCTCCGCGCATCCTCGCCGAATTCCGCTCATTCCTCACTCTCCCGCCCTGCCCCATCGAATCCTCCCGTGCCGTTGCCAACGCCATTATCGATACGGCCTACTCCCTGAATCTCACTCAAGCGGCTGTGGATTTCTTCTATGCTGCGAATGAGGCTCGGATGTTCCCGGACCTGTTCCAGGTGGAACGGGATTCGCTGGTGCTGTCGCTCAGGCTCGTTTCACCAGCAGGTGCTGAGTTGATATCTGCCGGATTTTTCTGCCTCTGGTGTGATAAATCTGGACCGTTGCAGTCAATGATCCTGCGTCAGACTGGTCTAGATTCTCTAGACGATTTCCGGCTAGCCGAGGGTTTAAGGGACCCAATTCTGGGGTTTAGGGACCCTATGGGGGGGACTGGGGTGGGTGTGGGTCTGAGTCCTGAGTTTGAACTGCTTGAGAATTTGTCGGAAATGGGGCAGGCGATAGGGGGAGGAGGTGGGAGGATGGGTGTGGGGGGTGGTCGAGTGAGGGAGGTGAGGATTGAGATTCCTGGGGAGGATGAGAGGGTGTATGAGAGAGAGTTGGTGCGGATGGGAGTGGGGAAGGCACTGACAATGTTGGAAGTGCCTGGGGAGGTGGAGGGGGAAAAGGCATGGGGGTGTGTGTGGAGATGTGGGGTTGATGAAATGGAGGCATGGGGGAAGTGGTTCATGAAAAAGCAAGGAGTGGAGGATCCCTCCTAGACCTGAAACCCTAGATATGAAAAGTGACGGCCTTTAGCATGTAGCTGCATGTTGGTTGGCGAGTAGCACGATTTTTGCATTGTTGTGGATGTTTGAGGTTTATGCATGTTGAGAATTTCGGCCTGATCTGACGAGACATTTCCATCCAGCATATTTCATTAAAAAGTGCTTAAGGTACTCATTTCACCTAGAAGTGACCTGCTAGAAGGATGATTAACTAAACAATCAAGGGGTGGTGATTGAATGCTTAGACATGCACATCTATTAACCCATATATCTCATATGGCCCTTGAACAAACTCAGTGTCACAAACGGGGCACTTACAAAACGACTTCTCAGCACCAAATGGCAGCACGTCATCACTTCGGGTTCGGTTCCGGATGACTCACCGCCCATCACTTTTCTGACACGTCATCCCTCCGAGCCAGACCTTATTTCTCCATCCTCATGCCAATAACATTTCTCCCTGAGCATATCCCAACCTGCTGGATGTTACCACTCTGTAACGTGCGTTAACTTATTCAAACGCTTTGAAACGTATTGAAACCCACAATAGCTTCTTACTCCCTGAGCCCACTCACTAGTGCCCTAAATCTATTTCCCTTCCCTCCCCCTCTTCCCACGCAATTACATCGCGTGTCACCTAGCATTGACCTAGTTACGTGACCAGTATCTTCCTTTTCTGTACCCTGAGAAATAGGCAGCCATGGCAGCCGTTACATCGCAAGTAGCCTTCCCCGCAGCTTACACAGCCGCGCCCGCCGCGCGCGCTGCAGCTTGCTCCGCGCGAGTCTCCCTCCGCACGCCTTCCTTCTCCGCACAAGCCCTCCCCGCGGTGCGCGCATTCCCCGCGCGTGCGGAGCGCGTCGTCGCCCCGCGCGCGGCGGTGGCGGAGGCGGGTAGCGAGGCGGCGGCGGAGGAGCCTAAGAAGGTGAAGGTGCTGTCCGTCAAGGAGGGCAAGCAACGGCTGCTCCTTAAATTCGTCTGGCTCGGTGCGTCCCGCATTTCGCGCTCCGGGGCATTTAGGAACAGTCTTCAAGGTTATGACAATGGTTCTCCCTGATAATCGGACGAGAAGCCAGGAACACGCGAAATGATAAAGACAGGGTTCCGGGTTTAGCCTGATCTATTCCGCAGCTGTTGATTAGTGCTTTCGTCCGTCGCGCACTGTGCCTTTTTTTTTCCTTCCTGACGCGCAAGTACCGGTGCGGAGGTTATCCAACTCCTTATCCTGATTGTCTCAGCCGGTGCATGCCAGTGCATCCAACTTCAGTCCTGAACTCTCCGATTCCATTCGGGATGGTTGCTGAACGTGTTATCGCGGCGAGAAGAAGGTTGAGTTGAAGAAGTTAAAGTAAATCCTACAGGATGAATGCCCGCGAGTTGCGCAAGGGTGTTGTTCGAGTAGCTCGCCCCGCCTGATGTTCGCAATGTGGATGGCTCGTACACGATTTCGGACTCGTGACGTTCATGAACCGAAGGTATTGTCTCGAATAACGGCGCACGTGGTCAATTCGAGTGGATGCGAAGTCTGACGGATGGCCAAGACGTTGCATTGCAGGGGATTGCGGGATTCGTCTGACAGAGAAACATCTTCCGAGATTCCACAGCGCTCTCGTTTCGTTATCGGTTTTGGAAATTACTTGCGCAGAGAGATCAGCTCCCGATCGCAGTGGTCTCACCGCCGGCTTCTCATCAGTCACAGCTCTTTTCCCAATCCAACCTTCTGATCCTGCTTTAATATCCCCCACTTCTTCCATCTTCCTTTCTCTTGCAGTTACCTTCTCACAAAGAATGTCTGGGATTGGCACAGGTGTTCTTTTTTTCTCGAATAGCTCAGGGTTTCTATTGGCTGGTACCGTCGTGAACAGCATGGATTCCCCCCATATTCATCGCTACACATTTTCCTCTCTTTTTCCTCTCCCGTTTTCACGAATTCCAGAGAAGAACATCGGGATTGCCGTGGACCAGATGATTCCCGGGCAGGGCACTGTTCCAGTCAGCTCGTACATGTTCTGGCCGCGCAAGGACGCGTGGGAGGAGCTGAGGGAGCTGCTGGAGAGCAAGCCGTGGCTGTCGCGCAAGCGGGTGATTATTCTGCTCAACCAGGCCACAGACATCATCAACCTCTGGCAGCAAACCACCTTCAAGCCTTGATTATCAAAATTGGTTCTTACAATGTATAATGTATCGTGTGGATTTACAAAGGGTGGTTGTGCAAAGCTAAACGAAGTTTTAGACCTAAGGTTGAGAAACAAGCAGAGGGTGCTGCTGAAGAAAACGCTGTGGCTGTTGTACGGGTGTGAGAGAATAGTACCCTTCAGGCTTGAGATATGACGATTAGGGTGTAGGGGCGGGAATCTCTATCCACGCCATTGCAGGAACATTCCTTTTGCGAGCCAAACTTTTGTATCAATTTACGAATATTACCGAATAAGGGCTAATGTACGGATTTCTAGCCTCGGTAATCTTCCTTTCAGTCGTCCTCGGTACATTCTGTAGTTCCGACCGTAGGTGCAGTACAGCTCGTTCGTAATAGCTAACCACCAAGTTCAACCCCTTGCTCCGCCTCGATTCCCTTCCTCCGCTGTTTCCGTGTGCATGGCCTTTCGTCTCGTAAACACATAGCAGAAGTCATTAGACGCATTTTCTCGACGCGTCATACTCAATCGTCGCATGGCCTCTCCTCTCCTCCACCCTTCGCGCGTGTCTCTCCTCCCCTCCTCGCGCGCAGCTTACAGCTTCGCATTCTGTCGCACTCTGGCGCATACCGTCGCCTTCCGTCGCACTCAACTCCTTCCCAGTCGCTCGCATCAGTCTCCCCTTTCGCAATTGCCTCGCTGCTCTCCCCGCCGGTCCCTCCTTCCTCCGCCTACTCTGCATTCCGCTGCGCGCCAATCCTCGCAATATCCGCACTCCCCTCCGCCGGGAATCCTGCGCCGTTGCAGCAGTCGCGCGCAAACCGCTGCACGCCAAGCGGAAATGCTCAGCGAAGGCGGGGCACATACGAATGTGACTGTTCAGGGTGTGACTATTGGAGATAAGGCAAACGGCGAGCTAAACCAAGAAAAGCCAATGGATCATCAACAACAGGAAGAGAAGCAGGAGCAACCACACCAGAAGCAGCAGCAGCAGCAGCATTCGTTTCCCGGCGAGTTTCTAACGTTTCTGGAGGAGAATGGAATTGATCCGAGCATCTACAGCCGCCACGCCTACCTCCCAAGATACATCAGGCAAGTGAAACCCCAAGTGCATTGCCTCTGCTGTGGGGTATCTCAGCGATGCAGAGGCGCACGAGGTGAAGGAGGAGGATGTTGCAGGGCTGCTGAGGAGAGAGAGACGGAACCCCAAGTGCATTGCCTCTGCTGTGGGATCGCTGAGGAGAGCAGCAGCCCCAACCAAACTCGTTTTCCCCGCTTTCTCCATCCCTCCCTCCCCTCCTTCCTGCCAGGCTGCGAAAGGGGCTGAGTGAAGCAGAGGTGGAAGAGGTGAAGAGCGAGCTTGCAGGGCTGCTGGGGACAGAAGGAACCCCAATTGCTACTATTTCCTGTCGAATCTCCTTCTTCCTTTTATTGCTTCTTCCAGGCTGCGAGGGGGGCTGAGTGAAGCAGAGGTGGAAGAGGTGAAGAGCGAGCTTGCAGGGCTGCTGGGGAGAGGTGCTGCAAGTGTATCAACACAGGGGTCTGCCGGTGCTGCATCAGCTGGCTCAACTGAATTTTCATCTGCAACGCCACCAGAATCAGCAGCGGCAGCAGTAGCAGCAGCAGGAGAAATCGCAGCAGAAGCTGAAGAAGTTGAAGAAGTTGCAGAAGTTGCAGAAGTTGCAGCAGCAGCTGCTGCAGGAGGCATGGCGGCAGTATCCTGGCTGCCAGGGTTCTTCTCTCTCCCAGGAGATTTCAACATATCAGGCACTAGCGCATACAAGAGAGGCCAGGTGAGAAACCAGGTGCTTTTCAGAACGTCATAGATACGTTATATATTTTCGTCTTCTTCCTAGGGAATCGGAGAGTTAAGGAACTTTGAGGATGCATAGGGGAAATCAGGTGGAAAAAAAAAAAAAAAAAAACTTGGCAAAGGGCATTAACGGCTCAATTTATAGGGGGTGGTGGGAAGGGAACGAGAGAGGGGGTATCAGAAAAGACGACTTACATGCCCAGGAATTTCTTTCTTTTTCTTCTCTCAATATATTCAATGGCACGGATAGTGCGACATTGTGAGTTCTTTTGAGGCGCTTCAAAATAAGCTCATCTCCTCCACTCCCTTGCTTGTGTATGTCATCGTCAGATATTCGGCATGGATGCAGCGTCCGGTGCAGCAGTGGCAGCGCTGCAGCTATCCCCGTCAGACCACGTTCTCGACCTCTGTGCTGCCCCAGGTGGGGTTGCTAATTGCTCCTCATTTTATGCTTCTCTCTCAGCACACTCGGCAGTGGCAGCGCTGCAGCTATGCCCTTCAGATCACGTTCTCGACCTCTGTGCTGCCCCAGGTGGGGTTGCTAATTGCTCCTCATTTTATGCTTCTCTCTCAGCACACTCGGCAGTGGCAGCGCTGCAGCTATGCCCTTCAGATCACGTTCTCGACCTCTGTGCTGCCCCAGGTGGGGTTGCTAATTGCTCCTCATTTTATGCTTCTCTCTCAGCACACTCGGCAGTGGCAGCGCTGCAGCTATGCCCTTCAGATCACGTTCTCGACCTCTGTGCTGCCCCAGGTGGGGTTGCTAATTGCTCCTCATTTTATGCTTCTCTCTCAGCACACTCGGCAGTGGCAGCGCTGCAGCTATCCCCGTCAGACCACGTTCTCGACCTCTGTGCTGCCCCAGGTGGGGTTGCTAATTGCTCCTCATTTTATGCTTCTCTCTCAGCACACTCGGCAGTGGCAGCGCTGCAGCTATGCCCTTCAGATCACGTTCTCGACCTCTGTGCTGCCCCAGGTGGGGTTGCTAATTGCTCCTCATTTTATGCTTCTCTCTCAGCACACTCGGCAGTGGCAGCGCTGCAGCTATGCCCTTCAGATCACGTTCTCGAACTCTGTGCTGCTCCAGGTGGGGTTGCTAATTGCTCCTCATTTTATGCTTCTCTCTCAGCACATTCGGCAGTGGCAGCGCTGCAGCTATGCCCATCAGATCACGTCCTCGACCTCTGTGCTGCCCCAGGTAGGTAGCCATGTATTGTATACTGAGCCAATTGCAGTTTACAAAAACTCCTTAACGAAATCTTCACGAGTGCTTGAACTGTTCAAGTTGAGCTTTCAGACCAGGTCCTCGACCTCTGTGCTGCTCCAAATGGTTCTTTAGTTGTTCCTGTTATGTTTTTATGTCAGCAACAAATTCCACTGCTCCTGTGTTGTTACACTTGTATGGCGTTTTGTGATGTTTTTGTTTTGAGACGTCTCAAAACGTGATGTTTTTGTGAACGTGCTGCGTGAGCTTATTATTTTATCCACCACTTTCTTCTGCTGCTGCTAATAATATCTCTGAAGCTTCTGTGTACATTCGTTGTTCTCTGCTCTCTTTCTTTCTTTCTTTCTTTCTTTCTTTCTTTCTTTCTTTCTTTCTTTCTTTCTTTCTTTCTTTCTTTCTTTCTTTCTTTCATTCTTTCTTCTTTCTGTCTTTCTGTCTTTCTTTCTTTCTGTCTTTCTTTCTTTCTTTCTTTCTTTCCTTCTTTCTTTCTTTCTTCCTTCCTTTCTTTGTTTCTTTCTTTGTTTCTTTCATTTCTTTGTTCTCTTTCTTTCCAATCTGGTAAGCCATTCCTCAATATCCCTGTTGCTTCTCTATCCCCACGCAGGCGCATCGGAGACATGCCTTCCCTCCACCATCCTGCTCGAGCCTCCTCTCTTACTCCTCCATCTCAACTTTTAAGACGTTCCAAAACTCGAGCCCCCTCTCTGACTCCTTCATCTTAAAAGTCACCTGTTTTTTTGCATTCCAGTGATCCTAACCCTAATCCCTCCAACAGCTTCCTCCTACCTTACCCTTCCTCTTACCTTACCCTCCCATCTACCCTTGATGCACTGCCACTGCCCTCCGCTCTTCCCCTCCTCCAGGTGCCAAGCTCTGCTTGATTCTGGACGAGCTCTCGTCCGCCCCTTGTACAGCACAACAGGATGTTTCTTGCAGCTCAGTCCCTCTCAGCACCACAGCACCCACTGAAATTGGCACAGTATCAGGTAGTGCACCCGACACACCCAGTGTAACCGGCACAGTGACAGCGGTGGACGTCTCCCCGGCTCGCCTGGCTGCATGTCGCCCCTGTGAATTGGTACCCGCCAGCAGCACTGCAACGGGCACCGTGTTGGGCAGTGCAGCTAGCAAGGGCAGTGCACCCGACACACCCAGTGTAACAGGCACAGTGACAGCAGTTGACGTCTCCCCGGCTCGCCTGGCGGCCTGTCGCACGCTGCTGCAGAAGCACCGGCTCACAGACAGGTGCCGGCTATTCCTGGGGGATGGCACTGCCTTCCGGCTTGGACCTCCTATATCTAAGCCGGGAATGGAATTGGGGTTAGGAGTAGGATCAGCTAAGCCACGTGGCACTAAGCTGGAGCAGGTGTTGCCACGTGTTGCTGAGGGAGAGGAAAGAGCAGAGATGGATGAAAAGGCAGTGATGGGTGAAAGGGCAGGCATGGTTGGTGGTGGTAGTGAGCGTGTTTCAGAGAAAAAGGAAGACGAGGAGAGTGCAGGGCTGTGGGAGCAGGAGGGAAGAGAGGGGCAGGATGGAGAGGAGAGAGATGAAGGGGAGGAGAGAGAGGAGGGGGAGGAGAGAGGCGAGGGGGGAGGAGAGCAGCAGGAGGGAGAGGGAGTGAGGAGGAGGAAGAGGACGAGGAAGGAGAGGAGGAGAGCAAAGCACCTCCGGATGTTTCAACCTGCTTGTAAGGACACCGTAGCTGCTGCTGCTGATGATGATAATGATTATGATGCGACGGCTACTGCTGCTGCTGCTACAGCTGGTGTTACAACCACGGCGGCAGCATTTCCGGCATCAGCAGCAGACGGGGCAGTGGGCGCATCAGCATCCGCATTCGCGCCGGAAGAATCAGATGGGGTGGCGCCAGCAGGAGCATCAGAAGCATCGCCGGCATCAGCAGCAGACAGGGCAGTGGGAGCGGCAGCATTCGAATGGAAGAGAGGGGAACGGCCGGAGCTCTTCTTTGTGGGAAGGACGGCTTGGCAGTGGTGGGACACTGGAGTTGGGTGCGGCAAGGATGGGTATGATAAGGTGAGATGAGGTGGTGGGGGTGCTGTATATGAGAGGGGAGAGGTCATGGCTCTTCTTGATGGGAAGGACAGCTTGGCAGTGGTGGGACACGGGTGCTGGGTGTGGCAGGGATGGGTACGACAAGGTGAGATGAGGGAGGAAGAAATTGAGTGAGGGTTTGTGAAGTGAAGCACTTACGACTCGTTTTTGTGGGGCGGGCAGCTTGGCAGTGGTGGGACACTGGTGTTGGGTGCGGCAGAAATGGGTATGATAAGGTGAGATGAGATGGGGCAGCCAGGGTGCTGCGTATGAGAGACGAGCGGCCGAGCTCTTCTTCGCTGGGTGTTGGGTGCGGTGGGGATGGGTATGATAAGCAGTCCGCCCAGCTCCCGCCGCTCCAGTCTCATACGCAGCACCCTGACAGCGGCCAAGCATTTCTTGCTGGGCTGGGCGGACTGCGTGGCATTGCAGTGGTGGGGCACGGGTGTTGGGTGCGGTGGGGATGGGTATGATAAGCTGCGATGAGGCAGCCAGGGTGCTGTGAGTGAGTTGGGGCGGCCAAAGTTGGCCCTTGTGGGATGGACAGCTGTATTTACCCTTTTCCATTGTGCCACACCATTCCTCTGCTTTTTAGGTGCCTCAAAAATGGGTATTCAACCTTTTCCTTTGTGTCAAACCATTCCTCTGTCACACCTCTCTTGTGTCACACATCAGGTGCTGTTAGATGCAGAGTGTACACACGACGGCTCTCTGAAGCAAGAATCGAGGGAATATTCACAGGTTCTCTTTTGTGTCACATCTCTTTTGTGTCACACCTCTCTTGTGTCACCCATTAGGTGCTGGTAGACGCAGAGTGCACGCACGACGGCTCGCTGAAGCACATTCTCAAGTACGACTCATGGGGATGGCACACTCTCAACAAAAGATTCCTGGATCCCCAGAGACTCAACTCGCTCTCAGCACTGCAGGTGAGAGCAAGTCTGGATCGAAGTCCAGCCTTTGGTCTCCAGGTGAGCAGCACTTATTTCATTGCAGTCGGCAGCACCACCGCCCCACTGAAGCACATCCTAAAGTATGACTTGTGGGGATGGTACACTCTCAACAAATGGTTCCTTATAGTCAACTCACAAATCTCCCCTCTCTTTCTCCCTTTGCTCTTTCCCTTGCCGCAGCGCTCTCTTCTCGAGACTGGCTTCCTGCTGTTGAAGCCAGGAGGCAGGCTGGTGTACTCTACATGCAGGTGAGACTGTAGAGTACAGGTATGCGTAGTATAGATACATATATATATATGTGTGTGTGTGTGTGTGTGTGTGTGTGTGTGTGTGTGTGTGTGTGTGTGTGTGTGTGTGTGTGTGTGTGTGTGTGTGTGGGTGTGTGTGTGTGTGTGTGTGTGTGTGTGTGTGTGTGTGTGTGTGTGTGTGTGTGTGTGTGTGTGTGTTTATCTTTGTAGAACTATTTGCATATATACATTAGTGATGTAGTTATACAGTTGAAACCAGGAGGGCGGCTGGAGTACTCTAAGTGGCACTCCCATGATGCTTGCCTTGACTCAATCCAGCGACTCCCTTTCATTGTTTTGGTCGAATCAAATCACGACTCATTTCACCCAATTCTTGGACTGGCACTCCCATTATGCTTTCCTTGACTCAATCCAACCCTGTCCGCCATTGAGCTGCTTTCCGCTCTTCCCCTCCTCGGTGATGTTCCACTTCTCAGCCTCACGATCACACAGAATGAAGACGTGGTGAGATGGTTTCTGGACAGGCACTCGCATGATGCAGGTCAGTGGCCCACCATTGATGGTCTTTCCAGCAACATTCATCCTCCCACCATCGTAATGATAAGCTGTTTGTTATCAGCACTGCACCTGTCATCACTACACCACCCATCTTCAGAATTAACCCTTTTTTTATCCAACCATGTTTCAGAGTTGATTCAAGTCGTCGAGGCTACGGGCTGGCCTTGCAGACCTGGTGGTATACCACACACCCTCAGATTCGACCCTCCCACTTCCAACACGAATGCTCTGTTTATTGCACTGTTCACTAAAAGATGAATAAACCAAGGCTTGTTGTAGTGTTGCGGACACTACTTATGTATTGATTATACCATCTGTAATGTAAGGATATTTTTTTCACTCAGAAAACATATGGTCTGATGTACAGTGCATCATGGTTAGCAGAGTTGCATGGTACATCATGAACTGGCATGGTAACCATGTAACTTTAATTTAGTCCTCCATCCACCAGGGCTCCTCGCCAGTCCGGAAGTCCGTCTCAGTCCATGTGGAAAAGACGACCTTGCCGCCCACCACGTTGGCATGCTCAAGGGCCAGAGACTGGAGTGGGAGGGGGGTGAGAACGAATGAGGGACGAATGGAGAACAGAAGAGCATTGGGTCTTTCCACATGGAAAAGACATCCTTGCCGTCCACCACATTGGTGTGCTTGAGGGCAAGAGACTGAGTGGGAGGGAGGGAGAGAAGAAGACGGGAAAGAGAAGCCGAGGGGAGGGGAGGGGAAGGGGAGAGAAGAAAGGCAGTGGGCCAGTCCACGTGGAAGGAGTCGTGTTTTGAGTCGACTCAAAAAAAGAGGGGATAGAGAAGCCGAGGGGAAGGGAGGGGAAGGGGAGAGAAGAAAGGCAGTGGGCCAGTCCACGTGGAAAAGGCACCTTGCCCCCACCACGTGTTGGCATGCTGGGAAAAGGAAGACGAGAAAATAAGGGAGCATTGGTTCAGTCTACCGTATGTGGAGAAACCACATTGACCACATGGGGCTCGAGAAAAGGGGAAGAGACATCGTACCATGTGCAATAGAAATGGACAGAGAGAAAGGGAAACGAAGAGGATGAAGACAAACAGAAAAGATGATGAGAACCACTATGCCACTATATCCTTCATTCCCAAACGGATCACAGCTCAATAACAAGGATAAAACGCACCAGAGGAGCAGGGCCCTGCACGACCATGCCCTGGTTGTTGTACTGGGAGCCATGGCAGGGGCACATGAACTTGTTCTCCTCCGCCACCCACGGCACCACACACCCCATGTGCGTGCAGATGGCGTTGATTGCAAAGTTGCCGAGTGTGCCATCGTCGTTCACGACAATGTAAGCCGGCTCGTCCTGGGATACATCATATTGGAGAGAGAGAGAGAGAGAGAGAGAGAGAGAGAGAGAGAGAGAGAGAGAGAGAGAGAGAGAGAGAGAGAGAGAGAGAGAGAGAAGGCAACACACATGAAAGCATGTCAGATTGCAGTGATGGCAAAGTTGCCAAGCGTGCCATCGTCGTTCACCACGATGTAAGCCGGCTCGTCCTGGAGAACATCAGGTTGGAGAAATAGAGAGAGTTAGAGGAAGGGCAAGAGAGGGAAAAGGCATCACATTAGAAAGAAATTCAGATTGCATTGCTTGCAAAGTTGCCGAGCGTGCCGTCGTCGTTCACCGTGATGTAAACCGGCTCGTCCTGCAGGAGAGTAAGAGGGAGGGAGAGTGTAAGAGAGAGAGGAAGGGAGAGAGAGAGAGTAAGAGGGAGGGAGGGAGATAGGGAGAGAGAGGAAGGGAGATAGGGAGAGAGATGGAGGGAGAGAGGGAGAGAGAGGGAGGGAGGGAGAGAGAGAGAGGGAGGGAGGGAGGGAGAGAGAGGGAGGGAGGGAGGGAGAGAGGGAGAGATATGTAGGGAGAGAGGGAGAGGGAGGGAGGGAGGGAGAGAGAGGGAGGGAGAGAGGGATAAAGAGGGAGGGAGAGAGGGAGAGAGAGGGAGGGAGAGAGGGCGAGAGGGGGAGAAAGAGAGAAAGAGAAGGAGAGAGACAGAAAAGTCCAATGGTGTTGATTGCAAAGTTGCCGAGCGTGCCGTCGCCATTCACCACGATGTAAGCCAGCTCGTCCCGGATTCAATAAGATTGGAGAAGGGGAGAAACACTATATCACACATGAGAGCATGTCAGATGGGAACCTAAGGGAAAAGCAATAAAAAAACCTTGCTACTTGGAGATGTTCAATATACAAGTGTCCTGCAGGAAGTCTGTAGCTTACATCGAGGCCCTGGACGAGCGTCCTGTCACCACCCTTGTGCGTGGCGAGCCAGTTATCCGCCATCACCACCTTACCGCTCAGATCCTTTGCCACCAGCTCGTCCGCCGAGCTGCAAAAACATGTATAAACGTTACACAATCAACGTTACACCATCAGCGTTACACGTGTTACTAGTAAGCAGCAAAAAATTATGGAGGAACTTTTCAACGTGCAGCTTGTAGATATACGTGTGGTGAAGAGTGTGGTACCTGGCAGGGGCGAAGGAGAGGAACCCAGCGGAAGACGCGGGCACAGCAGCGCCGAGAACGAGAGCTGCCTTGAGGACTTCCCGGCGGCTGACGTCATCAGAGGATGTGCTCTCGCTGCTGGCCTTCACAGACACTGCAGCGCGTTTGGCGGAGATCTTGACGGTGCTGCTGCTGGATTGGGCGACGCTGAGTCTTTTCTCAGCAAAGGTGCTGACGGAAGAGACCTGAGAGGGTGCCAAATAAGCAGAAGTTTGGCATGAGAACTGTTGGAATTGAAATGTGAACATTGTTAATAGTGACTTCTGGCTGAACATACCTGAACGCCGGATGAGAGAGCGGAGACTGAAGCCATGGTCCCGTTCAGAGATCCACCAGAAGCAGGAGCAGGATGAGACAGGCTGTACGATTTGGGAGCCTGTTTGCTTAGTTCTGCTGGATGGTTGTTACTCAAATTTGCCTGTAATTTTATACCTTACAAATTCAATTCAGGTGATGAAGGCGAAGCGAATCCAAACCAGCACGAACCGCGATTGCACAAATTTCCGCAGCCCCCGCGGCGCGGATGTGTACGAAGAGCTTCGTACAATAGCAGGGGGAATCGGATGGGAGCTGGCGTGCCACGTAGGATGATAGCAAGGGTTTGTCTGGTGAACTCGTACGCAGCGTGAGTTGCGGTGAACGATTGTGTGGGCAGATCGTACGCTCATGGCAATGCCAGCATCTCGCACATAACGCACACTCTGGATGACTGTAGCAAAGTAGTTAAAATCACTAGTATCTAACATACAGACTTGACTTTGCAAACATAGATCTTACAGTAATTAGATTTAATCCACATTCCTGTGGCAAACAAACTGAGCTGTGTGTTTTACATTCCTATGTTTTGCCTATTAGTGAAGCTCAAATTTGGGCTCTGTATTTGATGAGCATTGAATGTTTAAACTGAGAATATTTAAAACGTATATTCAATAGCCTGTATATCATGTAATGCCTGTTTGTTTATATTTAGTTAGGGCTTTTATATCATGCTTATAAAATTTCTGGTTTAGTTGCGAAAGAGTGAGGATAGAGTGTACGACACTTGAGATGTGACAAGCGTGTGTTCATCTGCTTTCTGAACGAACGAGAGCTTTGCATTGTTTCAGTTCCCTCCCTATTCTGTTTCATTCTGGGGCACGTAAGGGTCGAATGGAATACCATGGTAGCTGAGATTTCAAACGAAATGTGTCACCTTGACCATCGGAGACCAGAGCTATGTAGAATCGCGCCCGCATATCCCACTGGCCATGCTCACAGATCCATTTCCAAGGCTCTCGCGACCACTAGGTGGGTGGGATCCAAAGCATCCAAATCTCTTGGTTGGTGAGCTTGCCTCGAAATTGTCCCTCATTCTTAGAACCGAGGAAGCTCCTGGCTTTTAGAAGACTAAGGCTAACAAGAGCCGGGCGTCGTTAGGCGGCTCTGCTGTCCTTTTAGGACTAGGCGAAATAGCTTAAACACAAAACCTGTGCGACACGTGCCTGTCTGGCATTTTGAAATCACTCCGGATTGTACGGCTTTTCACGATTCTTAGTGCCAGGTGGATGGTAATAAAATTGCGCTGAATTTAAGGAGTCAGCGTTTCTCTGTACTCGTCCTGCATTGCGACGATCTCTCGCTTTCGTCCAATTTCGGTCCAGATTTTCCGGTCATGGAGACGCCGGCAGTTTCGCGGCATCAGAAGCTTGTAACGGACGTTCTTTCGTGGGTGTTCAATGTCGTTACATCTGTCGGTATAATCGTGGTCAACAAGTACCTGATGACACATTACAACTTCCAATTTGGTACGATCCATAACCATGCACTCTTATGGCCTCACGGAAGCGAACGAGACGTTTGTAAAGCGTAAATGCAGATGTACTGGACCGATCCTTATAGCTGCACATTTTGAGGCGTCTCAAAACGTAATTCTACCACTCACGTGCGCGGTTGTACTGTACCGTTTCCTCTAGCTTTAGGCTCTTCGTGACTACGATCAAGGAATTTGATACCAATCAAAAATCATATTTTGTCTGGTTTCCATCTTCCGTCGTGCTCAACAAATTCCATCACTCGCTCGCTTTCCACCTTGAAGCTTTTCCTCCTCATGCTTCCGGGAGTTTCCTCTTGTGTTTTGAGACTTCACGAAACAAGCTCGCGTTCTGCCCTGAAGCATGTCCTCAGCTTCCCTCACTTTCCGATCTCATCTCCCGCTTATAAGTGGCCTTCCGCAGAAAACTGCACTTGTTTTCTCTCCCATTTTCCTGCACAAGGTCATTCGTGAATGCAGACTCACAAGTTTTTACATGGAAAGCAAAAGAAACAACAAATTTCTCATTTCCCCTCATAAATGGCATTTCCTTTCGCTCAATCTTCTTTCTTTCGCAGCCGCCACCCTCACCGGTCTCCACTTCATCATGACGTCGCTGATGACGTCAGCGTTGCGCCTGAGCGGGTACCTGGAACCTTCGCAGCTGCCGCTGATGGAGCAGATCAAATTCGCGCTGACTGCCAACGTGTCGATCGTGGGGATGAACGTCAGCCTGATGTGGAACAGCGTCGGATTCTATCAGGTGCGTGAGCTAGTATAGGGTGTGAGTGCTTGTATCAGATGTGTGCGCTTCATCAGGCGTGTGTGCACAAAACGAGCGTGATTTGATTGAGCCTAATCCTGATAGGGACCCAGTGCTGTAACGGTCAGTGTGTCGATTTTGGGGATGAACGTCAGCCTGGTGCGGAACAGCGTCGGATTCTATCAGGTGTGTGTGCTTGCGTCGGGTGTGTGTGCTTACGACTGTGCTATGTTTGAGCCTGATTTTGATAGGGCTCAGTGCGGTGGCTGTCAGTGTTCCAATTTGGGAAATGAACGTCAGCCAGGTATGGACCAGCCTGAAATAACTCAACCATCTCATCCCCTCCCCTTTGTCCCCCCACGCCCCTCTCCCAATCCGCCGACTTCTGTCACTTCGGTTCACTTTGTCTTGTCCCCATGCAGATCGCCAAGCTGGGCATTATCCCCGTCTCCTGCGTGCTAGAGGTCTTCTTTGATCGCATGCGCTACTCCCAGGGCTCGCTCGCGCCTCTCCATGCTATTTCAGCCTTCTCATTACACTCTTGTTCTCCTTCACTTTGCCCCCATGCAGATCGCCAAGCTGGGCATGATCCCCGTATCCTGCATTCTCGAGGTCTTCTTTGACCGCATGCGCTTCTTCTAGGGCTCGCACCTCTTGCCATCAAGGCTCGACCATCTTATGTTCCTCGTGTTTTTCTTCCATCCCTCCGCACCCGCCAGATCGCCAAGCTGGGCATGATCCCTGTATCATGCATCCTAGAGGTCTTCTTTGACCGCATGCGCTACTCCCAGGGCTCACGCCTCTCCGTGCTGCTCACGCAATCCAATCCATCTCATCCCCTCCCTCCTCCTCCCCTCATCCCTCCCCAAACCCTCCGACTTTTGTCCTTTCCACTCCCATGATCTCCACAGATCGCCAAGATGGGCATGATTCCTGTCTCCTGCATCCTAGAGGTCTTCTTTGACCGCATGTGCTACTCCCAGGGCTCACGCCTCTCCATGCTCCATGTTTTCCAGTTGTTCCCCAGGGTATCCCCTTGTTCCCCCTCACCATGCCCCCATGCAGATCGCCAAGCTGGGCATGATCCCTGTATCATGCATCCTAGAGGTCTTCTTTGACCGCATGCGCTACTCCCAGGGCTCACGCCTCTCCATGCTGCTCACGCAATCCAATCCATCTCATCCCCTCCCTCCTCCTCCCCTCATCCCTCCCCAAACCCTCCGACTTTTGTCCTTTCCACTCCCATGATCTCCACAGATCGCCAAGCTGGGCATGATTCCTGTCTCCTGCATCCTAGAGGTCTTCTTTGACCGCATGCGCTACTCCCAGGGCTCACGCCTCTCCATGCTCCATGTTTTCCAGTTGTTCCCCAGGGTATCCCCTTGTTCCCCCTCACCATGCCCCCATGCAGATCGCCAAGCTGGGCATGATCCCCGTATCCTGCGTGCTAGAGGTCTTCTTTGATCGCATGCGCTACTCCCAGGGCTCACGCCTGTCTGTGCTGCTGGTGCTGATAGGCGTGGCCACGTGCACCATCGCTGACAGCAGTCTGAGCGTGAAGGGCATGGTGGCAGCAGCTGTTGCTGTCTGCTCCACCGCCCTGCAGCAATACGTGAGTGCTCTGCTGTAGGAAAGGGTCTGAAGCTGCTGTTGTGACTTCTCAATCGACGTGCTGCTGGTGCTGAGAGGGGTGGCCACGTGCACCATCGCCCTGCAGCAATACGTGAGTGATTTGGTCTTGGGGCAGCTGTCGCGGCTTCTCAATGGACGTGCTGCTGGTGCTGATAGGCGTGGCCACGTGCACGATCTCTGACAGCAGTCTGAGCATGAAGGGCATGGTGGCAGCGGCTGTCGCTGTCTGCTCCACCGCCCTGCAGCAATACATGAGTGCTCTGCTGTAGGAAAGGGTCTGAAGCTGCTGTTGTGACTTCTCAATCGACGTGCTGCTGGTGCTGAGAGGGGTGGCCACGTGCACCATCGCCCTGCAGCAATACGTGAGTGATTTGGTCTTGGGGCAGCTGTTGTGGCTTCTCAACGGACGTGCTGCTGGTGCTGATAGGCGTGGCCACGTGCACGATCTCTGACAGCAGTCTGAGCATGAAGGGCATGGTGGCAGCGGCTGTCGCTGTCTGCTCCACCGCCCTGCAGCAATACATGAGTGCTCTGCTGTAGGAAAGGGTCTGAAGCTGCTGTTGTGACTTCTCAATCGACGTGCTGCTGGTGCTGAGAGGGGTGGCCACGTGCACCATCGCCCTGCAGCAATACGTGAGTGATTTGGTCTTGGGGCAGCTGTTGTGGCTTCTCAACGGACGTGCTGCTGGTGCTGATAGGCGTGGCCACGTGCACGATCTCTGACAGCAGTCTGAGCATGAAGGGCATGGTGGCAGCGGCTGTCGCTGTCTGCTCCACCGCCCTGCAGCAATACGTGAGTGCTTCGGTGTAAAATAGGTCATAGGGCAGCTGTTGTGGCTTCTCAGCGGACCTGCTGCTGGCTGCTGGTGCTGATAGGGGTGGCCATGTGCACCATCGCTGACAGCAGTCTCAGCGTGAAGGGCATGGTGGCAGCTGCCGTGGCTCTCTGCTCTACCGCCCTGCAGCAATACGTGAGTGTTCTGGTGTAGAAAGGTCTGAAACAGCTGTTATGGCCTCCCAATAAACGTGCTGCTGGTGCTCATAGGATTTGCCATGTGCACGATCGCCGACAGCTGTCTGAGCGTGAAGGCCATGGTGGCAGCGGCTGTCACTGTCTGCTCCACCGCCCTGCAGCAATACATGAGTGCTCTGGTGTGGAAGAAGTACCGCCTGGGCCCACCCACACAGCTTCTCACCTTCCCTTCAGCATTTCCATTGATCTCCTCCTATATGCCCCTTCCCACCCTGCCCAACCCCTCTTCACCCTCTCCACTCCCCTCCACAGTACGTGCAATACCTGCAGAAGAAGTATCGCCTGGGCTCGTTCGACCTGCTCTCCCACACAGCACCCGTGCAAGCCGGCTCGCTCGTTCTGCTGGGCCCTCTTATTGACTGGCTGTTGTCTGGTGCCCGTGTTGACAGCTACGACTTCAGTGTTCCCTCTGTGGTGAGTCTTTCGCGTAACGTATGCCTCTGTGCTGCGTGCCTTCTGTGGTAAATTCATGGTATCTTATTGTTCACTCTAGCACTGTTGCAAGCATTCGCCCTCGTTCTGCTGGGGGTGCTGATTGACTGGCTGCTCTCTGGCGTCCGGGTTGACATCTATGGCTTCAGTGTTCCCTCTGTGCTGAGTGCCCTCTGTGGTGTGACCATTCCCGCTTTCCACCCATTCCGTTCCTTCCCACTCCCTTACCATCCTGCAAACAGCTCTGTATCGGCCCCTCATGCCTCATGCCTCTTCCATTCCCCTCGTCTCCACCGCCCACCCCCCCTACCCTCCCCTCCCCACACAGGTCTGCGCAGGGCTGAGCCACATGAAAGAGCTCTCCGTGTTTGTCCTTTGATACGCTCTCTACCTCTTCCAATCCCATTCCCACTCCCACTCCCACTCCCGTTCCCACTCCCGCTCCCATTTCCACTCCCATTCTTATTCCCACCCCCATTCCCACTCCCATTCTTCTTCCCCCCCTTACCACCAACCCCCCGCCCCCACCAGCTGTGCACCGGCTTCTCATGCCTGATAGCCGGCGGTGAATGCAAGTCAGTTGATGCCCTCCCTTTCCATCCCTATCCCCTTCCCCCACCCCCCTCTCGCACCTTTCCCCACCACCACCAGTTGTGCATCAGCCTATCGTTCCTCATAGCCAGCGGTGAATGCGAGTCACTTCATGCTCTTGACTGTTCCCCATCCCTCCCCACACCCCAAATTTCCCCATCCAACCACCCCTCGCCCCCACCAGCTGTGCATTGGGCTCTCGTGCCTGATAGCCGTGGCCGTCAACGCGAGTCAGTTCATCTGCATCGGTCGCTTCACAGCTCTCACCTTCCAGGGCCTGGGCCACATGAAGACCCTCTCCGTGCTCGTGCTCGGATATGCTCTCTTTGGATTGGACGGACTCAACGCACCGGTGAGTGCCTGTATGGTGCGAGGATGAGGTTTAGAGGGTAAGAAGATTCACAGCGCTCACCTTCCAGGGCCTGGGCCACATGAAGACCCTCTCCGTGCTCGTGCTTGGATATGCGCTCTTTGGGCTGGATGGCCTGAATGCACCGGTAAGTGGCTTCATGATGCATGCTAGCTGTGAGTGCGAGGATGAGGTGTAGAGGAAGCACCTTGAGGCACCTTCCAGGGCCTGGGCCACATGAAGACCCTCTCCGTGCTCGTGCTTGGATACGCTCTCTTGGGGTTGGATGGACTCAATGCACTGGTATGCAACCTGTCCTGGGCATGCTCTGCTGTGAGAGCAAGGGCAAGGCTTAGAGGGAGAAGCTTGGCGCCTTCCATTCCAGGGCCTGGGCCACATGAAAACGCTCTGTCCTCGTGCTCGGATACGCTCTCTTCGGGTTGGACAGACTCAACGCACCGGTAAGAAATTGCACATGCTGTTCCATCCATGTCGTCCATCGCCTCACCTTGCCGCGTTGTGAGATATGGGTTATAAGCTGCAGCAGAGCCTGGGCCATATGAAAACACTCTCCGTGCTCGTGCTTGGATATGCACTCTTTGGGTTGGACGGACTCAACGCAGCGGTAAGTGCCTGTACGGTGCATGCCATGCCATGAATTGTCTAGCCTTGCCTCGCTGTGAGATAGAGGTTCAAGAAGCCACGATGCAGGCAGGGCCTCTTAAAGACTCTCTCCATGCTTGTGCTGGGATACCCACTCTTTGGGTTGGATGGACTCAATGCACTGGTAAGTGGTGGTGCACATGACGGCCCTCAGTGTGCTCGTGCTTGGATTCGTGTTCTTTGGGTTGGATGGACTCAGCGTGCTGTAAGTCATTTCATGCTAGGCCAGGCCGAGTCTTGCCTTGCGATGTCATGTCATGCCGTGCCACACTATGTCATACCACGCCATGCCATGCCATGTCATTGTCATCACATTTTGGTTTTTGTCTGTGTCTCCACTTCAGAACGCCTCTCTCCTGTGTTCGACTTAACTCCCAATTCTCCCCATGCTACACCCCACACCTACCTACCGGTATTACCCTGTAGGTCCTAATGGGGATGCTACTTTCGATCATGGGAATGGTGTGGTACGGCAATGCATCGTCGAGACCAGGAGGCAAAGAGAAGGTGCCAGTGGCTCCTACTCTTCCAACCACCACCGAGGCGGATGAAAGCGCACCTCTAAAAAGTGAACCGCGGGAAGCTCCTGTCGTGCCAGCCCTTGAAAAGCAGGCCAGTGACAGTGGATAAACGGCACGTGGATTATGGCATTGTATCTTACTCTCCCCCCACTAGTTTGGCATGGCATGAATAAGGATACCACATATTTCTCATGTGTATGTGATTATACTTAGGTTAGGCCAGACAAACATATTATTTGCGCAATACTGTGAAGGAATCAATTGAGACTTCTCAGCCTATACCTTTCCAAATCACATATATAGAATGATCCTGCAACACCTGTATTCCTCATACGCTGTATTGTTTGCATTGCACAATGAGGACCGTAGTACATAGTCAATGGACTTCGATGATCATTTTCGCGTTAGCGTTGTGATACTAAGAATGCCTTCTGAGCATGACAGAATGCCATCCTCAAGCCAGCTACGATGAAACTGATCTGAAACTAATCCGTTCTGAGGATGTTTCATTTGTATGGAACGGGATTAAACAAGATCCTCGGAATCTTGTTTCCATCTGCTTCCTGCAGATGCACAAGCGAGGATATGATGTTGGTTTAGAATTCAGTAGAGACCTTGATGCTGACCTGACTAGAATCCATGGCGGTGGGAGCTGACTGAGTGAGGAGCGCCAACGAAGACGGATAGTGACAGTATCCTTTTAGAATGCGATTGTGTGCATAAGAATCCACCCTCCTCTCACCCACCACATCCCAAATCTAGTCCAGATTCGCGTGACAGAATCAGGCCATACAACAAACTTGGTGAGATCAGGCCGATGTGACTTAATTAATCGAGTCATACTGTACAAATTTGCTTGACCAGGCAGAGTAGTTTGCTGTCCTAAACTGACAGCGTCAAGCCGGCGGAGACTGAATCTTACAATCAGTCCCCTCACCCTCTCTCTCGCTTACACCGTCGCCGTGAATGCATAAGTCGACCATAACAGGCAGCAACATTTCGTGATCCGTTTTGTGACTGTGGTCTGCATCTCAGCCGTCCCGTCCCGGTCATCACATTTCTGTCAACATTACAACCTTATACAATATAAGATTCGCCGTATCTTCACACTCCGAATCCGTCGGTCATGTCGCTCGACGAAGGACCCGATTGTCCTCTGGAGCACACTCTCCTCGTCGTTCGCGAAGTCTCCGTCTACAAAATACCTCCGCGACAGTCATCAGGTGGTTACAAATGCGCAGAGTGGCTCGTCGGCGACAAGATTTGGGGGGGACGTCTCCGCGTAGTTTCCGTTGGCGACACGTGCGAAATTCGTCTGGAGGACAGTAACACCGGCGAGCTGTTCGCCACGTGCCACGTGGCGCCTGGTCGACGCGACGCGTCCGTCGAGGCCGCGACGGACAGCTCGCGATACTTCGTGCTTAAGATCGACGACGGCCGCGGCCGTCACGCGTTCATCGGGCTCGGATTCGCGGAGAGAAACGCGGCTTTCGACTTCAATGTCGCGCTGACGGATCATGAGAAGCATGTTCTGAATGAGAGGCAAAGAGCCTCGGATGTGGCGTCAGCAGAAGCCGATTCTGCTCAAGAAGATTCTCAGCCAAAATTGGACTTGAAATTAAAGGTATTTTACTTTTAGTAACACTCGTGTGTTAAGCTGCTGAAAATTTGCCGAAAGGCGTTTCACATTTCCACGTTTCCTTTTGGACTCATTCTTATCATATTCTCGGTGTGCAGGAGGGGGAAACCATCCGCATCAACATGAAAAAACCATCCTCCTCCACCTCCTCCGCCTCCTCATCATCGACCTCCTCCACTTCGTCAGGCCGGGTAGCCTTACTAGCTCCTCCTCCTGGCAGCAGCAGCAGCAGTGGCATCGCTCGCCTTGCTCCTCCTGTTGGCTCCTCGTCTCGCTCTTCATTCTCCGGAGGCTCTTCAAGCACAGCAGCAGCTGCAGCAGCAGGGTTAGCAGCACCAGCAGGCGCAGCAGCAGCAGCAGCAGCAGCAGCAGCAGCAGCGAGAGGAGGAAACATGGGTGCTCCAGGTGCACCAGTGGGAGGAGGCCAATCAGGAGCATTTGCCGACTTCTCACAGCTTCAGGTACATGGCTTTAATGACAAAATATCCATATCTAGCACAGACATGTTTGGTACTTCTGATTCGTTTTATTCATAAAGGAGGCCCAATCGATAGGCATTTTTGTCATCGAGTGTCGTTCTACAATTCTTTGTGCCGCTTTTTTTCCTGCCCTGTTTTCCTCAATCAAACTCAAGTGGAAACACACTGCTTGCTTGCCTGGCTGCCGTATTCTGTCCTGTGCTGTGTTCTCTTTCTTGCAGTCGTCCCTCCCCCCAGCAACTCAGCCTGCTCCATCCAACCCACCCACGAGCACCAACGCCCCTGCAGCAGCAGGGTGGGCCACCTTCTGACCCGGACAAGGGTATAATATCAGAAATTCCCCCTGAAACCTGGGCCACTCGGTTCAAACAACCGTGCCAGCCCAAAGGGCATGTATCTACCATATGACCACGGATCATCTATAAGGCTGTTTCCACCATTTATTGTCGGTGTACAGTATATAACTGAATTGCACTTCAATTGTGGGCAGGGTACAGTATTGTGTGACCATAAGGTATGGACTCCGAAGTTGCTTCGAGTTGCCAGCAGCACAGCTTTTTTATTCATGCTCCTTTACTGTAAAGGGTGGGACATGAGGATGCAAATCAGTTCCTTCCGTCTATGCTCCCATGTTCTAGGCATCTCTACTAAAACAGCCACAACCAATTTATGTTCTTTAGGTTGTGTTTGTGTCTGGCCTGGGATGGGGATGTCACACCTTTCTAAATATCACAGAGGCTGTGTGCGATTAGGCAGGATCCCAGCCTGTTAACACATAAAAGCAGTACATTATCCAGCATCTCATATGTTGCGATAAAATAAGGGCTTTTCTCAGCACAACAAAAAAAACACAATACGGTAGGTACTTCTAGTGTCAAACCTCACATAAATACAGTACACTATCCAGCCTTAACAAGACTCCTGTGCCACACCAGCAGTCTGGTCAGCTATATCGAGCCTGTTGCACACTACACTATCACATGTCCTTCCATATGTGATAGTCAGTGTCAGGATGGGCGGGATCCCACTCCGTGTCCGCACATGCAGACAAAATGAGCGTACGGCCTTGCTTGTCCACATTCTCCAGCGCGTGCGCCCTGCCAGCTGGCCCTGTGAAGACTGCCACGTCAGCAGCATCCAGCATCACCTCGGCATATCCGGCTGGCAACGACGGGTTCTCAATCTGCAGTGGCGGGAGGGAAGGGGTAAAGGGAGAGGAAAGGGGAAAAGGGTTGGGAGTGGTGGGGAGGAGGGGGGAGCGGGGGAAAGGAGGAGTAAGGGAAGGGATGATGGAAGGTAAATAAAGACTGGGTCCTTGAGCACGGGGTGGTGGTGGTGGTGGTGGTGGTGGTGGTGGTGGTGGTGGTGGTGGTGGTGGTGGTGGTGGTGGTGGTGGTGGTGGTGGTGGTGGTGGTGGTGGTGGTGGTGGTGGTGGTGGTGGTGGTGGTGGTGGTGGTGGTGGTGGTGGTGGTGGTGGTGGTGACGGCGGCGACAGCAACAAGCACCCCATGCCATAGCCTGGCAGCAGCAATGGGTTATCAGCCTGCAGTGGGGGGAGGAAATGTTGGGTGTGATGCATGGATGTTGAGGGCAAGGGGATGGTGATGGATGGAAGGAGTTTTGAGGTGTGTCAAGAATCAAAATGATTTTGTGAACAGGAGATGCTGGGAGAGAGGAAGAGGTGACAGCAGGAGGGAAGGAGAGAGCAACAGGGAAAGGGATGGGGAAAGAAGGAATACGTTGTATGTTAGCCGGCCATACAATCTCAGTTTCTTACTTCAAAACAAAACGAGGTATTTTGTCCTGAGAGTTACCAGCTAGGGAAAGGAATACATAGGGAATAGACACACACGGAGTAGAAACAACATAGGTTGTTCTGATAAGTTCAATGAAAAAAACACACATACCCCGATCTGCACATCAGAATCTGAAGAGAGCATAGAGATACTCGGTAGTACGACTTTTAAGACATGTCAAAAGTAGAATACAGACATATAAAGTAGCACGAACAAATTATGATTCCGAATCAGACATGCACTCACCCGGATGCGAGCGTCTGCCCCCCAGATGAGAAAGGACTCGCTCTTGGTGTGGTGGCGGTGGTTTCCTCGCACCTTCCCCGGGCCTATCGTGCCCACATGCACGTCAACACATGACTTGGCACCTGACGGGATGGGATGGGATGGGACGGGATGGGATGGGATGGGATGGGATGGGATGGGATGGGATGGGATGGGATGGGATGGGATGGGATGGGATGGGATGGGATGGGATGGGATGGGATGGGATAGGATGGGATGGGATGGGATGGGATGGGATGGGATGGGATGGGATGGGATGGGATGGGATGGGATGGGATGGAATGGGGTGGGATGGGATGGGATGGGATGGGATGGGATGGGATGGGATGGGATGGGATGGGATGGGATGGGATGGGATGGGATGGGATGGGATGAGTGGCATGGTGCGGAGGGAAGCGCAAGTGCATTCTCAGAAAATGTTACACCTGCGAAAAAAAAAAAAAAAAAAATCCCGCGGCTCCTCCCCTTTCCTCTCCCGTCCTTCTGACCCACCTCCCCCCTTCCCCCCTCTTCCCTCTATCCCCCCCCCCCCCCCCCTTACCCCCTCTTCCCACTCTCCCCCCCCCTTCCCTCCTCTTCCCTCTCTCCCCCCCCCCCAGCCTATGCTCCGCCGCGGCGTGCATAGGGGAGAGGATCCATCCGCGCACTCTTCCCCACCCCCAGTCCCCTTACCCTGGTCGCTTCCCCAACTTCCTCACTCCCCCTCCTCCCCTCCCACCTCCCCTCCCCCAACTCACCCCCCAGCCCATGCTGCACAGCGGCGTGCATGGGAGAGAGCATCCATCCGCGCATTCTTCCCGGACCTCCCTTAGCTCCCCCCCCCCTCCCCTTTCCCCCTTCCCCCCCACGCCCCACTCACCCCCCAGCCCGTGCGCCGCGGCCATGTGCATGGGGGAGAGGATCCATCCGCGCACGTCGCTGCCCGGCATTCCCCCCGCCAGTCTATTCAACCGCACCAGGTTCGCCTCCTCCTTCTCCCTCCGCATCTCCGCCTCCCGCGCCTCCCCCATTCCGCCTCCCCCCGTTCGGACCGCCCCCGCGTCTCCCCCGCCCGGCTGCTGAATCAAATCGGACGGTCCGCGGCTCGTGGCGTTTGTCGTGGTGTAGACTAGGTATAGGGTGAGGATTAAGAGGACGCAGAGCGCTTGTGCCGCGACGCGGCCATTGTTTCCGAGAAATGCGGAAGGCAGAGAGCTGGGCGCGGCTGAAAAAGCTCCGCGCGGGTGGTGCGAGGCGGACGGCATAGTGCTATGTGCGCAGCGGAATGCGGCTTTGGCGAAATGCAGGCGAGATTTGGGAGGAGTAATGTGGCGAAATACCACTCTTTCGGAAAAAGGCACTTTCAGCAATTAGTAAGGCGAGATAGCTGTGCTAAAGCTAAATTTCTCAAACGCAGCAGCTGCTACAAATTTGGGCGGGGATTGCGGGAAGAACTGAGAGGTCGGATGCGCGGAGGTAGGGAAGTGCGAACCAACCAATCCGTGTAACGCTCGTACGGTTGAGTCAGTTTTGTTACGTTACCAATTGGTCATTGTACAGACTTGACGGTTGGGTACGGTATCATGGTAAACCGCTTGTTTGCCCCTCGATGCATGGGTGGACATCCCAACAACCAGGAAGCAGAGGCGCGATTGGGTAGAGGCTTAGGGCGTGTGTCTTTCGGAGTGTACTGTAAAGTTCATGTTTTTTTTCCGAACTTACGCAGTTGAACTTTGGTCGACTTGTAGTCGACTACTCGACTTCTGGAGGTAGAATCGCAGCATCACCCGTCGCATGTAGATATGGCAACACAAAGTTCGAATTTCGAAGCTCGACTTTGTACAGTCGTCGTGCGAGTCGCGCCCTACTTTCGTTGGTTCCGCAACCTATACAATGTTGTTCGTGAACGAATCCAGATTGGGTAGCCATGTAAACATATTGTAAAATTTGTCGTGAAGTTCGCAGCTTCATCGCGCGTGTGTAGAAGAACACACGATAGGATAAACGTGCACGCGCTTGGACACACGAGCGTCGCAAACAGCTCTAAACGAGATATATGAAACGGGTTACCATAAAAAGGTCGACCCTTTTTAAGAACGTCTACACCAAAAGACACGCGCCCTTACAAAGAACAGCGGATTCCGTCTCCTGCATGTGTTATGTTCGCAATAGAGGTGGAAGTTGTTTACAAGAATACCATAACTTGCTACCATATTTCCAAAACTATGTTTGTTTGGGAAATTGAATCGGAAATGGGATAGCAGAGAATATTAACAGTGGAGGAGATTGGTTCCCTGTGGTACAGAATACATATCACGCTTGTTCATGTGACAACACGCCAAGAACCAATAGCTTTGAACTGTGCCTGTTTGTCAACATCCTTCAAGTCCTCTTCTGAAAGAATGACATGATGCTTCCCTGACCCTTCTTAGGACCCCCTTTCCCAGCAGCAGCCTTCCCACCACCCTTGGCCGCCCCTTTCCCTGCCCCTGCAGCCGTTGCCCCCTTCCCCTGCACCCCTTCCTTCTCTGCCCCCTTCCCCTGTCCCCCTCCCTTCTCTGCTCCCTTCCCTTGCCCCTTTCCTCCTTTCTTGCTTGCACCAGAGGCCTTGCCTGAGTGCCTGCCATGTGAAGGGATAGACAAAAGAACCACATCAAGATGCATACAATGGCACTTCAGCAGATGCATTGGCCTAAAACGGCACTCCAGGGAGGAAAACAGCCAGTCAAAGACACATAAACACAGGATGGATATGATATGATATGATATGATATGATATGATGTGATGTGATGTGATGTGATGTGATGTGATGTGATGTGATGTGATGTGATGTGATGTGATGTGATGTGATGTGATGTGATGTGATATGATATGATATGATATGATATGATATGGTATGATATGATATGATGTGATATGGTACAAAAGGCAGAGCTAGGGCAAACTGATACATGAAATGGATAGGAAGACAGAGAGGCTGGCCGAGAGGCAGAGGAGAGACGGGTGAGGGGGAAGAGGAAGGAGCAGCTGAGGGTCGTAAAAGGGGAGACCATGGGATGACAGATGGAGGGCTTTGAGGCGCGTCAGATGAGGAAGGGATGCGAGACCAGGCCAGACCAGGCCAGACCAGGCCAGACCAGACCAGACCAGACCAGACCAGGCCAGACCAGACCAGACCAGACCAGACCAGGCCAGACCAGGCCAGACCAGACCAGACCAGACCAGACCAGACCAGGCCAGACCAGGCCAGACCAGACCAGAGCAGGCCAGACCAGGCCAGACCAGGCCAGACCAGACCAGACCAGGCCAGACCAGGCCAGACCAGGCCAGACCAGACCAGACCAGGCCAGACCAGGCCAGACCAGACCAGACCAGACCAGGCCAGACCAGGCCAGACCAGACCAGACCAGGCCAGACCAGACCAGACCAGACCAGACCAGACCAGTTGCCATACCTGGTGCACTGCTTCGGCACAGCCTCCTCTGGTGTGTTACAATGCTCCCCTGTCTCCATCGCTCCTCCATCCGTATCAATGTCCCCTTCACTTTTCCCTTCCCCCTCCCCTGCACGGTCCACGGCTGCTGCCACCACTTCATTCCCAAACTCGTCCACCTCCACCTGCCACGTGACTGCAAAAACCGTGATAAAAGGTGAGCAATCATTGCCATTTAAAGAGGTGTCATAAAAAGGGAGACAGAACATACAGTATGGATGGTGAAGGGGACCGATGGACCTAAGATGAGAACAAGGGAGTACAGAAGGAACACAGGCACACAGAAGCAGCGAATCACCTTCCCTTCCTCTGTCGTCGATATCAGTCTTCCACACCATCCGTCTCTCCCCTCCACTCCTCCCCTTCATCCCACCAGCCCCTTTCGGTGTAAGCCTCACTGCACACTCCACCTCTGCCATCTCGTCCTCCTCTTTCACCTCCTTCTCTTTCTTTTCCTCCCCTTCTGACGCCTCCCCCTCTCCCTCTTCCTCCTCCTCTTCCTCCTTCTTCCCCTTCGTCCACCTCTTTCAGTTTCCTGCCCTTCGTCCACGGCCCCAATATTCATTGCTTCTGCCTCCTCTTTTCCCATCCTCACCTCATCCACCTCCTTCCCCTCCTCTTTCCTCTTCTCATTCCCCTCCTCCTTACCCTCCTCCTCCCCCTCCCTTCCCCCTTTCCCCTCTTCCTCCTCCTCCTCGTCCTCCTCATCCTCCACTGCGAATCGCCGTTTCTTCTTTGCACCCTGCCTTCCCAACCGCCCACCGGCCCCTCTCAAGAACCCCACTCCCTCCTCCTCCTCATCATCATCACCACCACCACCACCATTGGCATTGGCAGCACCACCAACATCAAGGATAGCAGTACCGTTGCCACCACCAACAACCACCTCCTTCTTCACATCCTTCTGCTGCCCTTGCACTCTATCACCCTTCTTCATCTCACCAAACGGAGCTTCTTCAACTGCTTTAGCTTCTCCACCCTTTTCTACCTTCACTTCGCTCTGGGGCTTTGATTTCTTCCACATGCCCATGAGTGTGTTCTTCTTCCCCTTGTCTGCAACACCAACCCCACCAGAAGCACCACCAGCACTAGAATGCTTGGCCCCTTTATCATCTCGCCTGCTGGCAGCTGCAGCAGCGGCAGTGGTAGTAGTAGCAGCAGCAGGAGCAGCAGCAACAGGAGGAGGCACAGCTGCCCCCTCCCCACTGTCCTTCAATCTCTTCACATCTGTATTTCCTGACTCGCCTAGTCCTGCAGCCCCTTGATTCACAGACCCCACGAGCTCTGCCTGCTTCGCATGCCCCTCTTGTTGCCCCGGCTGCTTCCTTCCTTCCCTCTCCTGCCTGATTCCCAACTGACTCGTCTCTGCTTTCGGATGCTGCCCGTGCTGATCTTTCTTGGCGGCACCAGGAGCACCAGCAGCAGCAGCAGCAGCAGCAGCAGGGGGAGAAGCAGCGGCAGGAGAACGCGAGGGCACGGGGGATGCAGCGGTGATGTGTGCGGACGGGTGAGGCCGCTTGGAAAGCGTTTCCAGGCAGATGGGTGGGGGCTGGACGGCACTCAGACTGCAGGGGGGAGGGGGGGGGGGAAGAACACACGGCGGTGGGGGACAGGGGGAGGCGGCAGTGATGTGATGGATGGGTGGGGGCCGGACGGCACTCAGACTGCAGAGGGGATAGGGGGAGAAGACACGGTGGGGGGACAGAGAGAGGCAGCAGTGATGTGTGAGGGCGGGTGGAACCGTCTAGAAAGGATTTCGAGGCACATGGGAGGGGGCTGGACGGCACTCAGACTGCACAGGGGGAGAACGGCATTATGGCATGGCTGGGCTGGGCTCACACACCCTCTCGCACACCTGCTCTGTCTTGCACTGATGCCCGTGGCATCAGCAGCACTGTCAAGAGCCGGGTTACACTGTGGCTCACTCAGGATATCAGGTTTCAAGTAATAAAACCTTCAACATCGGCGACTGTGGTAGCCAGTTCGTACTCTGATGCTTTGATCAGATTCTCACCTGCTCTCTCTTGAGCCACTCCCCATGGCCCCATCAGCAGCACAGAGAACAGCCAGGTCTCATGGTAGCCGCCTTTGTTGCACACTCATGCTTCAATCACAGACTCACACACACCTGCTCTCTCTTGCACCGTTGCCCATGGCCCCATCGGCAGCACAGAGAACAGCCAGGTCTCGCGGCAACCGCCTTTGCACACTGTAAATGTGGGCCGACGCTCCCTTCATTACCTCCTCTGCTTCTGCGCATATTCCACGGGCAGGTGAGGCAGAGGAAAGAGTCACAAATTTAGGCACGTTTTTGCAGCAGCTCCTTTTAATTATGCGAACCTGCTGCAGCGCTGGAGATGAAAGAACACAAACGTGGTTCTCTTCTCCTGCCGTGCGGAGCAACAAGGGGACAGGGATTACCAGCGAGGTGAGCAGAGGGCACCAGCCGCATGCGGAACTCCTTCACCATCTGCTGCTCTCCTGCTGCCCTTTCTGCTTCTGCTGCTGCTGCTGTCACTGTCGCTCTTTCTGCTTCAGCTGCTGCTGGCGTTGCTGCTGCTGCTTTCCCCCCATCCCCGTTACTGACCCATCCCGACACGACCCAAACAGCTGTCACCTCCTCCTTGTGCAGCTCCCAGTAACCCTGTAACACACTGCGTGGGCGAAGGGGACGACAGGGTAACCATCTCAGAGTAACTAGCACTGGAAACTAGCAACGGTACCAGCAAATCAGCACAGGATAACCATCACAGGGTAACCAGCTCAGGGTAACCAGCTCAGGGTAACCATCACAGGGTAACCAGCTCAGGGTAACCAGCTCAGCGTAACCAGCACAGAGGTGGGGAATGGCGACAGGAAGGAGAGGCTGGCGGAGGGGAGCGGGGACGAGAGAATGGCGGACAATGGGGTGGCGGGGGGGAGAATGGCGGAAAGCGGAGGTGGAGGGAGAGAGGCGGACAGGAGGGTGGCGGAAAAGTGGTGGCGGAAAAGTGGTGGCGGAAAAGTGGTGGCGGAAAAGTGGTGGCGGAAAAGTGGTAACGGAGGAAGAGCGGGAACAGGAAGGGTTGGAGGAGAAGGCTGCAACGGGAGTAAAAAAGGCAGAAGGGGGAACCGGAATGGGAGAAATCATCAATGCGACACTCGGCCGCACCTTTTCGCCTGGCGCAGAGGCAGGGAGAGCGAGCGAGAGAGAAACTTCGCCGTGACCTGCGACGGAAGGGGAGATGAACGGACGGTAGGCGTAGCTAGGTGAAATGAAACCTCTCGCAAGTAGACGAGCGGATTATGAATCGGAAGGCACGGAACGTGCGTACGAACGTATGACGTACGCACGTACGTACGCCTCTGGTTCCTTGCCTGCATTAGAGTGCGAATGGAAGGCTCGGAGGAATGTCAAGCTGCAACTCAGGCACACCGCAACGTTTCTAATATCGGGCACCCAATCAAACTAGGTAAATGTGATAAGCGTCATAATAACCAAGGAACGGATGGATTCAGACTAGTCCTGATAATTCCTCATGCGGGGATAATGAACAAGGTTTGTGCTTGCTCAAGCCACTTGAGAGACCGCTTCGATCACCTTCCTCACCTTCTCGATCGCAGCCAGTAGGAGAGAAATATTATAATATAGCCGTTGTACTCACCACTCGCTCCTGATCGTTCACCATCGCATCGATGTCATCCAAAACGCCTGGATCCATCGCAGCGAGCTCGGCGGGGGCCGCCATTCGATATCTGAATACACCGTACTAACACGGCCTAGCATGCAAAGCAAAGTAAAACGCTAACTTTCGCAACATGAGCTGGAAACGGCGAGAATGATAGCCATTTTCAGGCTGAAAAACTCGTGGATTTTCCATCTCAAGCCAGGCGGGATTTTTTTCAAAAAACACAAATCAGAAGTACCCCTTCTCCGATACTATTTTAACCTATGCGCAGCATTTGTGCAGCAACATTGTTCCTTTGGATGTTTTGATAATAATTCGTTTGTCTGTTATTCGCAGTGCAATATTCAGAAATTAATGATATCATATTCAGAAAGCTTGCTGGATGCTGATACGCCTTGAGTGCAAATCCAGGAAGGGCTGTCAACTACCGTATAACTGGTACCTGAACGCATTAGAAGAGCGATAAAATTATAGTATTATGGTTGTATGTTAGGTGTGGTGATAAGGTTTTTAACATATACAAAGGCGTCCCATATGCATACACACCTTGAGTTGACTGGCACTAGCGATCTAGATACACACACGGTTCATGTGAGTGCGAATTGGTTCAGATCCATTTCCATGCAGCACGATACATCCTGCCTACACGCGGACGGCCTGGATCAGTCGATCGGCAAAACACTAAGCGTAACGTGATATGCAACTCATTGTCAGGAGAAGAAAGCCCTGGCACGGGACCTGATTCAGGTCAGTCACTCGCACTGCAGTATTGGAAGGCAAGGAAGCCAACATTCGCCATTGGAAACAGAATCAACCGGGGTACCGCACTGTATGCCTCACTACGCTCTGCCATTCCAGCTTTTGGAGATTCGCCTTTCCTAGGTAGGGATGACGGACAGGAGGGAGATTCGCCTAGCCACGACTCGGTTTTTAAGGGTGGGGAGGGAATCATTAAACTGACGGTGTCTGTGTCATCACTGTTTACCGCCTTTCAGCAGCTGGCTGCACATGCAGGGTTCAAGCTGCCGATGGCTGCCCTGGAGGGTTTGAACAGGCCTGAAGCCGGCGACTCCACCGCTGCTGTAGTAGCTCCTGGTACAACAAGAGGTGCTCTTCACACCTCTGCTGTTGCTCCGTCACTTGCGCGTAGACCACTTTTCGGCCAGATTCCAGGGTTCGTGCAAACCCAGGGAGCCACATCCGGTGCACAAAGGTCTAGGGCGGGTGACACAGGTCCCGCAGCCGGCGCTTCATCCTCCGCGGCTGATCAGGCGGGTGCTGCAGCATGTGTTACTACTGCAGCATCGGGTCAGCCAGGTGCCTCTGTCCGTGCTCCTCCTGCTGGAGCGGGTCAGCCAGGTGCCTATGCCGGTGCTCCACCAGCTAGAGCGATTCAGCCAGGCTCCTCTGCCGGTGCTCTTCCAGCTGGAGCAGGTCTGCCAGGTGCAGCAACCGGTGTTTCACCAGCTGCAGCGGGTCAGCCAGATGCAGTGGCCGTTATTCCAACAGCAGCAGCGGGTCACCCAGGTGCAGAAGCCGGTGTTTCAATAGCAGCAGCAAGTCAGCCAGTTGCAGCAGCCGTTATTCCAACAGCAGCAGCGTGTCAGCCAAAAGCAACAGCCAGTGTACCTACAACAGCAGCGGGTCAGCCAGGTTCTGCAGGCCTTGCACTTACAGCAGCGGCGGCGCAGCCATGTGCTACCGCGAGTGCTCCAAAGGCGGCAGCGGGTCAGCACGGACCCGCCACGGGGGTTGCTATCAACGCAGGCGTGGTACGGCCTGGAGACGACTGCTGGAATATATTGGGACAGGGGTCGGATCTCACCAACTTTCCGCCATGTGTGCAGGTCCAGGATGCAATCGGGTCGCAAGCAGCAGATGACACTCCGAGGACAGCTGTGCTTCACACAAGTTCAGCGGCATGGACATCAGGAGAACAGCTGTTTGTGCCCTCGGGTTTTCCACCCGGGATGCATCTCCAGGGGTTTCGTGCACCAGGAGCGGGGGTGTTTGCTCCACAGGCAGGTGGTGTTCAGCCGGGAGCATCTGCACATTTCGCGCCAGCAGGGCCTAGTGGCCATGCTCTGCATCGTCCTAACTTGCTCTTCCACGGATCAGGACATCCAACCGCGTCCGTGCATCTGCCTTTGTCGTCGCACGGCCCCGGTGTGCAGGATCCACCTGCTTTCCTTGTTGCTGCTGAGGCGCTTGACACTGGCAGCATCCTACCTGGCCACACCTCCTCCGCACCTCGTGGGACTCTACTGAACATGCTCTCCGGCTTCGTGCAGCCCTCCCTAGCCGCCGCCTCATCCTTCATGCCATCGACCCAGGTTGGGGAGGAGGAGGAGGCCGCCAGCAAGGGGTTCACGGGAGTCACAAAGAAGAAGGGTAAGAACAAGTGGGTGGCTAGGATTGTCCTTGACCGCACTTCCAATTCTCTGATTGTCATCAGCAGTCACTTTCAATCTGAGGTCGCCGCGGCTAGGTCAATAGCCGCAGCGTCTCATGTGATGTTCGTCGACAATCCCACGAGAGGCGATCTCATACCGTTGACGGACGGCGACAGGGCAAAGTTACAGGGTTGTACGGCTCAACAGTGTGAGCTGATGGTCCGTCAGAAGTTCTGGCACAAGTGGGAGCAGTGGGCGGAGTATTGGCCTGCTGCTAAGGCTAAGTATGACGAGAAAGAGCGCAAGGCTGCGATGAAGCGAACGGCACTAGATAGGAGCTTGGGTTAGCCTGACGGTCGGCCCGACAAAATGGCCAGAACGGTGGGTGAAGGCCTGTCACGAGGGGTGATAGTAACATGTTGCCGAAAAACACCGCATTTGCCAGTCAATGGCCCGTAACAAATCAATTGGACGCGTGTGCATGCCTCGCGAAGGTATTGTAAAGGTGCCGTGTACATCCCACAGCCTATTAGTAAACGTCAAGTGCAGTTGGCAATCCACGATCACCTCGTGAAACATCCGTGAGTATTCCGTCGCTTCCACGTACGATGCTTTTCTGACAAAACGGCCAGTTAACGTCAAGTGCATGCCTCGCGAAGAGTGCGTGGGGAATTATACGTAACAACGAGGGCGTCACTTGATACTCACAAAACACCAACGGAAAATCCGCACGACAACAGTGTGCAATCCGCGATCACCTCGTGACACAGTCGTGACTATTCCGGCGCTTCCACGTAAGACGCACATGGGGGATGGAGGACGACCTAATCCCCGTGATAATCCCGCAAGTCAACAGTGTGCAGTCCGCGTACATCTCCTCAGACTGTCGTGAATACTCCGTCGCGGCCTCGTCAGATGCTCGTTTCGGCCTGTGGGAGCGTGTATAAATAAAGCGTGTTGCACATGATAACACAAACTTCGAATCGTGTATATAAAAAACAAGTATAACAGTGACTAGCCCACCCACATAAATTTCCAGGAAAGACAGCCAGAGACTAAAAAGAAATATAGGGTCTCTTGGCGACAAATGTGTTTATGTAACCCGATGTATTGAGAAGTCAGTTTTGCGAGTAAAACAATGTAATATGATAAAGGGTTTGAAGGCATTCCACGTCACAAAAATTTCGTTTTAGCTTGTTATAACACAACATCATATAGTGTGCCTGTAACATGTGTCAGAATGTATTTGCTGTCTAGCCTGCAGTGGGGTACTCTGTAGTGTGTACAACCCAATTTATGGTTTTGTATTTGTATCCCAACTCTTGCTAGTGAATCATCATTCCTCTCGACACTCAACTCTCTCGACACTCACTAGCTATGGCTCATAAGTCACGCTAGGAATCCCACATGGTATTAAGAGCAACAATTTCCTAGGACCTAATCTTAATGGGCCCACCACCTACTGCCCTGCTAGCCTAGGCCCCGGCCCGTCGCCCCTTGGCATCGCCCCTAGCCCCTAGGCTCGGCCCCTTGGCCCCGTCGCCTCGGCCCCTTGGCCCCGTCGCCCCTTGGCGTCGCCCCTAGCTGTGTCCCTCGGCCCCGCTGGCCCCGTCGACTCCGTCGCCCCGCGCCCGGCCCGTACTTAGCCCGCGATCGGCCCGTACCTAGCCCGCGCTCGGCCCCGTTCCTAGCCCCGCGCCCGGCCCGTACCTCGCCCGTGCCTGGCCCCGTACCTAGCCTGCGGTCGGCCCGTACCTAGCCTCGCGCCCGGCCTCCGTTCCGCGCCCAACGCCCGGCCCCGTACCTAGCCCGCGCCCGGCCCGTACCTCGCCCGCGCCTGGCCCTGTACCTAGCCCGCGCCCGGCCCGTACCAAGCCCGCGCCTGGCCCCGTCCTTCACCCAGCGCCCGGCCCCGTCTCTTGCCCGCGCTCGGCCCAGTACCTAGCCCGCGCCCGGCCCCGTACCTAGCCCGCGCCCGGCCCAGTACCTAGCCTGCGCCCGGCCCCGTACCTAGCCCCGCGCCCGGCCCCATTCCGCGCCCAGCGCCCGGCCCCGTACCTGCCCAGCGCCCGGCCCCGTACCTGCCCAGCGCCTGGCCCTGTACCTGCCCAACGCCCAACCCCGTACCTGCCCAGCGCCCGGCCCCGTACCTGCCCAACGCACGGCCCCGTACCTGCCCAGCGCCCGGCCCCGTACCTGCCCAGCGCCCGGCCCCGTACCTGCCCAGCGCCCGGCCCCGTACCTGCCTAGCGCTCGGCCCCGTACTTGCCCAGCGCTCGGCCCAGTACCTGCCCAGCGCCTGGTCCCATACCTGCCCAGCGCCCGGCCCCGTACCTGCCCAGCGCCCGGCCCCGTCCCTGCCCAGCGCCCGGCCCCGTACCTGCCCAGCGCCCGGCCCTGTACCTGCCCAGCGCCCGGCCCTGTACCTGCCCAGCGCCCGGCCCAGTACCTGCCCAGCGCCCGGCCCCGTACCTGCCCAGCTCCCGGCCCCGTACCTGCCCAGCGCTCGGCCCCGTACCTGCCCAGCGCCCGGCCCCGTACCTGCCCAGCGCCCGGCCCCATACCTGCCTAGTGCCTGGCCCCGTACCTGCCCAGCGCCCGGCCCCGTACCTGCCCAGCTCCCGGCCCCGTCCCTAGCCCAGCACCCGGCCCCATACCTAGCTGTGC